CCAAAGCAACAGAATGATGTGTGTCTATTAAGATTATTTCTTCAAGTCTTTAAAAAGTTTGTCTCAGAGATTGTTTCTTGCATTTATGTATCTCCTACAAACGAAGAAAAATGATGGAACATCCTCATTCTGACCCTAAGTACAACTAGGAGAAGCAATAATATTTCGCCTGTATATAGATTAAAATTTAGTGATTCGGTGATGTTTTAATTTGTTGTGTATAATAATGATAGTTCAATTACCAAATAAAGAATATTTTGGAGATTTAGTAATTCAGTAATATTTTCCTTGAATATATTAAAAGAAGTTGCTTCTCTAACTTCTAATTTGAGTGAGTTCCATTTTGTTCGAAAAGTGTCGAGTACGAAGGATTTTTTGTAGAGTTCTACTCTGCTGTTTGGAACCTTATAATCTTCACTGGTTCGTGTATTATACAATAAAACATTTTAAGGGGAATAATCTTCCTTAAGTACTCAGGTACTTGATTAGTATGAATTTGAACACAGTTATTAAATTAGCAGTATGACGACGATTGACAAGAGGTTCCCAGCCTGTTTCATAGATTCTTACGATGCTAAAATTGGTAAACCTGTTCCAATTCTTGTGGCACTTAACTAAACTTTTTCTAACTTGTTCATGTTAAATTACAACCGACCCATACCAAGAAAGCATATTTAAGAACTGGTCTAATGAATAAGATATACATTTTAGACATTTTTTTCCGCCAAGAGTAAATTTGAGTTTCTTTAAGAGGATAATTCTTTTGTATGCATACTCCGTATACCTGATCAATATGTAAGGCTCACGGCGGTTGTGACGGTCAACAGGGGGTGCTTACTCCTCCTGGGCACCTGATCCCACCTTTGGTGTTTACAGGGGTCCGTGTTTTTTGCCTTGTTCGCATTTCGTTTTTGTGACTGGATTTGTGAGATTAATCACTTTTTTCACCTTTTACACTTACTATATTACTGATATATTCAGACCACCCAAATCTTGAGAGAAAAAAAGTAACGATGACGATGGGTTAAAACATAATCCAGTTGATATCCTTGAAAATATAATTGGAGAAATTCTTCTATATATTTTCTTTGCCTTTGTGAAAAATAGCTTTTGTTTTAGGTGGAGATTGAGGTTGATATTAATGAAGATGCTTGAGATTCTAATTGACAATTATTATCTTTGTAGTTTTCGGAGATTAGATCGTCAAACCATCTGTTGGAATTCCCATGGGTTCTAATTTTGCACCATTAATACCAGACCTGTTTTTGTATTAAGCAGAATTAATTCAAAAACGTCTACATGAAAAGAAGAAGTCTTTCTGCGGCGTTCAATTCGACATTTAGATATTTATCAATTATTAATATTCTTTCCTACGTTGATTCGATATAATCCTTGAACTCGAAATTAAAAAAAACGCTACAGAGACTGACACGTCGGTTTCATGTTTGGATATTTTACTAGAGAAAGACATTGCTGGCAAAATAACAGCCAAACTTTATGATAAACGTGATGACTTCAACTTTTCTATCGTCAATTTCCCTTATTTAAAGAGCAATATACCACTACCGCCTGCATATTGAGCTATGTTGATTCGCTGGGCATTTTCTACGTACAATTTTTAAAACGAGACAGGCTATTGATAAATAAGCAGATGATATATGAATATCAGCAATCTCGTTTAAAGTCAACATTTCGTAAATTCCATGGTCGATACAATTACCTTGTTTGTTGTTGAATCGAATGTTGACTGGCTTTTTTCAAACATATTGTTTGTTAGGCCATGATTTTCACACTGAATTATTTACGGATTTTTCCATTTACTCAATCATGACAACAAGCACGCGGCGGGTGTGGCCGGTCGACAGGGGATGCTTACTACTCCATTGCACCTGCCAACTCTGTTTTCAGAGATCCGTGTTGACAATTTGTATTGTTTATATGGATTTTGAGCAAGATCGCTGTTCGTTATCTTCACATTCAGGTAATCTACAGAGTAATAACGTTTGGTTGCTACATCAGTAATATGAATAAGAAATAAAAGTGGTCCTAATACTGACCCTTGCGGTACACCAGCATTGGTACATAAACTTGACGAAGGCGTTTTTTAAACATTATCATTTGAGATCTGTTACAAAAATAATTGTAAACCATTGTAAAAGATTTTCATTGATACAATTAGTTTCAAGTTAAAAAATTAAGCTTCATGTCACACTTTATCAAACATTCTTGATAAAGCGCAGAAAATCATACAACACATTTTCCGAATCTTCAATACTTTTAACAATGTTGTAATATGTTCTAACAGCTGAAAAACTGTAGAGTGATCTGATTTAAATAAAAACTAGCCTGGTATCTGGTATTTGTAAAATAATTTTTTTTTAATGAAAAAATTATTTTTATGTTTAATTTTTTTCTTTAGTGCAACTTAGAAGAGAAACTGGACTGTAATTACTAGCAATAGATAGGTCTTCCTTCTGGTAGCGATACATGAGCTATTTTTAAAAAGAGTTTTGATGTAGTAAAAGTATATTTTTTTAATATTCGACGAAATATTGTCTGGACCAATAGCCTTATTAACATGCAAGATCGAAATACCGAGTAATATCAGCAACCTTTTCTTCCTGTTTTTGAATACCAGAAATTTCTGCCTTTCATAAATAATAGTCTATTTGGAATTCATGAAAAATATTTATTGAATGTCAATTTTGTAATTATCCAAAAAGCTAAGCTAGATACTCTATTTTCTTAGTATTCCTATCTTGCTTTAACATTGAAAAAAAATTTCATCAACTTCTAATAAAATTTACTGTTCTTACAATTAACATTTAATGTGGATTCAATATTGTCATAGTAATTAGTTATTGCTTTGCGATAAATAGCATTAAATTCGTCCTTCATTAAGCTTTTATTGGTAAATTGTGATCAGATGTGATTCAGTAAAATAGAGTATGTCAAAATCAAGTACTTTTGTTTTTAAACACTGCTAACGTTCAAATGAATAATGTCAAAGACGTGGACTAAAGTATTTCCCGTGTTGACCTTGATATCACTATAAACAAGTAGAATAAACAAAAACTGGAGAAAAAAAGAAATTGTGAAAAACTGAATAACGACTTAGATGTTTCAAAAATAATGCGTAAAGACCAAAAATTGAAAACCTGAATATTTTGTAAACAGATGTAAGATTTACAACACCGACCATATCACTCTACAGGAAAAGTAAACGTTTTAGATACTAGTACTCGAGTGCTGATTGTTGAAACAATAAAAAAAATATGTCCCAAAAATCCTGTCAAAAGAGTGAAATAAATTCCATATCTATTGAGTTTTCCGTTTATTACATTTTCTTAATTCCATTTTCTGTTTGTTTCTTTCCAAGTCAAGGGTCTCTGATCCTCTCCGAAGCGGATCAGAATCCATTGACTTGGAAAGATGCTTTTACATATGGTTCTCTTTTTATTGAAATTCGAAACAGTATTGTGAGGTGAATACAAGACCACAAGAATGATGCTAAGGATGATAGGTTTGAACAATGAAAGAACCTAGATTTAACTTAATGTTATTTTCACATTAAGAAATAACACCTCTGTTATTTTCACACTACATCTGTGAAATATCGACTTTATTCAACTAATAAAAATCTGTATGTCACTGTTGAAACGTAACAAAATTGACTTAATTGCGTTTCAAAAATTCATTCTCTTAATTGATTTCGTTTGATTTTATTAAAACCTGTAAATTCTTTTGATTTATAATCGCAGTAAATCAACTGCATAAACCACATCTAATTACATATTTCAGTTGTCTTGATAGTAAACTGGAGCTGTATGGAACTTCAAGTACAGTCTGAATAAATGTCATTTCACGCACATGAAAAACTTTAAAGGCGTACAATGATATATGGGATATGTTAAACATATGTGGAAATTAAGTGATAAATCAAAAAAAAACCCTAGGAATGTTTATGCTTTTCATGTTCGGTATTGAAAAATGAAAAAAAAAATTAAAAGTTATCATGATGACTTACTCATTAACGGCGTGCTATCATAAAACACCACATTACACCGTTGTGCAGCAGGGACATCTAATAAGGCCTTTGCTTTCTATACTTAATGTTAACGTTTAACAAGTGTGTTTGACAAGAAATGAAAAGAAAATTGGTGTTTCTTTCGCGTCTCCTACATTAACCACAAGTAATGTTGGTGTTTACTATCCTTTGGCACATTACTTTGTACATACCTCCGGAAGTTAATTGAACATTAATTATTTATTTTGATAAATGGATGGACAGGTGAAAAACACGATGAATAATACATTTTCTTCTGTTTTTCATATGTTGTCCTATTCATAGATTTTTTTTTCCAGATATGAAGAATGTATGTGTTCTGTTGAAATTTTCTCCAATGTATTTTAATAGGGTACAAATACTGACCATGAGATTCCGTGAACTACTTGCACTATATCTAAAGAGTGCTCCCTCTTGTCCGAAATGACTGAGAAACTTTTACTATCAAAAGTTTCCTTTTTTTGTCGCTATTTAAAATAATGAACAATGTATGTAAAGTATACTAAAAGTTTTATATAAGATGGAGTCAGGGACGTATATACTAAGTATAAAAGTCCCTGGTGTAGTTTGATATGAAATAATTCTATGATGGGAACATTTCTAGTAAATGCAATTATACATATACTATGAATCTTATATTTCATTAATGTCGAATATCATGTTTAATATTCAAAGAATAATTTTTTTTAATTTGACATGAGGATCTTTTATAATGTTCCCTTGTTATATTTTCCTGTTTTGAATTAATTCATTTATGAGATAGTTAATGAGAGTTTTATGCACGGAACACCATGAATTCAAATACTAGTAAATAAATCTACAGCAGACAAAAATTAGGTGTGAAATAAAAATTGAGAATTAATATAGAAAAACAAAAGGTACATGTATATATTATAAATGTAGCTCAATGAACAATGTTCAATTAAATACTTACACAATGAGTGTTGTTGTAATGGTCCCCAGATACATGGTTGCCGTAATGTTACGGAGGGGAGTCGACATCCGATTTTTATGTCAAAACTTCTGATGTGTTTATGGTTAACGAATCGGAACGAAGGGCATATGGTCGACGCTTAACTGTCAATCACATTTCTTAGATGGATGAAGACGTTAAGTTCTTATCAGCTGAATTTAAAGAAAAAGAGATATTGCACGAAAAGAAAGCATTCCGAATGATGGTATTCGATACAGGTGTATACCACCGGTATTAATAAGCTTCCCGTCCTTACCGGAACATTCTTCTGTAGGCGATACACTTGGTAACTTGTGTTGCCCGATGGGGCTATAGTCGGGTCGAGATCATTAACGATGTGTCTGGATAATTAATTATCCTGCTCTAATGGTCAAAGGGTTTTCTGATTCATTGTCAATGGTCAACAAGTTTTCATCCATTTCAGATTGAATGTTATTGAATTACCCGGTATTTTTTTTTATCATCTTATTTAGTGTTATTTTCAATTTAAACAAAAACAAAATACACACATACACACCCTCACACACACACACAAACATGCACTAAGCAAGTCTTAACTTTATTTATAAATAGTAAGAGCATTATAATTTACATTTCTTGAAAATAATTAACAGAAGTGATTTTAAAGAAAAATGGTTCTTAATGGTGGTCGATTTACGTGTATATAACATTATTTTAAAGTTATATGGTCGTACAATGGAAACGGTTTTGTGGATAGCTAAAACATTAAAAATGTAGTAAACTAAGATTTAAAAAAAACATGAACGAAAGACAAATATATTTTATTAGGTTATTTAGGAAGTAAGTTTTTTTTTTATTTTTTTTTTTTAAATTCTAATACATCTAATTCTTTATGAAGAAATGCATCGATGCTTAACTGTGAAATTGGCGTCTTTTTTTATTATTATAAATGAATTAAACTGTAAATTATGCCATTTCTTAGGATCTACGTAAAATCTGGGTGGTTTGAGTCTCTTCTAATCAAAAGTCACATGGATAATCATTCCCAGCACATGGATCAGCATTGGCTAATGGTTTCTTTATTACGGGATCGTCAGACGTCACGCTGTCGTAGGAATATAAACAATATTCTACGTCAAAGAAATATCTTTTAAGGATTAAACCCCTCATGCTTCTTAACCTCAGATTTATGCATGTATCTAATACTTTGATTTCTATGTGACAAATAAGATTGATTATTGTTTTAAAATTTCGCTGGAGCTGTGAATCTCAGGTAACAATTTTTTTTTTTTGAAAAGTGCACAGGTGCTTGGGGACGGGAACCCCCACCCCCTTGTTCCGTACCCCAAAGGTTCTTTGACGTTTTTAAGTAAAATATTTTTCTATGACACATTCACAAAGTATTACAACAAAAAATCCAAAATATAACCTAAAACTAGCCTTTTATAAAAATTTGCACTCTCTGATACTAAAACAAAACGTTCTGTTTTAGTATCAGAGAGTGTGGATTTTTATAAAAGGAAAGTTTTAGGTATTATTTTGGGTTTTTCATGTATAACTTTGTAGCCATACGGGCTTGTCTTCTGGATTGCTAAATGTAAAAGAAAATTAATAAAATTTTGAATCTACTTTAAATACACTTAAAAAGTTGTTAATTAAAATAAAAATACTGACACTTTCAGAGTTCAGACAAGAAACACTCTTTGTATATATAGGTGTGGTACGTTTTTTAAAACATGGCATTTCTTGTCTGAAAGTGTCAGAATCTTTATTAATTTATTTTTTATTTTATTTTTTGCTTGTCAAGAAAATCCTTGGGTTTGATACGTTTGTGAAAGGAGGTTTTTTTTTTGGGGGGGGGGGTTGCTTGTCGAGAAATTTCTGCGTTGGAAATTTTTTTGACTGGGGTGGACCCCCCCCCCGCCACCCCCCACTGGAAAAAATTCCTGGATCCGCGCCTGAATACATATTATTATATTTATTGAACAGAGCGGATAAGATGTCCCTGTGATTGATTTTTTAATATTTAGACCAGTGCAACAAATATAATCGCGGAAAAAACAGTATTATTTGTAGCGGAGAAGCAGATTTTTTCCCGGAAAAGTAGTGTCGAATAGCAGAAAAGTGACGATATGCTAGCCTAGCCTTGGACGATATGCTAGTCTAGCCATACAAGGATTAATTCATGCAGTGCGTTTAATACAACATAGATATCTAACCTAGCAGCTAGGCTTGCTGCCACGATCTTGAACACAGTCCTAGTTTACATAGTTTAGTGCATTCTAAGTGATTGAACCACAATGTAATAAAATATGGTTTGGTGCGTTGTAAAGGACTGGACCACAATGTAAATTGTGGAAATTTTTACATTACGAAAGAGTCGCAATCATTCATTCACTCAAAATCTTCAATCAATTTAACTTCAGTAATCATAAGTAATGTACATTTTTACTATTTCAGAAAATTTGGCAACTATGACGATTCATTGCGCAGATAAATCAAGTTAAAATATTAATTCTGAAGGAAATATTTAAGTGAAAGTGAGATATCAAAATTTTAAAATTGTACATGTATCAATAGCTCACATGTTGCTGCCCTTTTCTTTATGCAGCATGTCCCTTTCGAGGAAAAAAATTAATTTATTCAACTGCAAACCACTACTATTTATGGTCGTTAAAGGATTATGAAATACATGTATTTCCATTTATTGTTTATTTGATTGACTTTTGTATGTGTAACTATATCTACTTCTACACGTATTTGTGAGCATTTATCATACAATCAGAGTATAGTCTTGAAGCCCACAATTATCATTATTTTGCCAAAAAATAATTTACTGAAATTTACTGAAACAATTGTTAATGCAATATATTGTTTACTAAAATTACTTTATTTCACCATTCTCTATGCACAGTCACACACAATATTAAATGTTCAAAGATAAAAGCTGACTTCATTTTTATCTTTTAGTATACATAACATTTATTATAACACCACCAAATACAATTTTCTTTCATCTCAAATAAAATATTCATATACTGAGAATTAATCATCTTCTTTTTCTTTAAAGTACTTGTCTTCTATTCTCTGACAAAAATTTGTGAGATTCACAAACTCCCGAATGTTTCCTGCTATATTCACTAGGGGGAGCTCTATGGTCAATAGAGAAAAAAGATGTCCAAACACCAGGGCATCTAGTTCTGTTGGACTGAAATGAACAACAATATCAAGAGCTAAAAGAAAATAACTCCAAGACAACGGATGGAATAATTCCAAAATTAAATGATTCAGAAGTGTTTGAAACAATTCTTTTTTCCCACATACTAGTATCCTTCACAATTCGCCAAAAAATTATAATTATATAATATTATTGCCTCACGCACATTAATAAATCTTCATTACCTGTCATGCAAAGATGCATAATCACATGACAATATTCATTAAATAGTGACATTGACAAATTTGTACTTTCGAAACTCATTTCATTTGCAAGTCACAAACCTGTCTCCAAAGAAATATTTCTGTTGTTCTAATCTCTCTGACAATGCTTGGCAACAGGACTTGATTTCATCCAGAACCTTCAATTCAATTCAAAAAATAATTGAGATTTCAGCATCAAAGTTTTCATATCCACATTAATGATTTTCTTCTCCAAATGTTACACTGACAGGAAACACAAAATAACTCCTTTTGTCCCACACTGATTTGAATTAGAAGGCAATATATATTAAAGTAGGTTTCTGTCAATTTAATTTTGGCAGTGCCAATATAAGAAACCTTCTTTATTACATGCCCTATTTGTATTTTATTTTGATGTTTCTATTAAATGCATCCATTGTATCATACTATCTAAATAACAAAATAGGAGAAAATGTGAAAAATGGAAGACTATTTATTTATCAACATACTGCATTTGGAAATTCAAATTTTGGACTGATTTCAATTTCAGTTCATACTTATAATTAAATCTATGCCTCATTTACAGGATGAGAATCTGTGATGGATGTTGATTAATTTACACAAAAACGTCATGCACTTTCTTATTGATTGCATTATGGTGTGTAATTTTGATGGTTACAACCTTGGTAATCATTCAATTCAATCTCTGCTTACAAAAATCTGGAAGGAATGTTGTTGGGACACAAAATTTTTCCAGTTGACTATTAATACAAACCATCATAATTGGAAAAAAATTACTCACATCTTCCAAAGATTTGTCTGCCCACCCCACGCTCTTTAGATGCGATTTCACCTCACTTTTTTTCAACATCGGAATCATCCAATTAAGAGGCCAGGGATGGACAGATCCAACTCGAGTCTGAGTCACCTACAAAAATTTATCTGTACATGTATTCTACCATCAACTAGAATCTTTCAGGCCTTTCAAAATCTGCTGGATATCCGGTACTTTTACAAGGCTGAAATCATGATTGTAATGGCCAAAATATTTGTTGGAGAAAAATTTTATAACATGTTTAATTAAAATTGCTTCCACAAGGTACCTCCTATTTTTGTAAAAGTACCACCCATTTTTAATCTTTTTGAAAGCCCTGATCTTTACACTGTTTACATAGATTTCTTTACTAGTAATATTTAAAAATTCTCATGTGTTTAAAATTATCAAGAAAAATTTACCAACCTCTAAAGCTACAGAATCTGTAAGCCATGCAAGATATTTCTGTAAAAAAGAGAAATATTATCCTTTTATGCAATGTTAAAAACACACACTGTAGGTACTGTAAATGTGGTATTTACACATGGAGCCAGGCGGTAATTTATGCTATAAACATAAATATCAAGTAAACAATCAATGACAAGATATCAATGAGCTGTTAAAGGACTTATCGCATGATCTTTCAAAAATCGTAATTTTATGAAAAATATTATCTACAACCTTGTTTATTAAAATACTGAATACAATAAACGTTGTTGAAAGCATATTTTAATAGATATTGGGAGTTGAAATTCAAATACAGCAATATGCATATTTCAGACCGATTTCGGCGAAATACTGCTCTGACGTCATAGGCGACAATTCAGTGATAGAGAGATGAGAATATGCACACAATTTACGGAGTTATCAACGACAAATGCAGCTTAATTACCAAAAATGCTGAAAATATTAATTCCTAACGTGCTTTTAATTTACTATAGAAACATTAACTAGTTCTAAGGTATAAGGCTTGTGAGATATTTTCGTTTTTTATTCCAAACATTTAGCTCTGATTACGGCAATGTTTCGTGATCGAGAAATTATTTTTCAAGATCGCCATCCTTTAAAAAACATATGAAGACTTGCATAAATTAAATAAATACTGATTATGTTAAAAACGAAGAACAACAAAGTTATATAATGTTAAATTTGTGAATCAAATAAGTAAATACATGTGATAAGATGACAAATCAAATCGTATTCTGATGGCGAGTTTCTTCGTCTTCGCCGCGTCTTCTTCGCTGTCGTCGCTGCTATTTTTACAATGTTAACAGATTTTTTAATATATTCGATCAGTGCATATTATCTATTCAAGATATATTACTAAAGTCAGGTACTCTTCACACAATTGCTCCGAAGAAAATAGTTCCATTCATGATCAGTAGATACAACATTACAACAAATGTTAAGAATAATGATGTGTATTCAATACGTTAAAGAAAACAAAATTAACGTAAAAAGATTTTAAGAAAATCACTTTTCCCCAGAAAAGGAAATAAAAAGTTTTCATATTCCTACGCTCGCTGCCTCCTCAGTCTTTTTCACGAAAATATATAGGTCATCCTTCGATTGATAGTGATAAATCTTTTCACCAATTATATAACTGTCATGATTATTGTTCGTTAATTGCCGTATATTTTCTTTTGAGTGAGAATATTAATCATTAACTGTGTGTGTGTTTTTTCTCTTTTTTTAAATAACGGAATGGTTATTATGTGGTTAAACACCTGCAATCGTAACTTCTCGGCAAAGCAACGTGATTTGCCGTGATTTGCCGAGCTCGTCTGAAAGGATCTTCGCACGTGTGTAAACCTAGTCTACTTGGTCTTGCAAGCACAGGTATGTGCACCGTTCGCTAGTGACGCTTAGATCATGTAGACTGGGTATCAGTATTTGCTACGGACATGAAGAAGAACTATACATCAGTTTCATAACAAGTGCAGGTTTTTTACTCAAGCCCTAGACTGGGCTAGAGGGGCTGAGTTACCTAAAACGATGCTAGGTCATTGGTCTATTCAGTTTAAAAACACGAAAATATACTATTTTTGTAAATAAAAACATTTCTAGAAACAAAAATGAAGTCTATCTTCAAAACGTCTCTATATTCAAAATCTATATAAAGTGTTAAATGTCGGATTTTATTCTTTGACGAAGGAGTGATGCTCCACCGCCGCAACCGATCTCGCGCTTTCCTTTGCGTTTAACAACGGCCGTCAATGTATCTCTAGACAAGTTCATTGATTACTCTTGTTGACCCATCTTTAACATCTGCCTATACTTTGAGTGATAGTACTTTAATAGCACAAAATTAAAAAATAAATTAAAATCTATCCTTGATAGATCTATAGTTTTGCTATATAAAAAATTGGGCTATCTTTGATCTTTGCTTGGACTTGTTTCGAATTTTTACAGAAGATTCTATCATTGGAAAGTTAGATGGTACACATGTAGCACAGGCCCATAGTACGCGGGATTTTTTCGGAGCCCCCCCCCCCCTTCACTTTGAAAACGTTGCCTGTAACATGCTATTTGGATTAAATATTCCTGAAAATGAGTGAGCTGTTAAATACATCTTTAAAATTATATGGTTAATTATATTTAGTCTATATTCTATGTGAAATTAAAACTATTTCTATAAGCATCTGCAACGTTGTGATAATAAAAGTCACTAATCGCATGTATCGTTATATTATATACATGTATGTACATGCAGTTTCCTTAGTACATGCATATTTTATTCAACAAAAGATGTTGAAACTCAGTAGCCTAAATATTATGTCATTTTAGGTTATTTATGGCCATTGTATAGTTGACTTTCTACAGCTTGAGTATCTCTGACGTTTTATCAGTAAATAGTTTTTTTTTTAAATTAGAAATCATCTGAGCACAATGAAAATTCGAATAAATTAAAAGTCGAATATCTTGGATATGGGGTAACCCATATCTATTCTTGTCAGATTTTTTCTTGCTGAAAATTCTAACATATAGGTTGGATATTCAGTTTCATATGGATAAAATACGCGATTTGGTCGTCCACAACGCAGAAAATTCAGGTTGTATCGCGTATATTTTCGTAAGATTAACGTGGAGCTGATCAGCCATTGTCGCCTTTGACGTCACAGGGTCACGTGATCGCTATCTAATTAACTTAGATTTTTAAATCAGGGGTTTTCATTTGAGTCAATAATTGATTAATTACCGCAGTTTATCCGCAGTAAAAACACAAAATTTATAAACTGTGGTCATAAGGAACGTTTTACGCTTTTAATTTCAAATAATTTAGAAACATGCAATAAGTCCTTTAAGGTCCATTACTACTGTATTCCATTTTATACTGGCTGTTGTTAGAAAAGATTTTTTACAATTTATAACTTGGTTTTAAATTTGTTTCATGTTGTCCACAAACATAAATGCAGCCAAAATATCATCTGTCTCATAAAAACATAGAACTCAGTATTCAAGAAAAGAAAACAATTTATATATTACAGTATTGATCATTTTTTACATGAGACTCAATGTACGTATATATATAAAACAAATCTTTAAAACTTCTCAGTATATTCAGCATAATGTTTTAATAATGTTTAAGGGGGCCGACTGGGGTTTTCATCGCGCAATACTTTGCACAGCATAGTAAAATAAAGCGTATTTACTTTTTTAAAGCAACTATTTTTACATAATTTATAAAAATTAACAAAGAACTATATACGGTAAGGGCGTACTCCTGCCCCCATAATAGTCAAATTTTGAATATCTCTTGAAATGAGAAAAAGTGCATATATTGTACAAAATAATCCAAATTAAGACAATATATTATGAAATTGGAAAAATTAGTTGGCTTTTCTTGTCTCTGTGACGTCACAAACTATTTGGATTTCCGTTATTTTTAAAATAGAGTCCAAAATGCACAAATTTTGTTCAATTTTGACTATAGTATTTATAGAGCGCAAGCTTGCTCAGGTATCATATTCACATATTTCATTGATATTATCATTCTTCACATTATATCAAAAGATCTAGTCTGAGCAGACCTGCGCTCGATAATTTCCAATCAAAATACCGACGTAAAATACGCTATTTTCTCTCAAAATCATTGCAATTTGGAATTTACGTCATTTTATTGACGTCATATCTAACTAATGATGTCATAGTTGATAAAAATATTTAATGCTTTGAAGTCTGCAAATATCCACCTGGTTTAGAACATAATTAAAGATTTCTCCATCAAAGTTTTATTTTGGGGGCAGATACTGGCCACTACAGAATATAGTCCTTTAGGAAATCTCAGGTTAAAAAATCTTATTACGTTTTTAAATAACTGATTTTTTAAACGATTTTTTAAATGATGGGTAGATAGACGTCGTAATAGTGTGTTTTTGACGTTATGAATATAACCGAAGTTCTTTAAGTGGGGTCATTAATTATGCCATAAAATAAAAAGTATAAAATACATGCTCTTGAAATTTTAAATATAGGAAATTGAGAATCTAACAATCATTTTCATTAATTTTTATGTAAATCTGTGGTATCTATCATGTTTTGTTGTACTCCATAAGAACAGGAAAATATCATAAATTTTTACATTTTGAGATGCCCCCTCTGGAAACCAGACGGTAGAATTTTGTGTTTCTTGCACAAAATGTACAATATAGTATTACCCATCAAATAATATAATTTGAGCAAAAAGTCTACAGTAGCATTTGTATAATTTGCTCCGAAGTGCAAAAAAATGGTAGTTTCCTATATAATCCTATAGTAAATGTACCTGTATTTTGAGATGGTCCCTAAAAAATAACCAGGCGGTAGATTTTCACTAAACTTGGCATGTATACCAAAGTCAATGTAAGGTACATATGGTATAAAATTAAAGAGTTTCTCGATAGTAGTTTTCACATAATAAAACCCCAGTCGGCTCCCTTAATTTACAGTAAAACACCGTTACACACTTATAAAAACATGCTTATAATGAATTGAAACTTATAGCAAAGTGAATTTCATTCCCTATGACTTTAAAATATATTTAAACTTAATGGATATAATGAATTATGCTGATAACAAAGAAAAATTGTCTGCCCCTTGCACTGTTATAAGCGTGTTTTACTGTACATGATTAATTTGTATAGTGATCAAATTTTCCTCGGCATATTATTGTCCTCCAACCCTCATATGTCTTAGAATATTGAGATGACAAAAACAAAACGTATTCTTTTTTGGGTGACCTAATGAATATTTACCTCAGCTCTTCCTAGAATACTAGACACCATGGCACAATAAGCTCTCAATTCTGATCTCTCTGTTTCAGACAAGTCTGTGTTTAAACTGAATCCCTAGGAAAAAAACATATATACAAAGTTTTAAAAGTACTATTAGGATTTTGACAAACAAATGGGGAAAAAAAGTATACAGATAAGTCATAAGCATTTCCCTATAATGAAGTTAGAAAATACTGACACTCTAATTTATAAATTAAAATGCATAATATTTCCATATAAATTACCCTTAAACCAGCAAATGCTACTATAGGATCAAACTCAGCCACAATAAATGCCCCAACTTGAAGAAATGGAACAGAGCCTGAAAAAATGGGAGAAACTCATTAACTCTATTCATTTTATCAAAAAATCTCACAATAGCTAGGTCAGACATTGCTGTTGATCATGATCACAGCCATTTGTGTTGCGAAATCTTTATCAATACATGTAAACATAAACATGTGTGAAATAATGAACAATGATCACTTTGTCTTCAATAAAATTGACATATTTTCTCTGATTTTCCAACAGCATAATTTTTTTTTAAAGTACACAGTTTTTTATGTGTATGTGTGTGTGTTTTTATACACTACAATGTGTATGTGTTTTTTATACACTACAATGTGTAAATGTTTTTATACACTACAATGTTTATGTTTCTGTACACTACAATGTTTAAGTTTTTTTTTTTTAATACACTACCATATTCATGTGCTTTTTTTACACTACAATGCTTAGAAATGTTTTTTTTTAAACACTATAGATGAGTTCACCATACATTGGACTACTGTTCATATAATTACCTTGCTTCTGACAACTTTAATCAATATATAAACTTGCATCCAACCCGAATATCTCTGTGTTTTTTGATTTGTTTGTCATAGATCCGAAGATTTCAACATTTTAACGATGCCTACACTTATTTTCATGTGGATATAAAAAACCACTAGAATGGCCTTGAAGTGACATCATCTTTGACATCATCAAAGGTGAGTCTACAGGGCTGTGTTCAAGATCGTAGTGGCTACCCTAGGAGCTAGACATATTGTTTTTCTAGTTCTATTGAACGGACAGCTCGCCTAGCTGCTAGGTGTTAGATTTTGAATATATCTCTGTGAGTAATAACTAGTAAGCTTAACTTGAGCAAAAATGTAGATTTAAATTTACATTTAATAAGCTAAGGTGGAGAAAACTAGGGCTGTGTCAATATATCGATTAATCAATACTCATCAATATTCTGGAATGTATCGTATCGAAAAAATAATTTCAATATGTATTGGGCAGGCAGTTTTTCTAATAATTCTGTGAAAAAGTTGGGAATTTCAGTCATCAAAGATTATTTTTTTTACTGTTTTGAATTAAAACTGATCAATAATGAAATAAACATTAAGGAGATAGCACATCTTCAATAACTATTAAAAAATACATAGACAACTATATTTTAACATGTTAGTTTTACATGTACAGTCATTAAAAGTTTGAATTTGAGGTGTACTTTGTAAAGAGACATGAACTTCCAATTTGGTAATAAAACACCTAGTTTTTATCAAATTTATGCAATAAATGATTTACAAGACTTTTTTGATAGACTTGTTAAAGAATCCAATATATCGCATATTGCTGTATAAAATATTATATTGTATTGTATCGAAATATTTTGCTCAATACACAGCCCTAGAGAAAACCCAACCAATTTTTAGTACCTCATATGGTGCAAAGCAGTACCAGGTAACTTACGAGACCATCTTGGATTTAGTATACCTAGCATAGAATATCTATGCTAATATTCCCAATGTAGCAGCTAGGCTAGCTTATCATTCAAGATCATAGCTCTACACAGAGGCTACATAGCCAATATGATCTTGAATGTACCCCAGGATTTTATGATTTTGCAAATTTATAGAGTTGTCTTTCTTTCATTAGACTTCAAAGAAAAGACCCTGTATTGATGAATTTTGTTAATGATTGATTATTTTCTAAAAAATTTCAAAATTTACATTATTTTTCTTTGAGTTGTTTTTTACTAAGACATATTAGTTCATTTCACCATGCATCAAACACAAATTAATAGCGATTCTCTGTAACCACTTAAACTTCTTTGCCACGCATGGTCACCGATTTTGATGAAACTTTGCCCATTATTACAACTTGACACCAGAATCGTATATCAAATAAAATTTCGTTGCTATGTGTCTTGGTTGCCATGGTAACAGCAAGAAAAGTTGAAAAAATTGAGATTTTCAGCTACTTTAAATTTTTATTAAGCCTTAATAAAGACTAAGAAAAACAAACAAACCATTCTCCCAAAAACATGACACCTTGTTGCCACTTATGCTATAAAGAAACTATTTAGAATTTATCTCTTAGTAAGTGGTAACCATGGGTACATTTGGAATACATTTTAGATGCTGAAAAATGCTGAAAAACGCTCTATAGTCACAAATGATAGATGTTACATGATCAAACTCAATCAACAACGTAAGAAAAACAATGAAAAATATTTGACCTCATGTAATTAGGTATTGGCAATATTATTCTAAAAATAACTTTCATGGTTGCCATGGTAACACAGTGTCACCATGCAAAATCTGTTACTATGATTGGGTTAATGCTACTATCGTGAGGAAAAACAATAAAATTCATGACTGGCACATATGCATCCTTAGGACCTTACAACACCGACAACATAAGAAAAATTTAGATTAATTTTTACTTTGTAGTGTAACCATGGAAACAACGTACTAGTTGTTTAAAGTGATATTGTTTTTGCTGCTTTAGGAATTTACTAACCTTTTAATCAAGAAAAATATTATTTGAATCACCTTGGATAGTACTTATCTCGTAGAACTAAAGTTGAATATCATATATTGATAAAGGTTGTTGAAAAATACAACACTGTTGCTATGGTTACCAAGAAGAGAAAATGTTCGATTTTGTTAAGTTTTTGTCAATATTAGACCCTATGTGCCAGCTTTTTGCATCCAGTTAGAGATTGGGTGATAGTCAAAATTGAAAGTCAGGTTAGTTGTTCACATATATCAATCATTAAAGTTTTGGGAATCTACATACAACTGTACGTATCCAAGGAAACAGAGTGTTTTTCAGATTTTTGTGCATGTTTTTTCGCCTTATTTCCATAGCAACGCACTATTTAAAGAATTGAAATTGAATTTTTTGAAATGCGAAAATTAGGGTCACACCAAGGCCTTTAAAAATTGATCATCAGTTATATAGAAATATGCTTTTTAAAAAGATAGGATAAGATTAAAACACTAAGAGAGTAAATTTAAAATCCCTTCGTGGTATTAAAACCATGGCAACCATTGCCAACCTATAAGAAATATCATAATTTGTCCTTAGTATATGTTACAAGGATCTCTTCTCTATTATTTGCTTGCATTTCAACCTATAATTGTTTTTATTCTTAAGTGTATGACTTTATAAAATTAAATGAACAAAATTATTACTTTTGAATACGTGGTTTCCATAGTAACGTATGTTATAGATGATTTACCAAACATGTTTATAATGCATTTAAGACACCAGGCCTTCAGCTTTCAGAAACAGTCATTGCCACTTGTTTGCTTTGCTGCAAACGTTAACTGTGGGACTCTGAAGATGTTGAAAAATGCCATTTTTCAAACTTTAAGAGATGTTGTTATGGTAACCATGACACGTAGCAACCAATTTTTGCCTGATTTGAGTTTACGGTATCAAAGACTTTTATCATAGAGAGTTTGGAGAAATTCTGAGACTATGCGTGCCACAGCTCCTATATAAAAGTTCAAGTCATTACAGAGAATGGCTCTTAATCATGCATCAGACAAAAATTAACCATGCATTTGACATTTTCTTTTTCTTGACAAATAACACATAATTGTGTCACAAATTCATATTTTAATCACACAATATAAATTAATTAATCTACATTTTAATAATATTCCTTCTTAAGCGATACTGCTAGTCAAGAACTTATAAAAGTACAAAGATGTCCGAAGCATGGTGAACTCACCCTAAAGTTTATGTGTTTTTTAATACACTACGCTGTTTATGTGTTTTTATACACTACAATATTTATATATTTTGCTCACTACAATGTTTATCTGGTTTTTTATACACTACATTGTTTATGTGTGTTTTTTATACACTACATGCAATGTTCATGTGTTTACCTGATGGTGACATTTCCTCTGCATTTGTACGTAATTCTCGTGTAAATGGTGCATTGCACATTTTAAGAAAAGTTCTAACACTGAGGCAGTTGGCATAGTCTGGTAAGATAATTTGCTCAGCTGAAAAGAAAAGAAAGCTCACGTACAGCTTGTTCTAATAAATAAACTTAATATATACAAGTTAAAAATGACTGTGAAAGATCACAATAAACAATGTATATAGCATGTTGACTCATTATGTCAGTCTGTCAGATATTTTAATTCATGATTGTTCAATTTTTTTTTTTTTTTACATTGTATTATTCCTAATGAAGCACTGCATAGTGTTAGTTTATCACTTTACCTTGGTATGGTTCATATAGTTTGACATTGTTAGGCCATCTTTCTCTTGCTAAAAATGAATAAGAAGCTTTTAATATTATAGAATATGAACCATTTTTATTAATAAAATAATCTATGAACTACAAACATATCATTATCTGTTTATTCATAGACATACTTGAACATAAAAATATAATTCTGCGAGAAAATTCGAACAACCCATGCCTTTACCATGTTTACATTCAAAACTTGTAAATAGAAACGTGTTTTATAGAATGTGATTGTTGAATACAGTTTCTTAATTTAAATAAGGCAGTGATATTTTAAAATACATCTACAATACCCCCAAGTTCTGCTTGTACAGCCTCTGCAACTAGAGAGGTCATCCCTGTTTTTGTCGGAAGTGTCTTTCTGAACTCACTTTACTTTCATTTTCGGTTTGCCCGATGAGCGGAACGGACCAAGAACAAGACAAGAAGAAGCGGGTTATAGTGGGATGCACAGGGAGTGTTGCATCTATAAAAATTCCTTTACTAATTCAAGAACTTAAGAATCTTAATGAGAAGGTAAAATAATTTATGTTCATGTCGATTATAGGACGACCATGTGGTTGTGAAAGGGGGGGGGGGGGGGTGGGGGGGTGGCGAGTCAGATTATTTATTTTCATACCAGTCAAGGACAGATTATTTATTTTCAAGATGATCAAGGATGGAATATTTATTTTTTCCTTCACTTGTTGTCGTTTTAAACTTTTCCCATTTTCACCTTCTTCTCCAGAACCACAGGCCTGACAGGGCCAATTTCAACCAAACTTTGCACAAAGTATCCCTGGGTGAAGGGGATTCAAGTTTGTTCAAATGAAGGCCCACGCCCTCTTCCAGGGGGTGATAATTAAGAAATAGTGAAAATTAAATGGGTAATTTAAAAGTTTGTTCAAATCATGACCCCGGGGATAGGGTGGGGCCACTTTGGGCAATCAAAGTTTAGCAAAGAAATACTTAGAAAAAATCTTTAAAATTCTTCTCTTAAAGAACAGCAAAGTCATGATTAGTCGTATTTATAAGGAAGCATCCTCAGATAGTGTAGATCCAATTTTGTTCAAATCATGAACCCCTAGGGTAAGGTATGGCCACTATGGGCAATCAAAGATTAAATAGGAATACATAGAAAAAAATCTTTAAAATTCTTCAGCAAGGTCACAGGTAAGTCAAATTTATATGGAAAGCATCCTCAGGTAGTGCATCGTCTCAAGCCACGATCCAGAGTCTGCATATATATAGCTCTCTCCTACCCGTGGCTGCTTGATCACAAACAGTGTCATAATATTGAATATTTAATAATTTGAAAGGTCCTGTAAAAGTTCATTATCCGACTATGCTTTATCGCATTGTTCAATATTTTAATGAGCTTCAAAATATTCTCTTCTCATTCAACTACGGCCAGAATGGGAGAGGATATCGTACATTTTGGCTGTGGTTTGCGACAATGCAGGTAGTGTAGATTCAGGTTTTTTCAAATCATGACACCTGGGATAGGGTGGGGCTGGGGGTTGGGTGGGGCCACAATATATTATGTTAATTTTACATAGGAATATATTGGGAAAAAATCCGCTGATAAAAGAACAGAAGGGCCAAAGTTACTCAGATTAGTGTTATGGCCCATGGGCCTCTTGTTTTACATAGTTTACTTAGTCTCGAGTTAGATATTTTAAAACATATGTTATTTCATAGATGTTTTAAAATATTAATGTTAGACAGGTTCATTCATTGGTGGGCAGAAAGCTCATTAACTAAAAGCATCTGTTTAAAGTGCAGAGGTCCTTGTTTGTGTCATTTTTTCCTTTCCATTTGGTGTATACCCTGAACATCTTAAGTGAAAAATTAGCAATTACCGTAGCTTGGGTTGGTGTTTGTAGGGCAAAGGCATGTAAGGAGTGTAGGAAATGTGTCAGGTAGGGAGGTACCAGTAGAATTGCCATTTTTCAGATACTTAGTAGCTCAGTTAATAGTGCACCTTTCTAGACTTCATAAGGCCTGGTATGGATTCTAGCTGGTCAATCACAACTTCTTTCTTTCTGTTACATGGACAACAAGGATAAAAATTAATAAAACATTTCAGTGAAAGAATAATTCATTTCCTTAATATTCTCTTGTTCATGGTATTTTCAAATTGAAATAAAAAGAAATTTTGTTACTAGTACCAGGTATTTGAAGAATGTACAAATTTATCTATCAAGAAATTTTGTTGTAATTAGGATACTGTTCAGATTGTGATCAAATTGTGACTCATTTCTCTAGCAGTAATAAATCTACCAATTAACGTTGTGATATTACATTTTTTTTTGCTGTTTGACAGGTTGAGATCAAGGTAGTAGCCACTGATCATGCCCTTCATTTTTTCAACAAAGACTCTCTTCCTGTTCCAGTACTAACAGATAATCATGAATGGGAGGTAAGCAAGAGTGCTTAGATTTTTTACAACGCCAAGACTCTGAAGGTAATGCATATTGTGTCTCATGAAAACTTTATGTTATTGTTTACCCCATGCTTGAAAAGTAAGGTGTATAATGATAAGGGTGTCTGTCCATTCGTCCATAATACTTGGTTGTATCCATCTCTTATCTGCAACTTCTACTATACCACTAAATAAAATCAAATATGACTTTCACAGAATCTTATTACATAGTGCTATTGTGACCTCCTATTTTTTGGTTCGATCGGACAGATATTTGGGATTTCCTGTAGCAAGACATGGACACTGCCATTCTTTTCATAACAGTGGGGGTACCAATCTCTCATTCGCATCTCGTTATATACCACTGAACAAAATTTAATGAGACTTTCAACAAATCGTTATTTACAAATGCGATTGTGCATTTACTTTTTATTTTAATTGGGCAGATATATGGAGTTTCCCATGGCAAAACCTGGACACTGCCATTCTTTCTCTCAATAATATTGGGGGTACCCATATTTTATCTGCTCCTATACCACTGAAGAAAATTTAATGACACTTTCACAGAATCTTCATTACATAGTGCCATTGTGTACCTTCTATTCTATGTTCTGACTGGGCATATATTTTGGGTTTCTCATAGCAAAAAATGAACTTCACCATTATACTCATGTGAGCAGGGGTATCAAGTGCTCACAGTACTTTCAGTTTATAATTGCCATAATGGCTATATATGGACTGTGGATATAAGCCTAAATAGCTCTGTGATTAGAGACCCTGACATGTTATGCAGAGGTCTATGGGTTCTGGTCCAGCCATTATTAAAAAGCTAGGTTCACTCTTTACATAAAATGGTTGTCATTATACCAATTTATTGACTGTCACCCTTTGTCCCTCTTCTAACATCAATATAAAGTAGAGACTTAGTGCTTTCATTTCCTGTATCAAAATTTCTTTTGAGAGCCCAGGTACTGGAAAACAGGCTTTGTAAAATTGCAATGTTTGTGAATTTTGAAGAAAATAAGTGGATTTGAGTACCTTCAACAAAGAATTACAATATGAGCACACTCCTTGGTCCAAAAAAAAACATGTTTTAAAATAGTTTTATTTATTTAGGATCAGGAAATGTGCTGTATAAGAAATATCGAAAAAGAGCTAAAACTTTTGGCCTTTTTTGAAGGAATTTTCAGGATATGGGAATAATGACACATTTCATGATGTCATAATGCATTGACAAATGAGAAAATTACCTCTTATTTGAAAGATATGTAGTCAGCTAGGGTCCAAGTGATATTTAATGCATTGTCAACCAAAACTGAACAGGTTTGATTTTTCAGAAATTCACAGGGCCAAAAAAGGCCCTAAGCAAACCTTACTCTTTTCATTATGTAATTGTTCATTCCTCTTTCCTACTACATTTTGTAAAAAGCATTTTATTTGATTAGGAATTGACTTTTTCAGATGTGGAAAAGTGTGCAGGATCCAGTTCTTCATATTGAGTTAAGGAGGTGGGCTGACATGCTGGTGATTGCCCCAGTAGACTGTAATACACTGGCTAAGATAGCTAATGGGCTCTGTGACAACTTACTGGTAGGAGACAACTGCATAGAATAGGAAAGAAATTGTAAAATTCATACAAAAAAAAAACAGTAATTTTAAATTTATTAAATGTGCAGATTGCAGTATTAATGGGTAAATTTTGATTTCCCGAATTGTTCTTGCTGTATGCCTTAATGCCTTTAATGTTTGAGGTGGTCTGTACCTGTAGCCCTGCAATGGTTGAAATTAGTAAAATTACAAATACCAATATATAAATTCAGTATTCAAATAGATCTGATTTCACTACCAAATAAAGTCAAAAATATGAATATGTATCAATATTAGCTCAACTTGACAAAGTTGAAAGGAGTTTATACTAAACCCCAGTCATGAGAGTTGTCTTAGAGTTTTAGGAGCAAGTCTTTTCCCTAGTAACTATAAGTCCCATTTGGACAAAACTTGCATGAATGATACATCTAGGGATGCCCAGTACTAGACTTGCTTTTGATGCTGCTTCTGACCAATATTTTCTGGAAGATTGAAAATGTCAAAGATTTTGGAGCAGGTCTATTCCCAGGGAAGTATAAGCTCTATCCTGACCAAAATTGCATGATTGGGGCATCAGGAGATGCACTCTAGCAGATTTGTTTCAGACCCTGCATCTGACCTTCATATTCTGGATGAATAACAGAATAAATTTTTGGAATAACTCCATTCTCAAGTAACTATAAACCGTATCATGTCCAAAGTTGCATGAATGATACACACTATTAGAATTGCTTTTGATGCTGCATCTGACTTGCATTTTCTGGATGAGTGACCACATTATTTTTTTTGAGAAGATACATTCCCAATTAACTATAAGACCTGTAACAAACTATAAGTAATAACTGTAAGTCCTACCCAAAACTGAACTTGCATATTAAATATAACATCTAGAGAAGAACACTAACAGAGCATTCATTTGGTAGGAGACTTTGCCTTACTTAAAAATAATGTGTTGAGGTGAAATTTGTAAATTTTGATTGCCTATGTTTTTTCTATATCACCATCTATTACAGACATGTATAGTAAGAGCTTGGGATCTAAATAAGCCATTATACTTTGCCCCAGCCATGAATACCTACATGTGGGAGCACCCGATCACAGCACAACAGATAGAGACACTAAAGAACTATGGCTATAAAGAAATCCCCTGTATTGAGAAAAAGTTAGCATGTGGAGACACTGGTAAGTGAAAGATATAAACAGAATTCTAAGATTTTGTTTTAGTCTACATGTATGTACAAAAACATTGTAAACTACTTCCGCATTAACATCTGACAGCCAAAATCTGTTTGTTATAATATCCACAGTTCATTATATCTAGTTGAAAACTTCTTATTCTTGGGGACATAATATGTTCTGTTTTTGAAGCTGTTGTTAACCATTAGTGTATTCATCTTCAAACATGTTTTATTATGTATGATTTCAGTCTTAATATCTTTCTTAATAGGAAAACTTGTCTTTATTTGTAAAAGAGAAAAAATATTTAAAATAAACAACAAAATTGTTGCATCAATGACAGCATCTGCTTGTTATAGAATTGCTTGAGGCAAAATACTGGTAAACTGATAGATACACTTGATATTTCAGGATTTGGAGCAATGGCAGAAGTTTCTACAATTGTAGGATATATAAAGGAAGCTTTGAACTTGACATGAAATTTCCTAATTCTTAGTTGTACATAATCTTAGAGTAGTGGACAGCATTCAAAGTTTCTTTTGTTGATATTAGCTAATTTATGAAGAAAAGTTGACTTTTTTTGGTTAAAAAGGAAGTTTTTTTATCATGCCAAATGCAACAGAGAGAAAATAAAGTCATCATCTGATCAGCTCTTGTGTTATGTACTGCTGTATATTTTTATGGTTTTTCAGTTATTCTCATCACCACAATACAACAATGAACAGGTACAGTATGTCAAGACAAAACAGTTATGCTTTCACAAATGGCCATTCAAATTAGAAAAAAAAATCAAGAGAGTTTAATTTACTATATAAGCCCTGATATACCATTTAAACCCAGTAAACCCAGGATGTCTACATGATATTTAATAAAAGTATTCAGATTTTCTTGTGGGTATCTGCATTATCACATCACAAATAAATCATTGCTCCAGTTTTAAAAAAAAATTGTTACAAATGGCCAAATAGTCTAGTCAATCTAACAAAAAATAGGCTCAACCTCAAACTAATTGTAACAGAAATTATTTTGTAATTAATAAATTCAAGTACATGTATATTTGAAATATATGGAGTAAAAAGTCTAGAAAAATCTAATGAGGGGAAAGCATGATTTTGGCATATTTATTTACCTATCAAAGTTACTATACAAAAGGGGCAATAACTCAGTAATTTTTCTGAGATGATAGGAGAAAATTGTGTATTTTTCAAAATAGCTTGATCTGGTTAAAAATGTTTGATATAATATATGATATCATTTAGTTGCATAGATAAAATCAATAAAAAATGAATGTTTTGAAATTAACTTGATATTTTTTTGCCTTTTTTGTAAATATGAATTTTAATAATAATGTCAGAGAATACATGTACAAAGTTTAGGGGGAAAAAATATATACATGTATGTTTTAGTTTGAAAAATTAATTTCAATTAGTATCTTAATACTAAATACAATAAAAAATAAATATGTGAAGGGATCAAAGATAAAATTTGACCTACATAATACTGTATGTGTACTTAAAAAAGTGGGCTTCATATTTTAGCGGCTTTGGCACAGACAATGATGCGCTAATTCATGAATATTGCTAATAAATCATTTATTAATACAATACATGGCACGGACAAGTGTAGCACTAATTCATGATTATGCCAACAACTCCATACCCCTTGATTGTGCTAAAGGATGTATTCGTTATAACAAAAGATTTGACCTATAGGAGAGAACATTTTTCCGGAAAAAGTCACATTTAAAAATCAATGTTCTTTAGTTGTTTTCTATCGTATATTTGTCTAAATTTTTCAAATCTGCATTTTGAACCTAATTTTTTTTTATTTGCAACTTTGAAATTAACCTCCAAAGTTGGTGAAAACAGTATTTTGTCCATTAAAGCACTAATTTTTGTGTGAATTTTGGCATAGAAGTTCTTCAGGGCAGGCCTGCCCCTAAATTAAATTATGAAATTTTAGATTTTGATCTAAAGAATGATTTAAAACAAGATTTTTTTAGGGGCACCCCTGCCTTAGGGTCGAAATACATAAAAAACCTACAAAAAATGCGAAAACCTATTTCTGTCATACTGGATTATATTTATGGAGTATGTTTTTATAGTCAGTATAGGTCAGAGAGATAGATCACAGACTCTTACAATGGACATTTTTAGTGTCCTGGTTCGAATCCACCTGTTGGCACACTTATTTTTTCAAATTTTACATCTTTATAAACACGCACTTTAATTTTTTATAAAGGCTTTTGCATTTTACTTCCATTTTCTTCCTTAAATGCATGTTTGCTGTTGATATAAAAGACACTTATAGAAATGCAGATCATAAATTCTCTTTAACTAAACGCAATCAACCGGAACTATATACCTCAGTGTAAGCACACTTTGTTCGAGGACACAAATCATTCACTTTGTGTTACTCGATACTGCAGGTGTCACGAAAAAATAAATCATGCCGAGCAAAAATTGCTGTGTTTGTCTTTCAAGAACATCTCTGGGTAATAGTACTTTTGTGCCAGTGGGAGAGATACTGCGCTATGCAGAGTAGATGCAGTTCATTCCTCGGGAAAATTGTGTGCATTGGCGACGTTATGTCAAAAATGCAGGAGGAAGGGTTACAGATTAGACTGAAAAGAATGTGGTAAGGTCAGTTAAGGTTTTAAGCCCTGTTTCCATTACCCAGGCATCAAGTAAGGACCCTCATACAAAGGATGTATATGTAAATACCTAGGTAGGGTCATATGAACACACAGTTGACTAGAACTAAATCAAGAAACAAGAAACTACACGCATGTGGCCTAAAGTCAACGACCGGAATGGATATCGATAAGCTCTTTCTAAAGACTGAAACCAATATCGGCCCTATAGGTCAACACATATATTTACCTAGAAGTGATCCTTTTGAATACGCCAATCTATGTACACTTACAGTATTCTGATAATTAACTTCAACAAATTTTATTGTGAAGTAAAAATTGCAACATACACTCCAAAATGGGTCAACATATCTGAAATAAACTTTTGTATGTTATAAAATTACATCTAAAAATGTCATTCGTTATAGTTTAATTCACTTTGAGATAGAAAAGTGCACCAAGATAGGGATTAAAAATCATTGTAATCACAAGAATTATGCCCCCTTTTCTATGGTAGTTTATGGAAAATTAATGTACTACAAAATGATACTTCCACTCTTTAAATTTTGCTAGATTTTTTATCCACATTTTTTTTATTGAGCTCTACAGTTTATTTTTCATGAGACATTTCTGTTGCAGTTAGTTTGATGTTAAACCATGAATTGACTAGACCAACAAATTTTAAGTTATATTTCAAAAGAATTCATAAACATTCAATTTTCTATTTGCTAGTATGAAGCTTTCTATAGATAATGACAGCATAATCCTCTGTATATATCAAAGTCTGAAATTGCACTGTGGGATGACAGTTTATCAGTGGGTATACATTGTTTGATTATTTCCTTAATACAAAGTACACAGTATTTCAGTCATATTTTTGCAGTATAAATATTAATGTCCTATTACTAGTTTTGGAAGTTTTTTGGGTTTCTCTGGCAGCCCCCAGTGAGCCTACTCTTTTTTGAAAACTTACCCATGCCAAGGGGATTGTAATTCTCGACACAAGGCATCATGACGGACTTAACAGGGCCAGTTTGTGCATAACAAAAACTATAGCTATATTTATCAGCTGTATTTATCATATCAGGTACACATACATTGTATACTGTAGATCACCAAATTTTTGTGACACCCTTATTTTCACAAGTTAGCAATTTGGTATTTATAAGCGAGACAAAATTTTCATGAATGTAGGTTATTGCTGAATATATTCCATGCTGATAAAAATATACGCATGAATGAAATTTTCATGGGTAGACTGTCTCGCATAATTACCCGAAAATAAAGTTTCACGAATAATAAGTGATTAAAAGTACAAGTTTCAAAACATAGATATTGAAAGATATTTCACAATTTATTTACAAATTTTTAATAACATTCCTGGAAAGTTATGTACAATATTTACATATTTTTATTACATGTACATGAAATTAAAACTTTCAACACTTACTGTGCCACCTGCTTGCAGGTTAGTTTTTCAGATCCAGACTTATTTGCAGTATGCACACAAATAAAAGAATCACACACATATTTATACAAATTTACAAATAAATTTTAATGATTAAGTTACATGTTTCATTGATGTGAACATTTGTGTTAAGTTAAATGAGTATGTTACAGAAAATGAGAAGTAAAAAATGAAATGTCTAAATTTTATAATGAAGTCTAATATGTGGTGAAATTCTTGATTGCAACAACATCGGACCCTCGTGGGTTTTGTCCCCTTGGCTGCCAGCTAGGAACATCATCTCCGTAACTTGGGGCATAGTAATAATGTCTGCGGATTGTATTGTTTAATTCACAAAGCTTTGTTACTCCATCTACTACATAGGCACGGATGTCTGTATTCTCTGAGTTTATTCTGCCACTCTCCAGTAAATTAGCAAAAGCCTGGGGAAAAAATGATTATCCATATGAAATACAGTCTAATTCTTATTTATCAGGAGATGCTTTCTTATGAATTGTCTCTGATCTGTGCATTTTTATTGAAATTAAAAATGAATATTATTTCAAGAGACATATACAAGTATATTGGATCTAATTTTATGTATTTGTCTAATCAGCACCAATGCACTTAACAAATTTAAAAGGGCAACTGTTAAATATACTTTATTTAAACACAATTTATTTAAAAGGGAATATTAACTTTAAAAAATACAGAAGTTTGTCAGGGTAGTATCTGTCATCCTTAGATGTGACAATCGGAACACAGAACAACAAATTGTGAAATTCAAAATTGCCATTCTTATTTCTTAACACTTCATTGATTCATATTTGAACTTAAATATACATAAATTTTAGGCAAGTTTTCTTATAAATTTCACTTACAATAGTTGCTGGTTCCTCCAGTTTGTTCCCCCAGATAAAGATTTGTTCAAGAGATGTATTCACTTTCAGGGCATCAGCCAAGGCACACAGCCCTTTGTTTCCAATATTGTTATATGACACCACCAGTCTAAGAAAGCCCAAAATCAGATTTAGAATTAACCAAATGACTGTCAAGAGAGACTTCATTCTAAGCTATAACTTGTGTTGAGATACAGTATATGAAATCAAGAATCAAAGAAACTTAGAAATTGCAAACATGTATAAGTTGTACCATTTAATACTTGCATTAGAGTCAATTCCCCAACTTAATATTAGCAGAAAAATATAAGTGCAATTTATTAAATTTTATGAAAACATCATGTTATATGTATTACCATTATAGAAGTTTTATTTTTCCCTGACAGCATATCTCTCCACTCATGAAGTGTTGACTTACGTTTTAAGATTAGTGTTGTATGTACCAAGAGCTTCTGCAATATGACAAGCCCCATCATCTTCCAGTCTGTTATAACCGAGATCCAGAATCTCAATAGCCGTGTTTTCCTTCAGGACCTTAGCAAGCTCTAATGCACCATCTCTGGTCACTCTATTGCTATAAATATTAATCTAATGAATGAGTTCAGAGTTTAAAAAAAAGAATATATGAATTGATTTTGGTCTAGGATTTTGTATTTTCTTGGCAATGTGTTATTAGTTAGAAATACAGACGGTTGTTTGTGATAAATTGAATTTGGCAAGTGCATGAATTGACAGTGTGTTTTAATTACCAGCTTAAGTCAAGGTACTTCAGACTATTGTTTTGCATTAAATTCTCTGCAAGACGAGTTGCCCCAAAATCTCTCATGTCATACTTCTGTAAGTGAATTTCCTCTAATGTTGTGTTCACCTGAGAGAAATGGAATTATTTGATGTAATATAATATAATGCAGTCGAATCGAGCTCAAACATATTCGGAAAGATGAAGTTCCCAATACAATAGTTCAGCAAAAACAAAAAATTGCCAAAAAGTCATATTAAACACTAGCTGTATACACAGTCATACCCTTGTTTATCGGAAAAGATCAGAATCTTACATGTAGCATCTTAGCATAGTGCACAGTTGTCTCCTCTTGATGGGTGAATAGAAGTGGTCTGTTGATATTAAGTGCCTTCAATGACTTGTTTTGGTAAAGAACTGTTGATAATGCGATGATACTTTCAATGGTCTGCAAAATGATTTAAGATCAAGTTTATTTCATTTTCAAGAAAAAATGCATGAATACAGAAGAAGGAAAATTTGTGTAAAAGTTTGAGATAGATACATTCCAAACACGGTGCGCATGCACATATGCTGTTTAGAATTTGGCATATAATAACCTCATCAAGTGAACCTTTACACAGAAATTTTATCTTTACTACCCTCATACAAATTAATGATTGATCAATTCCTATAATATACAAACCAAATTACAATCTGCTACATCTAGGGCCTCTAATGTGTTGTTGACTTGTAAAACCTGAGCAAATGCCATGCCGCTTCTATTTCCTATCTTGTTTGCTGTTAATCTCAAAGCTTTTAAACATTGGTTGCTCTGAAAATAGGTACAAGTATTCATATTTATTCTTGGGTAAAAAAAAAAAATCATAAGAGATTGACTTACAACATTCATTTGATTTATCAGTATACTGGTACTTTATCAGATCTTAAGAAGTTATTAAAAAAAAAAACTTTTTAAAAAAAAGCTGCATTGGATGGAAAGTGTCAGACCTAGATCTACATCATGATAAACTTTCAATAAATAACCTTTAAGATGTACATAATTTTACTCAGGACTGATCTATAATACTTGATTAACTGCTAAGCTATACCTTAATAGACAGCCTTCCAAAATAAACAGAGTGTATAAACTATAAAGAATATAAAATTCACCCATAATTGTGTCTTTGTGACCTCTGTTAAATAATTACAGGTATTGTGATATATTTTATTCTTGCTTCATATTGCATATACTGGAAGGAGGATAATCAATCATTTCAATGAAGAAAAATTATGAAAACTTGAAAATATCTTTTTACATTTTCAGTTTCAAATGCAGAAGTATTAAGACATATATTGGCCTATTAAAAACTTACAGGATAAGATTTCTATACAGACATTTATCAGATAAATGGTGGAAAAAATACAAGGCTCTTGTTAGGTATGAATTACAGGATAATTTAGATTAAGGGTACTTTATGTCTGATAAGATTTTGATAAATACCTGGTAGGATGAGCTTTGATAAGTACCCAAACACTTTTGTTGGGTACTTTACTGAATACTTTTGGGCTACACTTTTGGTATTAAGTACTTGTAGAATAATTAGATTTTGGTAAGTATCCACAGACTTTTGTTGGGTACTTTAAATGGGTACTTTCTGACTATACTTTTGATAAGCACCTATAGAATAATTAGATTTTGCTTAAGTACCCACAGACTTTTACTGGGTATGTTAAATGAGTACTTCCTGCCTATACATTTTTTTTTATAAGTACCTGTTGGATAAGCTTTTGTTAGAAGTACCCATAGCTTTTGGAGGTACTTTAAAGGAGTACTTTCTGACTAGTAATAAGTACCTGCAGTGCTTTGGCCAGAGCTTCTCCTCCCTCAGGACCAATGTCATTCCCCATCAGATTTATGTCCTTCAGAGTTGCACTCTCCTACAATGTAGTAAGTCAATATATTTATATTGTCTGTATATTTTTCTGGTGAAAGTACCCAGAATTTAAAAATATCTTGATGACTAAAATTTTCAAAATATATATGCATGATTTCATGCATTTGATACATGCACTAGGCCTAGACTACAAAAAGAAAATTTCACTTAAATAAGATTAATTTTGATGTACACCTTATTTTTGAGATGCTATATCAGATTAACCACACACCTCAATAAGTTTAGCTATATGTTTAGCTCCTTCATCAGTGATATTGTTGAACCTTAGATCTATGCTGGTGACATAAAGGTTGTTCTGTAGTGTTTTGTACAAGGCAATCATGTCATCATCCACAAGGCGCTTGTCTGTTAGCAGGTGGTTGTTCCCAGCAAGATACAGGTGCATGTTTTCTTTGAATTCACTGTGTAAAATTCAATGAAAAGGGAATTCTTTTCTGTTTTCAATTAGACATATCTTAATGATAACAGAATTTTGAATAATTTTAATGGGAATACAGTATCTTGATGAATCCTAATTCATGTGGTACTAGCTGGTAATAATAATTATTAAAATTCTACTTCACATTAAACCCTAAAGTAATTCATGTAAATGATATAATTTTGCATAAATATACAAAATCAAAATAGATACAAGATCTGAAAAGTAAGTAATTTTGAAAGTTTATTTCTTAAGAGATTAGTAAAATTGTTTCATACTATACCTACCAACTTTTAACATTACAATTAAGCCAATATTATTAATGTGTTATTTCAATTGCAAGTCAAACCCACAGATTTTTAGTAATTTTATTAAAGTTTCATTGACAAGTTATCATAATCTATTTTGTTATTACATGTAATCATTTTTATTTAAGCTATTTCTAAGTGAAATTCAAACTTTTCAACGCACACAGTTCAAGGAATGCTGGGATATCATTGATTGCAGAAAACATACATCCTTAAAGAATCTCATTTTTTGTTAAAGATGCTCCGGTCAAATAATCTAGTTTTATGTGCATGATCTCTTAAGCATTTATATATTCAGATTCTTTAAGAATGCTCCAACTTCTGGAGTATTTCATTTTAACATAAAAGGCCAGGGTAGGGATCATTTCATATCATTACACAAACACTTTGGTACATGGATAACATATTGTTACAGTAAATGATGTTTTTAAATAACTTTTTAAAATTTTGTTATAATTATAAATTTAAGAATTGGTAATATACTTCAAAACAGTTACTGACATGGAATATTAAAAGGAGAGTTTCATTGGGAATGCTTGTACCTGAAACGGCTGTCTCTACCACTGCCAATTGAGCTATCGACAAAAGAGAGTCTTTACCAGAAAAGGTGAAACCAAAATATGAAGGGAAAGTTAACCAAAGACAAAGCTTTAGTTTACCAAGTTTGTTTAGACATTTTTATGCTTCAAATTTGGATAGTTCATATTAGATAATAACTATTGTCATGCATATTAAAAGTCAAGTAGTATTCATATGTTCATGCTTCTAGATATTGCACAGAAATGTCTACAAGTGTGTGTGCATATGAGTGTTTTTTGTTTTTTGTTGTTTTTTTTCTTTTCTTATTGAGCTGCAAGTTGTCTTCCATGAAGAAACAGGAAAAGAATGTGTAAATCTTTAAATTGAAATTCTGCAATTAGGGGCAAATATCATAATTATACTGTCATAACTGTTAAACACTAAAAAAAGTTGTCATATTCTTACCCATGATAATTTGTTATTTAGTTAGCTTAACACCATGCAAGACATTTTTTTTAATCAATGCACCAAGAAGGAATAAACTAAACATGGAAGGGTAATTAAATGCTACAACATGCCATCAACAGAAGAAGCATGGATGGACATTATCACTGACAACACATTTCATAACTTATAAAACAGATGGTCAAATATATTACAATTAACCTGTTTTTATAATATATTTTAAAAGAAAAAAAAAAACCATGAAATATAAGAGAAAATACAAAATCCATACTTCTTCAAATGAATTATTAAGTAAAGATTCAATAATAGCTAGAATGTAAAAAAAAATTAACAAGTTGTCCAAGATAGTAACCAACTCAGCGTTTTCATACTTACCCTTTCTTTTTCATTCTGTGAGTGTGCAGTAATTCAAAATTGTGACATTATTCAAATCAAAGTGATAATTATGAAATAATCTTCAAACACGAATGTTGCGTGTTAATTGATAAGTCTTTGGGAGTGAAAGTTAAAAAAAAAAACAGAATGTACATAGATATATTTTTTTCATATGTACAAAAAGTTAGTAGATTAAAAAAAAAAGTAATAGAAAATCTTCAAAATTATTTTATTTGTTAATCATATGGACATGTTATCAAGTGATAGGTACAGAAAAAAATTCTGATCTTGGTTCAATCCATGCATATATTATTCTCAACTTTAGAGTAAATTTAACACATTCAACAGAAAACTGATTAAAATTAAGTTTGAAAATATGATTTTCAGATAACAAGATAAAGAAACACGTGCAAAATATTTCGTAAATCTGTTTTTTTAAGTTTGATTTGATTTGTAATGGTATTTACAATATGATAAAAACTTACAACACTGTTTCCTCTTTCTCCCTTTCAAGCATTTTCACAACATAGGGATTCGGAGTAACTCCAAGTTCCGTGCACACAGCATCATACCTGTATGCTGTTGAGTGTATGTCAGACATGATGCTATTTCTGGGAGGAAAAGAGAACTATGGTACAGAGAAAATTCTGGCTATAAATGAAATAATTTTAATGTATTTTCTTACAAACCATTATCGATTAATTTGAATATTCAATGATAATTAAGGTAAAACTATTAAAATGCATTTTTAACACAGGATCAGTAAAATTTGCTCACCGAAAGAAAAGTACTGAATCTAACTAGCAATCTTCAGCGTCAGGTTGCTATGCAATATTTTAAACCTCGTATTTTCTCGCAGGTGGTTTTTAAAGTTTTAGATATATCGTACATGTATAATTCGATCTTTGTTGCTGATTTTAATTCCTAAAAGTGACGGTATAAAATATATTTTTCGGATAATTTCTATTTAGATTTGCTTAATGTTTTATTTTACTTTCCATAAACTATTTTTGAAAATTTCAAAGCTGGTAATGAGTTTTTATAATCCGGATATTTTTTTTTACCTTCCGGTTTGTATTTTCTTTTTAACCTTTGACACTACAAGAGACTGAGGAGAAATTTTGTGATAAATTATGCTTATTTTGCGTTGAATTACGTCCAACCATCCTTAGCAGAGAAATAGACATTGTGTATTTGTAAAAGTGAAACAATTCCCAACATAGGTTACTGATTTTTGACACAGGTAAGTAGAAGAAACCGGTCACCTAAGAAGGATGTCGTCTGTAGTGTAAGATGACATTATCATCATGTGATAAGCGTATTGTTTACATCTTTAAAAGTTTTGTGTTCATTGTGACTGCATTAGGTTACGCATATCAGAGTGAGGCCTATAATGAAAACACTTGATCTGCTTTCCCAAGGAAATGTCGAGCTTGACACCTTCATATGATATGTAAATCTACCCTATAACCCCCCCCCCCTTCCCTTAGAATATGATTTGTACACTACACGTCACTTATTTTTACCCCATTCACAGGATCAAGGTGGGACATCAGAATTCAGGAGAGAGGAAAATTTGGCATGTAACTTGAATTGTCAATATATAGTCACCATTTTTCTGTAATATGTTGACGATGCGGCCGTTAGGGCGAGGGCCGATACCTAATACGTATTCAGTGTCAATTTAGATTTAGATCCACCTCTTCAAACTGTACGTGACATATGGAACATCTAGATTCTGATGTCACATAACCTTGTATGTTAGTTGCATTACCAAATCGAAGTCTGAAAAGTGCAAATTTTAACAAAGAACGTTGAATCAACTATTTATCTGCAATATCAATTAATTTAAATTAAGGTGAATTTATTATTTGGTGAACTTTTGTTGTTACCATGACAACATAGTTAGCACGGTCGAGTTGCTTATAACACTGGAAATTGTGATTGTTGCACAACTAACTGGTGGTTAGTTGATGTAAACAAATAATGCAATTTAAGTTGTTAATTGTTTTCCAGGATAATAACATTGTTTTTAAAAGCATATCAAAACTTCTTTTAGGCTTTTAGGTTGAATTGTTTATAATTAGGGATTTCGTTTATAACTTGTTAGAATTTTCTCAGTAGAAAGACATGTCAAAGAGAAAACAGCATGAATCAGAGCTGTGTAACAGTGACACAAAATTCAATCCATAACTTAATTGTTCTGCTTTGCCATAAGTATTGTCCATTCAGAGTCAGGGAAATGCTTATAAGTATCATGAGAAAAATGCAGATTGGCTGGAGACAGAGACTCTCACATGGTATACTGTATTATGGACTGTTATTGTAAAAAAAAAAAAAAAAAATTCATGATGCTGGGGATTGATTGCTGTGTTGTGAAATTCTAAAAGCTGTAAAAGTTGTTCAGTTAGTAATAACACTGCATGATATTTGTTGATTTTAAATTTAATTAAAAATATGATCTTTTAATATTGACATTCTTTCTAGGTATTTTGTAGTTTTTTTGTACAGTTTTAAGATGAGCAGTGTACAGTATTTTCACTTAAGTTCCAGTATTTTCAAGGCTTCTGTACAGTATCTATCACTTGTGCCCCTCCCCCCTCCCTCCCCCTTGCAAATCTCAACATAACTCTTTGAATAAAAAGTACATAAATGTTTATGATTGATTTCAAGGTTCCATTGGTAGCTTTGTAATGGCTAATTGGCAAATAAAGTAAGCCAGCAAATATCTGCATTTCTATTACTTGTAATAGCTTTCCAAGCTCCAACATGTTTCTAAATCGGGCAAATTTCTCACCACCAGTCATGCCAAAGCAGCAAGATTGCCATACATCAACAAACTTATCTCAGTCAATGGACATGACAAGCAGGGTTACCAAAGGTAAAAAAGAGGTGCATTTGTCATACAACAGTTAGACAAATGAAGTCCCACTGATCAGATCTGAGAATCTCTATTATATCAGTTAGGCAGTATTATAATCATGAATACTGGAAGGAGCAGTATACTGAATAAATGTATTATGTAATGCAATATAAATATACTTTCTTCAAGTATGGAACAAATGAATATTGTTACAAGAAAGAAGTGAGCTGTGTTTAAGCATCAGACTTAAACATTTGACATAGCATATAAAAATTTCACTATTTTAAATCATTCTTATAATTAAAATGTTTCTGTATGATTTAGTGTATTTACTTTAATTATTATTTTCACTAGGATTTATCGCTTTTAATACATATAATTCATTTTAACCTCATTACTACAAGGAATTTAGATTTTTCCTTTCTATTAAAGGGAGGTATTATTTACTTATACATAGGAATCACTGTGGGTTTTTGTTTGTTGATTTTTTTGGGGGGGTGGGGGGGGGGGGTGGGGGGTGTTATTGTAAACTTCAACTCTTATTTGTTGTGTGTGTTTGTGTTTTTTTCTCTTTTCTTAATTATTTAAAATTAAAATGAACTTATCAATGTACTTCTGAAATTCTCAATTAGATGTTAGACAGATAAAGGAGGAATATCCCAATTTAATTACATATTATACAATTATGGACTCTTTCGGTTGTGAATATGGTTTGTTATTCACCAGAAAAATATCAATATTGACTGTGGCGAAGCTGAGGTCAATACTGATATTTTTCAGGTGAGTAAACCATATTCACCACTGAAAGAGTCCATAATTGTTTTATTATATAGTCCGGATTTGAATAAATAAGACATTGAAGGCTGCATGATGATACCACTTTCATTTACGAACTTCTGTTCGTGGAAAAATTAAAAAAATCCAGATTACAAGTTATAAAACTTCCATGTTTTTCTTTTGCTGTTTGTAAGACATCGAAATGTGTAGAAAATAATCCTGCGGTAGGCTTGGCTAATGTTTTTCCTGCTCAGATACACAGCCGGCTCCGGCCGTTGCAGCCATTGTTTACAACGTTGTTTGAGGTTGATTGTGACGTCACAATGCCGCTGCAAGCGCACCAACCCTTTGGTGAATACAGCTTCTAAACCAGTGAATATGTAGTGTTATGAACTGTTTGCATTTGTATAGATTATGTAGGGACTATAAATAGACTATGTAATAATTTGATATATTGCTCAACAAATTAAATAGAGAGAACCTTAAGGCTTTTAGAGAGCCATATCACCCTGCAATGTCAATGTTTTCAGATGACTTTGAAGCCACAGATATGACAATCCAAAGTACAGGTAGTTACCAACATTGTATTAAAGGATGTTTATGACCAAAAATTAAGAAAGAATATGTTTATATTACATGTAATTAAAAAAAGAACAAAATGGGCATTAAGATATGTAATAAAAGATTATTGACTGAATATATGGAAATATGCCTCCCCTTGGTTTTTGCACAAGCTTGGTCTGTGTAATGGTGTTCTTTGCAAAGACCTCAAGTGAGCATATTTCCCAATGCTCAGTCAATCATCTATAAATATAATTTCAGATCGCTAAAATATATAGGAAAATTATACTACATGTACTGGCAAAGCTAAATCCTTGGTTTTGTTGTATTCAAGGAGATGCATACACATAAAACTTTAAGAGGAAATTTTACACATATTGCTTTGTTTGTCTTAAAATGTCTTTATGTGTGTAAGTGTAAATGTATATCCAATGTGACACAATAAATCAAGCAGTTATTAAACATATATAGAACTTCATATTGCATACACGTACAATTATGTTCCTAGGCAAAGTCTCTGTAATATGTGCATGGTTATGTGATATTGATGGTATGGTGGTTATTTGTGATTTGTAAACAAATTGGCTTCTACAGCATGCAAACTTTTTACATCATCAACAATCTGTTGGAATTTCCATGGGTACTAACTGTCCTCCTTTGTTAGCAGACCTGTTTTTGTCCTCTTGTGAAGCAGGATTTCATTAAAAACTTCTACCCAATACACAAAAAGAAGAAATCTCTTGCCGTGGCATTCAGTTCTACATTTAAATATATCACTGATGATTTATTAATAATACTCATATTCATTCAGATGTTGATTTATACTTTCCACTGTTTTCAAAATAATTTGAGTTTCGTTCAAATGTGATTCAACACGTCCCAATGAACTCAAAACAGCAGAGAGACTGACACATCTCTTTCATATTTGGATCTTTTACTTGAGAATGACTTTGATGGCAAACAACTATTCTTTGTCATAGACAGGTTGACTTTAACTTTTCTATTATCAAACATCCATTATTATGTGGAAATACATATATACCTTCGTCTGCATGTGGTATTTATGTCTCCAAGCTGATTTGATACACATGAGCACAATTTCCTAACTGAGGCAGGTGTGGTAGTGTCAGATACATGGCCTCCTACTAGTTTAGGCTAGTGGGTTAACCTTTAGCTCAATTGGTGGAGCACTGGACTGGCATGCCAGAGGCCACGGGTTCAATCCCCAGCAGAGGCACATAAATGTCTCTGTTACACATGTCACTGACAAATAAGTTAATGTTACAAAGGTATCAACAATCTTGTTCAAAGTCAACATTTTTGCAAATTTATTCTATCATTGATGCAAGGACCTTGTTTGCAATTACAACCTGTTGTTAGGTTGAATGTTGACTGATTTATTATCCTCATGCAATGGATTTGGGGGGGGGGGGATATAGTAATATGCTTGTGTGTGTGTTAGTTCGTGTGTTGTTAGTTTGTCCTTGTGCAAAATGGAAGAGATGTAATTTGCATTGGGATCGATGTCCAATGCTGCCTTGATTTATAGATCTATATGTTCTTTGTGAGGGGATTCTCCACTTCACGGTGCCCTTGTTTAAATTTTCATACTCTTTTTCCCGATCAAGTCAAAGGGCTTATAGCAGGTATAACTGGAATGTTTCCCCTCTCATGGTAGATCCCTCCTCTGATATTTTCAAAGGTCCATGTTTTCAGTTTGTATTGTTTAATTGGACTATTGAGCATGTTTACTTCGCATCTCATCATGTCTGCCCAGTGTCATATATACCTCAGACAAACCATTTATGGTTACATGTATGTCTAAACAAAATTTTATTTAAGGAATGACTTTATTAGCTACCCAAGTTATACTGGTATAACCTGGGTTGGGGCAGTTTACGCTTTATAAAAAAGCGTAAACTGTTCCACCCAGGTTATAGTATACCAGTATAACTTGGGTAGCTTTTAAAGTCATTCCTTATAATTTAATTTCCCATCATTAAGTGTAAAAAATAAAACAATTTCTCCTTCAAAAATGCCTTTAAATTGTATGTATTTTAAATGTAACATGAAGCGGATTGATATGTTTTTGACATAAATTATTGTGACGTAGGCAACCCAGGTTATACACTATATTCTAATTTTTTTATCCAATCAAATGACGTTTTACAACCAAAATTAAATTATTATTGTATGTTTGATTTTTGCAAAAATTTACTCCTTCATAACTCAAGGTTAGGGACAGATAGAACTATTGATGTGTAATACCTTATTTTCATTAATAGGCCTTTTGTTCTGTCAGAGTTTCTCAAACTGCCCTGATTTACCTTAAAAAATTCTTTGGACATGACAATTGCCAAAAAATGATTTAATACAGTATGGTTTCATATTTATTGACCCAACATTTTTCTTGTCTTATTAGGAGCCTTCTTTGGATGAACATTTTTCACACCTTTTTTGTCAGCTTATGGTGCCAAGCAAAATTTTCTCTATCTGATGCTGTCTTAATAAATATTCACAAATTACCAAAAGAAATTTTCATAGATACTCAAAAATGTTTACACAAATTTAAAGCAACATTAAATTAACCTGAGCCCAAACACCTACAATAACATGATTCTATCTTGAGATGCTAATTATAACAGGCAGAGAATCAAAGATCAGATAATCAGAACATTATAACTGATGTTGTTTTCATTTGATCCCACCCACACTAATAACCATGGAGACTTTTTTTTCTTTAGGAGAAATGCTCCCCTAAATGTCCTGATTTTAACATTTATTCCAGGAAACATTTGTTTCAGATCAAAATCTGTTATTTTTAAAATTAATCTTTGTCTGATTCACACAGTTATTGATCTATGAATCATAGTATTATGTATGTTTTTGGTGTGTATTTGATAACAGTTAAAGACAAAAGGCATATTGATTTAGGCAAGACATTTCCCTGCACAAGTCCAATAATGGCATGTTCCAGGCTTAATCGATATGTCCAAGGCTCTCTTTCAACTAAGATGCTGGGATTGCTTGCTTCAGAGCCAGAAGAAAAATACATTTTTATACAAGATCACATTTAGCCCACTGCTTTGTTGCAAATAAATTATATCAAATTCTGAGGACATTTTTATGATTTTGTTGCAGTGTTCTGAATCTGTTCTCGATATTTGCATTGTTGTAAAGAATTGTTGGGTCAGAATGGGATGGGGAAATAAGGAGTTATTGTTTTATGTAAAAGATATCTGTTTTGTTAACATTGCTTCTTTCACTTGTAATATGATTTGTCTAGATGCATTCATGTGAGATCTGATCCTAGCTGATCCACCAAAACATTAATATATGTATATGTTGCTTCTTAGGAAAAGCAGACAAGTTCTAACAATAGTTAATCTCATAACAAATGTCCATCTCTTAACATATATTAAGAGCTTAACATATATTTTTTATTAGCTCAATTGAGCCTAAAACTCAAGTGAGCTTTTCTGAGTGAAGTTCACTCATTTTCAAAAATAATTTTTTTCTAGCTATTATAGACCCATTTTCCACAAGTATGCATAACTGTCAACTTCAAAGTAAATTATCAATCGATAAGTAATTCAATTAATCAGATATGTTAAAGATGACATTATATTTTTTATTTAACTTTTCTATGAACTTTGAAAAATGAGAAAGGTTGCAGATTGTCCTTGCCTTGTATGCCTTTGTCCTTTGTTAAAATATTGCCCCTGTGGGCTAGGAAGAAGTCCACAAACTTCAATAATTTTTATCATATCATGACCCTTTGTATGAAAATTCTTTAAAGTTGAAAACTTAATATGGTGTAAATTTAAGTTTGTGCAAGGCATCCCATCCCTTCCTTTATTGGACTAAGTGAAAGTTAAGAAACTGCATTACAACAGATAGGTTAATTGTAGATTGAAAGCTTGAATTATTTGGAGGAAAAACCTATTATCATTCTGAATAACTTGAAAAAAAAATGTATTACAAAAGAAAAGTAAGATAATCATGTAACTTGTATTCAAACGCATTTATTCAGTAGCTTTAATGGAAATACTGGGCATTGCAAGGGCAGTGATGTTTGAGAAGAAATGTAGTGGATTATAATTTGAAGTGTTTTTTTTCTTTAGCTCACCTCAATGAAGTTGCGATGAGTTATGCAATATCCTCAGTATCTGTGTTAGCATCTAGGGATGCACACTACCAGGCGTGCTTCAGATGGTGGATCTGACTTAGATTATTCAGACGAGTGATTAGGTTAAAGTTTTGGGAGCAAGTCTATTATCAAGTAATTGTAAGCTCTACCTGGACCAAACTTGCAAGGATTATGCATCTAGGGATGTATACTACCAGACTTGTTTCAGATGCTGGATCTGAGTCAAATTTTATGGTGAGTTTCCAAGTACATGTAACTTTAAGCCCTACCTGAACTAAACTTTAATGGATGATGGATCTAGGGATGCATACTGTGGATGCTGGATGTGACCTAGATTTTCCATGAGTGATTTTGGAGCAAGTCCATTACCAAGGAACTATAAGCCCTACCAGGACCAATCTTGCTTGATTGATGCATCTAGGGATGCACACTACCAGATATGCTTCAGATGTTGGATCTCACATTTTTCCAGATGAGTAACCAGGTTAAAGTTTTTGGAGTAGGTTCATCAGGTAACTTTAAGCCCTATGTTGACCAAACTTGCATGAATTATGTATCTAGAGATGCACACTACCAGACTTGCTTAGGATGCTGTATCTGACCTGCATTGTCCAGATGAGTGACCAGGTGTAAATTTTTGGAACAAGTCTATTCCCAAGTAACTAACTATAAGCTGTATGGGGATCAAACTTGCATGGCATATGTATCTAGAGATGTACATACCAAACTTGCTTCGGATGCTGCATTGGACCTACATTTTTCAAATGATTGAACAGCTTAAAGTTTAAGGAGTTAGTCTATTCCCAGATAACTGTAAGCCCTATGTTGACAAAACTTGTATGGATGATGCAGCTAGGGATGCTCACTAGCAGGCTTGCTCTGCAATTTGAATTAGATTTTTCAGATGAGTGACCAGGTTCAAGTTTTGGGAATAGGTCCTTTACCAAGTAATTATAGCCCCATGTTGACCAAACTTGCATGGATTATGCATGCTACAGACAGAATCTAACCAACAATTTCTGGATGATTGACTAGGTGAAACTAGAAAGTCCATTCCCAAGAAACTGTAGGTCGTATGTAGACCAAACATGCATGAATGTTGTGTCAAGGGATACATACTTACCAGACTCGCTACAGATGCTGGAGCTCACTGACATTTTCAGGATGATTGAATAATAAAAGTTTTTGGAGTAGGTCCATTTCCAAGTAAATGTTAAGTCCTACCCAGACCAAACTTGCTTTGATGTTGCATGTAGATATGCACACTAACATTCATTTGGTGTGAGACTTTGCCTTACTTCTAGGTGATATTTGTCAAGGTGAGGTTTATAATCTTTGATTACCCCTGATTGCATTCTACATTTCCAGCTACAAAATATGTAGAAGTGATATTTTTTTTACAGTAATGATTGAGATTGTAACTTTTTTGGAATGATATTCAGAGCTGTGTTATACATAAGAACTTATGACTAAAACCTATTTAGTAAATCTACTTTTGAGATTACTTTTATTCTTTATGTTGAAATAATTGTGAATTTAAAGTGAAGAAGAATTCAGTTATGTAAATTCATATAAGTAAAATCTCACAAAATTATTTAGTTGGCTAGATTTTTAAAGAACTAAGTAAAATTTTTTAGACTTAGTTGTAAGTTTTTCTGTGAAACAGGGCCTTGGAGAAGAGAAACCGATGCATAAACAATGGCATGCACTTGATAGTACTCTCTTATAGAGTGAGCTATTGTGTGCTTCATCACTTTCCATAAATGGTATTCCCTTTGATTTACTAGAATTCTCTTTTATGTGTAATTTCCAGCACATAGAAGGGACACTAACACTTTCTGCTGCCAGATCTATACACTAAATACTGCCACTACAAAGTCCTTCTGTCAGAAAATCATTAAGGCTTCTAACATCCCAAAGATCAATATTCCATTCCAAACTCAAGAGTGATTCAGAATGCAGCACAAAATTCAAGCTTGGAAGTGAAGCAGTCTTATTATAATATGATAACACATGACGTTATTTTGTATTAGCATTTTATTAAACCGGAATTGTAACATTTTGTTGTAAGTCACAGGAATTTTTGGAAGTTTTTATCAGAAATTGACAGAAAAGTAGATGTTTACTGTGTTTGTTGGACTTGACTGGCCTCTTCAACAGATCATTTGACAGCACTTCATTTTCATTTCAGGGAGAAAATTTTGAAAATGGATTTAAGTGATTAGTAAACCTGTAGCAGAATGGACACTTATTTTACAGACAAGCAGGCAGAAAGATTTTAATTTGGGTGAAAGTCCTGAATTAGGAGATAAAGCCATTTAAGGTAGAGTACCATAAAGACAGATGGTTTAAGTCAATCAATTAGCATGTATTGATTAATACACCCAGGGAGTTGATGACCTTTAAGTCAATTCTGTAATAATTATGTTGATTTAATTTAACATATTCTTTTCTTTGTATTTATTAGATCATTTAAATTTGTTGCAAGGTCTGATTTTCTAAGTGTTAATTTTGGTGACAATATCGATATTTGATGTATTAATTATTTGCAAAGGAAGGATTGACAATATTGGAAATTCAGCCAGACATGATGTCAGGGAAATGTTTATGCATAGACAGGCAGGCTCCATGCTCAGTATTGATTTAGTTCTATTGGAATGTAAGGTGAAGCAATATAGACATCAGGGACCAATCAATATCAATTATTTACTAAGTAAAATTAACTATTTACTCAAGTATAAATAGAATTTATGTGTTTAAATATATCTTGGTTATTGAATTTATTTGATAATCATAAATGCATTTATTAATTGTAAAGGGTTATCCTAATGACCAAAAGTTGAATTCTTAATACCATATGGTATTTGAGGTTCAAGAACATATTAATAATTGGTTGATGATGAAAATTAAACTTTGGTATTTCACCATATATGATTACATATGACATGAAAAGAATTAATTGAAATAATGACTTGTAATGGGGAAACTGCCCAGACTGTTCAAGTGGACTAGAATCAATTCATTGGCAGTTTTGTTGTCATGTTTTCAAAGTATTATCATAGCTGTAATTTAATAGACTAGAAATGTGAAAGGTGCACACTCTTATTTTTGGTTTAGTTTATAAACTTTTTAATTTTTAATTCAAATTGTACATTGTTATCTGACAGTTTTCTATGTATAGAAATTGAAGATTGTATGTGTGAGTGCCATTTGTTTGAGAATATCAAATGCTCCTGCAGCACTGGAACTTTGATTGTACTATTCTCCTGATCAGCAATGATATACCTGGGTAATATTAAGTCAAATGATTTGCAGATTTGGGAAACATGTTCAGTGAAAATGATCGATCAATTTTAGGTGAATTATATGATATATAATTTATAGGAAGATTTTATCATGAAAAAAAACCTAAGGTAGCCAAAGGATTTGATGATTTTATTGTTGCTTAAGTATTTATATTTATGAGCATCCAATGTCCATAGACTGGTACCCTGACATTGGTTAAGCACCCTGAAAAACCAACTTGTAATTCCTAGTGGCAGTGACTGGAATCAAGGGCATAGAACCAGTATGTGCAACCAATGTCCACCCCCTTAATTTAAGATTTGATTTAAATTACATGTATCTTTATTTAATTTAGTGTAGTATACTACCAATTATGAATACTATGTGCTATATATATATATAGAGAGAGAGAGAGACTTTTGTTCATCTTTTGTCTTTAAGTTCCTGGGTTTTTTTTTTTTTTGTTACCTATAAGTTCCTGTTTTAAAATCAATACACACTACTTGAATTAGAAATAATGGCTTTTTAGCTCACCTGAGCCTTTGGCTCAGGTGAGCTTTTCTGATCAAAATTTGTCTGTTGTCTGTCGTCGTTGTCATTGTTGTTGTTGTTGTAGACTTTTCACATTTTCATCTTCTTCTCAAAAACCACTGGGCCAAATTCAACCAAACTTGCCACAAAGTATCCTTGGGTGAAGGGGATTCAAGTTTGTTCAAATGAAGGGCCATGCCCTCTTTTAAGGGGAGATAATTAGGAATTCGTGAAAAATTAATGGCATCATTTAAAAATCTTCTTCTCAAGAACCACTGGGCCAGGAAAGATGAAACTTATGTGGAAACATCCTCAGGTAGTGTAGATTCAAGTTTGTTCAAATCATGACCCCCGGGGTAGGGTGGGGCCACAATGGGGGATCAAAGTTTTACATAGAAATATATAGGAAGATATCTTTAAAAATCTTCTTCTTAAGAACAGCAAAGCCATGATTGGTCGTATTTATTTGGAAGCATCCTCAGGTAGTGTAGATTCAAATTTGTTCAAATCATGACCCCCGGGGATAGGGTGGGGCCACAATGGGGGGTCAAAGTTTTACAGAGAAATATATTGGAAAATATCTTTAAAAATCTTCTTCTTAAGAACAGCAAAGCCATGATTGGTCATATTTATATGGAAGCATCCTCAGGTAGTGTTGATTCAATTTTTTTCAAATCATGACCCCCAGGGGTAGGGTAGGGCCACAATGGGGGATCCAAGTTTTACATAGAAATATGTAGGAAAATATCTTTAAAAACCTTCTTCTTAAGAATAGCAAAGCCATGATTGGTCATATTTATATGGAAGCATCCTCAGATAGTACAGATTCAAGTTAGTTCAAGTCATGACCCCCCCCCCCCCCCCCCCCCCCTGGATAGGATGGGGCCACAAAAAGTTTTTCATAAGAGTATATAGAAAAAAACTTTTAAAATCTTCTTCTCAAGATTAGCAAATCCATGATTGGTCATATTTCTATGGAAGCATCCTCAGATAGTGTAGATTCAAGTTTGTTCAAATCATGACCCCCCGGAGGTAGGGTGGGGCCACAATGGGTGATCAAAGTTTACAGAGGAATTTTTAGGAAAAAATCTTTTTCTCAAGAACAGAAAAGCCTTGATTAGTCAAATTGATATGGAGGCATCCTTGGGTAGTGTAGAATGAAATTTGTTCAAATGAGGGCCCCCGGGGGTAGGGTGGGGCCACAATGGGGGAATAAATTTTTACAAATGAATATATGGGAAAAAATCTTCTGCTCAAGAACAGCAAAGCCATTTGTTATATTGATATGAAAGCATCATCAGGTACTTTAAAATTCAACCCCCCCCCCCCCACCACCACCACCCCGTAAACTTTTCAATACTGAACTGATTTTTGCTTTTTTTCCTAGCCAATGTGCTCAGGTGAGCGATATGGCCCATGGGCCTCTTGTTTACTGTTACTAAAGAGATATTTTAGCATCTGCAAAAGCTTCAGGTAAATGTATTGTTCCTGTGTAAATGCTCTGTATCTTTCATGTGTCAGGATTCATAATTTGGCAACAAAAGGGGTCCAGTATTTCACTGATCTTATACAGTGTCCAATCAATGGGCTTGTATGATCAAACACTGTTGATTTAATTCTGTTTTATCAGGTCTATATAATTTAGCACAAGGTCAGAAAATGAATTTCTCAGATTTTAAGTTGTAAAGTGTATATTGAATCAGTGAGAAAAAATTTGTCCATTGTCCTCCTGTTTTGTTCACTTTGAATTTAAGCTTCCTTTTGAGCTTTACTGGTGGAAGACCAGAAAAGCTTACACATTTGCAAGGTGTCCATCATCATCTGTCTAGCTTTTTGTCAGTCTGTTTGCCTGTAAACAATTTTTTTTAAATGCTATTCCTCTATCAGTGTTGTTCTAATTTCAATGAAACTTGGTACACAAGTAGATGAAATCATAATTATTAGTATTTTTAAATTTTTATTCAATGCTCTTTTGCCATGTTTACTAAAAAGAAAGTTCCGTGAAATTCTTTTAATTTTTCAGTTAAACAAGATACATAGGTACACTACTCCTAAAGATACAATTCTATTTAATTTCAGTCCCTGTTTTTGATTTTGAGGGAAAATGATACTGTGGTATAAGAAGTGTAATTCTTTCAAAATGCTACTCTTCCTAGAGCATGTACAGTTTTATTTGGGTTCAATTAAACATGGTACACAAGTAAACTATAACAAGGCTTGTGAATCTGTTTTTTATGTTTAACAATAACATTTATGCTAAATGGTGTTGCAGTGGCTACTTAAAATGAATAAAACTGTGAAAATATTTTTAAATATAGTTTGGTTTGCTTTTAGTAAATTTGATACATGTACAAGATAAGGAAACATCAAGATGTATAACTCTGAAAGTGTTTCAAGTCTAGGTGTAAATTTTACCTTGTACTATTTCAAGTCAAATAAGTAGAGCTACAGTCTCATCAGAGACTTCTTTTGTTTGAGTTTATCTTGATGAGGATTTTACTACTGAAGATGCACAGCACAAGTTAGGTGCATTTATACTGCACTGAATAAAATAATGCCTAATGGCAGATTGTCACACAAAATCAACCACACTGACTAATTTATAATAACAGAATTACTGGAAGTTATTTTAAAAAAATGGGGAAGACCTTCAAAGCTGAAGGAAGCCATATTTTATTAAAGAAGTTAGTCTTTTATCTCAGTTGATGAAAAAGGTATTGGCTTCTGATCAGTAGAGAATTATCCATGTAGTCAGATTGGCATAGGTCATTGTTCTAGTAATGTCACAGACACAGACAATAACATGAAAAGGAATTTCCCTCTAACTTCATTCATATAACTTTATAAGGTAATTAACCAATTTAAAACAAAATCTTTCACCAGAAATGTTTGAAATCTAGTGAGACTTGTACCGAAATGTGTAGTGATATTTTCTTTTAAACGATGTTGGCTTTTTCAATTTTAAAGTTGGTAATTCAAACTTTAAACTTGGCTTTTCCAACTTTAATCTTGGCTTTTCCAACTTTAATGCTCGTAATTCCAGCTTAAAAGTTGGCTTTTCCAACTTTAAAGTTGACTATATCAACTTAAATTTAATTGATAGAATATTGAATATTTATCATTATTTTTTTCAAAATTTATAATAAACTTTTGTGTGTGTTTTTTTCAGCACCATGTCTTCTGTAAAGGTAGCAGTGAGGGTGCGGCCCTTCAACAGCCGCGAAATGAACCTCAACTCAGAGCTTATCATAAAAATGAAGGACAAAACAACTAGTAAGTCAAGCTTGAGTCAGGTCTATGCTATTGTGGAGATCTACATAATTGTCATTTACATTAGATTGTATCTCCATAGCAAAAGAAAGCATACTGGTAAATACATGTTCTAAGACATGCATAGCTGCAATTTTTTATTGCAAAACACAAGGGCAATCTACTCGTATTAAGGACCTGCTATTGCAGTGTTTCTCAAAGAACGCAAGAAAAGGATAAGGTGCCTGTCAGTAGACAGTCTAATTTTTACAGTGTTTTGTCATAAGAATACAAAGCATGCTGGTAAATGCAAAAAAACATTGAGATCTGGTATTGAAGTACATGTATTTTATTGTGGCATTGATGTACATGCATTTCATTCTGCGAAAAAAAAGCACACCAATAAGACAAGGCTGTACAAAGACATAAAGTTAAACCTGTTTGCTACCTTGCATTCCTAACTAGTACTGGTACTAATCTGCATAGACAGTGCAGGTGACATTACAGTTGTAGCAACACACATATATTGATCTGTGATGTTTGCTTGTACTCATGCATTACAAATCTGTTTTGCTTAGCTTTTTTAAAACTTGAAAAATTTTCATGTTTCAAATATTGTGCCATGTTTTTAACAAAGTTAATTTATTTATTTATATATATTTAATTGCTAAATTAAATACTTTTAGGTAAAGCCTTCTTTAGAATATTCCATTATTAAAATCTTAAAATGTTAAAAAATATATTTTAAAAAGACAGTTTATTTTTGCTATTGTTCTGTTTTTGCTTTATTAAAAGTATATATTAATTATAATGAAACACCCCTTATCCAGATCAAACCCCTTACTATATAATTACTCTACCAAGGTCAACCATTTAGCCTTGGGTTTTTCGGTTGATAGTGGAATTGGGGGATTGAAATGGGAATGGAAGCTGGGTTTAAATCAGGATATTGTACATAAAAAGATTGTTTTGAAAGAAAAGAATATTGACACATCAAAAAAACATAGAAAGCATTCATAATTATGTTTATTATAGCTGTATAGAACACAGTAAGACATGCTTATAGTGAAGTGCCAGATAAACAACTAATTTTGATGTGTTATAAATTTAATTTGTTATATCCGTTGAGTTCATAATTTGTTTTATAACTACAGGAAATGAAAATCACTTTGCTATTAATCATGAATTCACCGTAAGCATATTAGCTGTAGCCAAGTTTTACTGTATTTGTACCATTATATTTTTTTTTTCAGCCATAACCAATCCCAAAGCAGGTCCCAAAGATGTCAAAATTCGCAACTTCAACTTTGACCACTCATATTGGTCACACACAAATGTAAGATCATGCAGATATTTAAAAGTATTTTCAAGCTCCATAATGTTTTAAAAATATAAATGAAGTATGTGTAGTGGAATCATAGACATTAAATTTTAGTTAAATATATATTTCATCTGAGGGACTACTGTTTTTTAAAAACACAAAATGAAGTACAGTTGAACTTTGGTATTTTGAACACGGATATCTCAAATACCTTGGATATATCAAAGTGACTTTGAAGTCCCAAGCACTTATTTCTTAAGCATTTTACCCTGGATATCTCGAATCCTTGGATATCTCGAAGTATTTCATTGGTACTGTGAAGTTCAAGATAACAAGGTTTGACTGTATATTTAGTGCAAACATAGTTATTATACTTCTGTTAAAATGTTTCCTATATAAAGTTAAGAAGGTAAAATAACTATCTTTTATAGTCTGAAAATTTTCACAGATAGCAAAGCCATACCCCGGGGTATAGTTTTTGCTACCCACCCTTTGGAAAATTTTCATGTAATTTTTGCTGCCAATTTTGATTTCCTGTAATCAGTCTATAGACTTGTGATGTCATCCTGACTTCAATAACATTGTGACGTCATCAGGGTTTCAGCTCATTCTAGCAGTGTTATCTTATTCCAGATACTTGTTCCGGCAAAACTTTTATAATTTTTTTTCATGTTTTTTTCCTATGGAACTGTAGTATCAGGTAAATCAAACCCTCAGAAATTATGATACACATCAGTATAATAAAACGCTTATCCACCTGCTGTGAGTGGGATAGCTCTTGCATCAAACCCTTGACAGGAACTATTCCCCTCGGGCAAGCCCTCGGGGAATAGTTTCCTGTCGCGGGTTTGATAAAAGAGCTATCCCATTCACAGCCAGTGGATTAGTGTATAATATTAAATTTTAATTAAATATATATTTCATCTGAAGGCTACTGTTATAAGTGTTTGGTTTTTCCTAGATTCATGGCAAATTTATCTTTTAACAGACAGAAGATCCAAACTTTGCCACCCAGAAGCAGGTGTATGAGGAAATTGGGGTGGAGATGTTGGATCACACATTTGAGGGGTACAATGTATGTATATTTGCCTATGGACAAACAGGGTCAGGGAAAAGTTACACAATGATGGGCAAGAGTGAACCGGGACAGCAAGGAATCATTCCACAGGTTAGCAGCTGGGGAGTGTGTTCTTATATCATAATTAATCTTATATATTTTATGTCAAAAAACATTTCTTACTTACTGTAAATCAATTTTTATTTGTGACAACTTTATTTTGGCGTAATTATGTGAGATTATCTACTCACGAAGATTTCACTCTCATGTAAATTTCTTTTATTAAGATTACATATAATAATAACCAGGAATTTTAAAAAGTTTTGTCTCACTTATAAATACCTAATGACTTTCTCATGAAAATAATGTCACAGATATTTTGTGATCTACATTAATTTAAAATAAACCTTCTTTTAACATTAATAAAAATGAAAGTCCATAAGCAATCATTACTGCCAAATGTATCATGTGTAAACATGCTTTTATTGATTGGTTCTTACTTAACTCATCATATTGTTAAATTTAATGAAATGTTTTTATCTTCCCTCTCCTATTTAACTTTATTTATTGCATCCAGACTAAATATTATTCAGTATGCAAGTAGATTGAATGTAATTCAGCCATAATCTTTTTGAGTTAATTTAAATTCAATCTGTTTTGGTCAATGTGATCAATAAATCCAAACATTGTCAATACCGGTATCTGCATTTATTTCAGCTTTGTGAGGATTTGTTTGAAAGAATAAAAGCAGCAAAATGTGATGATGTGCAGTTCTCTGTAGAAGTAAGCCATTTTTTGTATTAGTTTCAATTTCTCAACACATAATTGGCTTTTCAAGTTTACAGTGAATTTCTTATTATAAATTGTGAAAACTAATACATATTCAAGTGAAATTCCTAGAGGATATTTTTCCTGTACAACACTGTCAGTGCTTCATGCTAAAAATATTAGAACACAAAAGTATCAAATAGAATATGGAATAGAATTGAAATTAATTTACATGAACTTTTTTTTGTAGGTGAGTTACATGGAAATTTACTGTGAGAGAGTGCGAGATCTCCTCAATCCTGGTCACAACAAAGCTTTACGTGTGAGGGAGCACCCCTTATTGGGCCCCTATGTGGAAGACTTATCAAAGCTAGCTGTGCAGTCATTTGATGACATAAATAACCTCATAGATGAAGGAAATAAAGCTAGGTTTGTTCATTTTCTAACAGAAAGTCAATTTCAAAAAGTAAGATATAGAAAACACCATCATATTGTGCTAAAGGGAGATAATTCTTATTTGAATGTTTATAAATTTTTACATTTTTATTTGCAGAACTGTAGCTGCTACAAATATGAATGAGACGAGTAGCAGATCTCATGCAGTTTTCACCATTATTTTCACACAGCGTCGTAGAGATGATACGACTAACATGGTCGGAGAAAAAGTAAGAGAATACAAATAATACTCAAGGGCAAATCTTTGACAATATTTTTTAAACTTTAATCCTGGATATTATTCTTTATGACCATAGATTAATTCTTACTTAACAGTTCATCCATGCTGCCTTGAAAGAATCCATTTAAAGATGCCAATTGTGTAAAAAAAAAATTTCTGTAACTTTACAGGTTAGTAAAGTGAGTTTAGTAGATTTGGCAGGAAGTGAGCGAGCAGACTCAACTGGAGCCAAAGGCACTCGACTGAAGGAAGGAGCTAATATTAACAAGTCGCTGACAACCCTTGGAAAAGTTATCTCAGCTCTTGCTGAATTGGTCAGTTTGTTTTTTTTTTTGTTGTACATCAATAAATAAATTTTTCTATTCTATATGATTATGATAAGGCAATATCCTTTGGAACACCAGCATGCCAGCTAAAAAATGTACTTGAAAATTACAAATTAGTTGATCCATGTTATAAAATTTTGCCTATGAATTTTGTCCCTTTTATGTGCAGAGTGCAATGGACCTTAAAGTAAGTGGCCAGTGTTGTAGAAGTACACAAGAATCTCCCAAAAATTTGGTGTTGTCTAGATTCACAGACATGTTTTTGGTTTAATGCCAATGAAAAGTGATTAATGGTTATGTACAATATTAGGGTACAATATTAGTTGTGAATAATCTGCATGGATAGAAGAGAGTGAAACATGCTCCAATGATTAAGTTTGAGTTGTTAAGAGTCGTTGATTTTAGCCTGATGTGTGGATATATAAATACCTGTAATGATTAAATGGTCTACATTTACAGTAAAAACCACTTATTCAGTTGAAAAGGCATTTTTGCTTACTTACTTTAAGTGAATCTGCTTTAGGCATTATGAATTAGAAGGGCAGTTGAGTAAAATAAAAATTTCTTTAGGCCAACAAGAAGAAGAAGAAAGCAGACTTTATACCCTACAGAGATTCTGTGTTGACTTGGCTACTCAGGGAAAACTTAGGTATGCAGGCCCTTTTTTTTTTAATTATGAGATGTCCATTTCTGATATTTATGAGCAAGTCTGCCATATTTCTAGAGATAAAAGACCTTTATAGACAAAATTATTTTTTATTTACAGGAGGAAATTCCAAAACTTGCATGATAGCTGCTTTGTCACCAGCTGATGTTAACTATGATGAAACTCTAAGCACTCTAAGGTAATTTTCCAATCACTGAGTACAGCAACTTTTAACTGCTTGAAGCATTACCAACTCAGGATTATATGGCTGGAAAAGACAATAAGATTGATGAAAACATAAGGTTAGAGTCTAAAATGAGATGATTTTATTTGAGTTTTTCTACCATTTAGGTACGCAGACAGAGCTAAACAGATCATGTGTAAAGCTGTTGTCAATGAAGATCCAAATGCTAAACTGATCCGAGAACTTAAAGAAGAAGTCTCCAAACTGAGGGAAATCCTGCTGACAGAGGGCATTCAGATTGGAGAAGGTACTGATATTTCTCATTGGGAGAAGAGGGAGAGGAGGGGCTTCAAATTTTTGTATAATTTTTCAAATAGTGGGAAGAGTAACTTACTATACATACTTTAAGTCATTTTTATTCCACAGAGCTAAAATCACAATTTGTAACATATTTGGTACCAGTTGTGATGGGTGTAATTTCACATTATAGGTTTGTGCCTTGTAAGAAACCAGGTACTTTATTGTGTGTTCTGATAATCTTATTCACTGTGGGGTTAATTTGGTGGAAAAAGTGATAAGTCATGAACAGTATGAAATTAAAAGCATCATGTAAATTCCCCAATGTACAGTTAGCACATAAATAAATTACAAATTAATGTCTTGAAATCAACTGCAAAAATTGTAGTTAATTATACATGTATATTGATATAATTATATAAATTTTGTATTTCTTCAGGACTTGAAGGACTTCCAGACCCAAAAGTAATTACAAGATCCAGGAAAGATTCCTTGACAATGGATGATGGAGAAAATGCCATAGAACGTCTTCAGATGTCAGAAAAACTTATAGCTGAACTTAATGAATCTTGGGAAGAAAAGCTTCGTAGAACAGAGGCTATTAGAAAAGAAAGGTGATGAAATGTTTTAATATGGATAATAAAGTAAAACATTTGATATTTTCAATTTTGTCTCTTCCCATGTGAATAAATAGTTTGATTAGAAAAAAATGATTAAAAAGTTAGATTCTAACATTTCTATTATTTCTTAAGCTCTTTGGTTCATTTTTTTAGACTCATAAAAACATTATTTTCCAGGGAGGCAACTTTAGCAGAAATGGGTGTGGCTCTAAAGGAAGATGGAGGAACTATTGGTGTCTTCTCCCCAAAGAAGGTAAACTTTTTTACTGTGCATTTCATATTAACCACTTTTTTTTACAGTGCTTAGATATTAAGTTTCAAGAGGAACAATTAATTTTCATATACATCTATTTCTCAGAGAGAAATACACATGTAAAAATTTTGAGCTTTAAATTATTTGACTTAGAATGGCACCAGATAAAAGCACAAAGAGAGATTGGAGGACTCTTTTTCAACAAATCCTTCAAAAATATGCTTTTATCCATGACCCATATTTTACTTTTATTTTAATTGTTTGAATAGTCACCTCATTTGGTTAACTTAAATGAAGACCCACTGATGTCAGAGTGTCTGATCTACTACATCAAAGAAGGATCTACAAGGTATAGAATAGAAGCTATCATTATTTATATGTATATGCACATGTAAATACTCACAAAATACCTGTATTTGATGGAGTAAGTATTTGAAAATGCGGTAATACATGTTGCATAGAATTGGAATACTTCAGCTCAAATTTTATGGAGCTTGGTACTCGTGTATGGAATAATGTTTGATGTTAACTTTTAGGGTTGGACTGAAGGATGCAGCACAGAACAATGACATTCAGCTGAGTGGATCGAATATTGCTGAGGAACACTGTATATTTCACAACATTGATGGTTTGTCAAGTTTTCCTGCAATACATGTTTATCTTTATCCATTAAACTGCTACATAAAATCAGCCAAACTTTCACTGCGGGTTTGTTTTTTAGGAAAAGTGACATTGCTTCCCATTCAGAATGCTGTTGTGTATGTTAATGGAAAACAGGTCACTGAGGAAATGGAGCTGAAAACAGGAGCTCGTGTCATTATAGGCAAACATCATGTCTTCAGATTCAATCATCCAGATCAAGGTAAGATTAGAATATAGTGACAAGCTTATAAAAATGTTTGGCATTTGTGATATTTACAGTGTTGCAGACCAAATTTCAAAATGCAGACAGTTTTAATTTGACATTGTCCATTTAAATGTAAAAACAATACAATTGAACTTCGGTATCTCGAACACTGATATCTCGAATACCATGGATATGTCGAAGTGATTTAGAAGTCCAATCAACTTATTCTTTAAGTATTTTACCCCTGATATCTCGAATCCTTAGATATTCTTGAGTTTGAGATAACGAGGTTTGACTGTATTATTGAATTGTTCCAGTCTGTTTATTTTGAGTGATTTATTACTAACTAGTCCTCTGACATGATCTTTGAGTAAAGCAGGGTTAGATATTTTGACAAATTTTGATTATCACTTCAAGTATATGTGAATTATGAGTAGGCATTCTCTATGTTACTCTTGAACTGAATCTTGAAATTAGAAAATGATACACTGGGCATGCTTCCGTATTCTAATATTTTCTTTGAGCAAAAGCCATTAGCTTCTAATCACAACAACAATATTGTTCTATTTTTCCATACCTAACCATCAGTTGTATTAATGCCTTGCAACCTGGGTATTTATTGCTTTCTTGCCTATCTTGAGCAATATCTCTGAAAGCCATAACCAATGTTTTCTTTGCAGCGCGTCAGAGCAGAGCACATCTCATTGATTTTGATCAGATCGAGTCCATAGGATGTAAGTCCACCCGAGTTTATATTTAATGTGGTTGCTTTTACATATACTAACCTGCATGATTTACTAGGCAAATTTTATTTTTAGTGACCTAAAGTAATAACTTTTACCAGTTATCCATATTCAGCATTGTTACTTTTATCTTTTATGAAGGGATCTTTTTTAATGAGGAAATTTGCTATAGCATAATCTTATATCATAATCTAGTAGTTAATTTTACTGCTTAAATGCTAACATTGCCTTCTTAAACTATTTAAATATACCTAGTATTTCAAACTTGATGTTTGTCAATGTGCATTTGGATTAAATGCTTTTAAGCATATAAATTCTACTTTAAAATTTAATAGAACTTTGCTTTGCATGATTCCCTTTCACATGTTCTTTTAAGGATTTAATATAATGCCATATTTCACTGGTTTATCCCACATCATTTTTCCTTTTCTGAATTTGATGCATTGTTACATGTACTTCATTTGACACAAATCCGTAATTTACACTTTATATATAGACTATGAGCATGAGACATCCCCTGCCAAGCTCTACTAAGTCTTGTTTTATTGCTTTGATTTAGTTTTGTTTGAGTGGCTTTTTTTCATTGTCTAATTTAGCAACTGAACAAGAAGATCTGAAGTCAGAGCCTGAACAAGAAGGTAGCCCTGATCAAATTTAACATTTTTCATATGGCCAAAGTAACATTTCATGCATTATAAGTAAAATAAGCAGCATGTTAATGCAGCAGTGATACCCAGTGTTTCTCTTGAGATGATATCAATAAATATGTTAATTAATTGAAAATCTACGTCTTTTCAAGTACATGTATATCTTACAGTCAGGTTGACATAGTATGTATTTTGATCATATCAGTGTTCATTTCCTCATAATGATAAACTCAGGGTTAAAGTAAATGCAAGTGCTTTTTTGCCCCATATCATTAGTTGAAGTATTCTGATTTTGATTGTAGCTGAGCCTGTAGACTGGACATTTGCACAGCTGGAGTTACTGGAGTCTCAAGGAATAGACTTGAGGAGGGACATGGAAGCTAGGTTTGTTTTTTATCAACTTTTTAGATGATAACTTGAAGTTTCTCACATTTTTTGATAAACAGTTTGATTCACATGCTTGGTACATGTATATATCTGTTAACTATTTTACAGACTTCAGGGATTAGAAGAGCAGTACAAAAAGGAAAAGGAAGAGGCAGATCAGTTATTTGAACAACAGAGAAAGGTATAGACTATTTTGATCTTACATTCCTGAAAATTTATAAGCTTGTTTACAAAAAAAAAGATGATAAGCCTTATTTTCTGTAAATGAAGTTTTAAGGGTTTTTTTATGTCTATTGAAGGATTATGAGACTAGAATACAAAACCTTCAAGAGGAAGTGATGCGGCATTCAATGATGTCAAGTTTTGCTGCCACAGAGACTGAAACAATTGAAGAGGAGGAAGAAGGTACATCTGAATAACAGAAATACCAAAAAACTGACAATGACAAACTTCTGTACTATATTGTTCAGAAACTGTGAGAAAGTCACTTTAATGCATGTATACATATATTTTTCTTGGTAGAGTGCACATGGACTGAAAAAGAGAAGCAGGTGGCTGCCTGGGCTTTCAGGAAGTGGAAGTATCACCAGTTTACGTCACTCCGAGATGATCTCTGGGGCAATGCCATCTTTCTCAAGGAAGCTAATGCAATAAGTGTTGAATTAAACAAAAAGGTAATTTTTGTCAAATCAATATTACTGCTCAGCTTCTGAAATTTTTTCTCTTCTTAACTCATTTTTGCTCATGGTATCCATGATGTTTGAAGAAGAAAAGATGGAGAAATGAAATATCGGTTGTTAGGGTGTCCATATCATTGTTGAATTTTGTAGAAAAAATAAATCAGTTTTTGTTGATGATATCTTTCTAGGTACAGTTCCAGTTTGTACTGCTGACTGACACTCTATACTCCCCCCTTCCCCCTGAACTCTTCCACCCTGGGGAGAGGGACGATGACCGCCCCTTCCCAAGGACTGTAGTGGCTGTAGAGGTCCAGGATACTAAGAATGGGGCCACACACTACTGGAGTCTAGAGAAACTGAGGTATGAAATCTAGGTGTTTTATTTTGTATGTGATTAGTATTGCTTGCACAAGTAGGATTTCAACTATAGGAAAGCACATAGGCAAAAAATTTAATTCATGATCTTTATTCAAGGTTTAATAAAAATTATTACTAAGACAAGAACAAAATATTTAATTTGATGTTTACATGCTCAAGCACTTTTTTCTGCATAAAAATAATTTTTATATTTTCATGCACATTAAGACAATATTTTAAATTACAGATCATTCTTTGAACTAAAGCTTGCAAATCTTTTTGGCAAAGTTGGAAATTTTATAAAGTTTTCAAATACTGTATTATATTCAAGTAATTATAATTTTCATGATCTTGGCATTGTCGTGTGTAGTAAAAATTGCATGGACAGATTCAGAGTTTACCCATAGTGAGGCAGTTGTATTTAACTTAAAGCATGAAAAATGATATATTTAATACCCAGTTTTAAACAGAGGCCATTTTTCTGGATCTGACCATGATTAGCATGTATAGATTCATATAATAAATACATTGTTATACAAAACTGGGCTTAGTGTAATGCTTCAAATATTCTGCATGAGTTCCAACTTTGTCAAAAGGAGATGCAAAATTTTAGGCTATTGAAATTACTGTTCCATAATTCATTGTGAAAATTCAAGTTAAAATTTTGATTCACTTTTAATGCTTGTCTCTTCAATATCCAATGCTTAGTAGTATATTTTGTGCTGTATAAGGGGGATAACTCTTTCTGACTGCTGAGTTTGATTTTAGACACAGATTGGAGCTCATGCGAGATATTTACAATGAGGATCTCTCACCCGGCACACCAGAGGCCAAACAGAATTTCTTCCAATGTTTCACAGGCTGTGGGCCATCACAAAACTACTTTAACTTCATTAATCTAATTCCCTCCAGGTCAGGCCCTGGGTGTTGTAGCTACTCAGCTGCATTTTCAGTTCCTCTGCATCCACTTTTCTCTCACATAAATCATCTAATTTTGGTCTCATTTCTTTATTTATTTCAGCTTTTGATTGACAAGTTATTATAGGCTGTATCTGGTTTAGTTTTCAAGATTTGAGTATTTTTGATTTTATAGTTTTCTTTCACTGTGATGTTGTTTTTTATGATTTATTTCTGTATTGCATTTTCAGGTTCTCAAATGGATAGATTTTTCTAAATATTGCATGTACTTGTAATTGTAAATGATTTTGTGATAAAGATTTCTTATTTGGAAAATATTCTTTCTGAATTTTGAATATAAAGAAAATCTTCAACCCATTTTGTCCTTCTTACATTTTAAAGAAATTCAGCATTCTGAAAATTATGCACTCTTTCATCCAGTAAGCTAACCCAGAACCCATTGTTGTGTTTAGTCTCTGAATTTTTGTTTGTTCAATATTTCCTGCATCAGCAAGTTTGCTTAATTTACAGGCAGAGGCTGGAGTTGATGAGACAGATGTATCACAACGAGGCAGAGTTATCTCCCACTTCACCAGAACCAAATATTGACACAATGAGTGGAGGTGATCCATTCTATGACAGATTTCCATGGTTTAGACTTGTGGGAAGGTAAAACATTTAAAAGATTAAAGATGAAGTTAATTTGAATATGGAGAGTCTAAGGGCACAATACTGCTGTTTAGTTTGGGCTTTGGTTGAAGATTGTTTCAAATACACATCTATTTATCAAAAAAGATTTCCTCTTTTGTAGAGCCTTTGTTTACTTAAGTAACCTGTACTATCCCGTACCTCTGGTACACAGAGTCACAATTGTGAGTGAAAAGGGAGAAGTCAAAGGATATCTCCGAGTTGCTGTTCAGGCAATCACAGGTAAGAATTAAAATAAAGGTAGACAGCAGGTGAGATTTGGTCTGCTTTGAAATTCAGGATATTTTTGTAAAATGACAAAGATGCTGGAAATAGAAATATTGTTCATGTGTTTGTGTGTATATGTGTATGTACATTCTGTTGATGTTTATGTATATTTATGAATGGTTTACCTGTAGAAAAAGAAGAAACACCTGACTACACACCAGGAATCAGGCAGTCAGGAAATGCCAAAATTGCTTTCAATGACAATGACTACTTCAAAAAGGTAAGGATTGTCTCTCAAAATACTGTAAAATCACATATTTTCGTGGGGTCAAATTTTCATGATTTGAGGAAAAAAATATGGATTTGTGGAGATTTGAATTCATGGATGAATACTTGTTGAGTAGTTAAATATGTGAAAAATTACATTTCATGGTGGACATAAATTTGTGGGTCTCTTCATACCTTGAAAACAACAAAAATTACCCACCCCCCTGAAAATTAGTGATTTCACAGTATTTTAATTTTTTTTGCTGTACCTAGCATGTATTGAGAAAAGAAGATTTTTTTTATACATACATGTATGTATTCAGTAAACCTCTTGTTTTATTTTAAAAAAGAAGCAGCAGTACAGTGATTTATCCTCGCAGACAGCACCATCTACAGAGAACCTCAGATATGTAGAAGGTGAAGGTCCAAGTCCAGATAACTCTATCAATACTTCTGGTGAGTGGTCTCCCTTTAAAAATTCTATTCAATCTACTTGCATTCAAAATAACATTATAAGAGCTCTTTGGCATTTATTCCATGACAGAGCCATATATCTGTGAGCAGAAGATGAAGCCAGTGGATCTGTTCCCAGATATAGATGAGAAAGAACTGCCTGGACACCTTAAGGTTGACTCACAGTTCCAGTTCAGGGTCACAATCCTAGAGGCTTCTGGGATAGCCTCAGAATATGCTGACATCTTCTGCCAGTTCAAGTAGGCTTTTGTTTGTTTTCTTGTAGAATTAAGACTTTAAGATGATTGAATAAATCATGATTATGCAACTTTTCTGTTAAGATGTTTGTAAAATTTATGATTTAAAAAAGTCTCTTCCTTTCCAATAACATATACATGTATTTTTGCAGCTTCCTACACAGACATGATGAAGCTTTTTCAACAGAACCTCTTAAAAATGGTGGGAAGAGTCATCCTTTAGGGTTTTATCATGTACAGAATGTAAGAAATGTTCCAAAGTAATGATTTTGTTAAGTGTGCTAAAAGATCCTGTCATTCTTCTGTTTAAAATTGATTGTCTTATTTATTATATAACAAAATTTAATAATAGAATAAATCATTTACATAAAAGTTGTTTGCTTCACATATACATGTACAATGTACTGTATATATACACTGTACATTAAAATTTAATATGATTTCCAGTTCACAGTCTCTGTGACAAAGTCCTTCATAGACTACATAAAAACACAACCACTTGTGTTTGAAGTCTTTGGCCACTATCAACAGCATCCATTACATGAACAGGCCAGAGAAATTCCTTAGTAAGTGTTGAAATCTGCTATGTTCCATTGACTTTTTCCTGTTAAAGTCCTCCCTCAATATTACTGGTATTTGAAGAAGAATCTTAAATATGTTGTTACATTTTGTAGTAATGTCAGACCAAGGCCCAAATGTAATTTCCCTCCCATGATTCCAGTATCTAAGCCAGTTCCCTCACCGAAGTATGGAGTTCTGAGTCCACCAAGGTATGTACATTTGGTACATTTTGTCTGTGCAGATTTTTATCATGTGAACAAGAATTCATGTTCATATCTATACATTTCAAATGTATTATCAACATCTACAGTACAAAAATGTACATACAAAATTCTGGATAAAAGATACTTACTCAATGTCAGCATCCACAAGAAATGGATTCTATATTCTGCTCTGAGTTTGTGTTTGCTTGTGATTTTTTTTTTAGCTGAAGTCTAAAGAAATTTGTTATTATGGTTTCTTGCAAATCAATTTAAGTTACATAAAAGCTTTCTCTTGTGTTTATTCCTTTGTGTTGTGTGCTTCAGAGTTAAAAAGTCACAAAAACAAGATTTGTTAATTGAAGTCAAGAAAGCAAACCAGGAGGGGTAAGATTGAGCAGCTAACTACTGATTTAGCTAGAATGGGACGGACAAAAGCTATAACAACTATACCTTATATGCTTGAGTAACAACTTGCCTCACAGTATCTTAAATGCATTGGAAATATTTTGTGCATTTAGTGATCAAATTCTCATTCAATACAAAAAAGATATTAAGGAAACAATTTTCTTTTTTTTTTAGCTTACTTGATGTATTTGAGACTCAAGCATATAAAAAGCTTATCAACATTTAACATGGGGTTACCTGCTTTAACCTTTAGCTTTATTTTTCCTTCTAACAGGTTGTGTAATAATCATGTATAAAATCCATTGGCATATTTCTAATTTAACATTTATTACCTGACTAACTGAACTAACACTGCAGAATCCAAACCTATCTGCATTATTATAGGACCATTGTCTCTAACCTTAACATAAATTTCACTTCACATATCCAAGATTAAAATTTTAAGCCTGTACTTGCTTATATGTTCCTGCACTCTACTTGTGTATAACTGAAGGTTCATCCTTTGTTTACATGCCTTTCTTAATCTGGACAGTAGGAAGATATTCAAGTATTGGTAGGTCATATGCAAGATTTGCTGCTTATATACCAGAGGCTTTTTCAGAATAAATATTTTTCATAGCTACAGATTTTTTTTCAGCTATTGTCTGTGCTTCATACAGTTATAAAACATTTGTGATAGCCTTTTCTTTTGCTTGATGATTTGTTTAGAACAGGTCACTTTACAAGCAAGACAAGGAATTGCATAAAACATTTGCTCCTTTGATGTTTTCATTGCTTTAGATTTGAAATTTGTAATAGGAAAGGCATGTAAACTATTGAAATAACAAATACAAACCATACATATATTATAGAGAAATGCTGAAATAAGTAATTTTTCATAATATACATATATACATTATTTAAGCTAAAAATATTCAAATATGTGAAATCTAACATACTGTATTTATTTTGCACTCATTTACAATCATGTTTAACTTTTTCATGCATTAGTGTAAGATTGATTGTCTATTTTATCCGTAAGCAACACAAAAGGTTGTTTTCTGATTAACCATATTAATTCTGCTAACTTGTGCTTGAGCTGGTTTGCATGCACCGGGTTGTACACGGTTCCCTTTGTTTGGTTTAGGTTTTACGATTCTGGTCGCAGTCTGGAGTCACCTCTTTCTCCTGGTTCGAAGTAGGTATCTCAACAAAAGGTGACCTTTGATGTTGTATATTCTTAAATCTTCCTAAGACTTTACCTTAGTTGTCAAGCTTTAAAGCACCAGCAGTTTACTTCATTTACTGTAGCAAAAATGTGCCCAATTAAGTTACATAACATACCTTTTATGTTAAATGTTAAGTTAATTTAATTACATGAAGAATTTTATTTTAACTGAAATTCCATAAGTCTTTGAGAACATTTTATTATCTATAGCTATTGAGTCTGTAAGATTTAAACTCAACCATATTACTTTGGTAGCTGAAATGCTGTTATCCCCATTTTGCTATCACTGTGCTTTAAATACACTGTAATATCACATGCATCACTTTACCACACAGAATTATCATTATTAATTATTATCATTATTCACCATCATAATATTTACACTGTCACAGCATGTGCACCAAAAGCTGCTTTTGCATTTTTTTTTATTGGCAATGCTCTTGACATTTTTTTTTAATATATTTTTGATCAGATGTATTCTAAATTATATTCAAAAATTTCTTTGTAAATAAAGTGTGAATATAAACCTTTTTTTATTGAGTCACCATTATTAGACATTAATTTGAGCATTTTTTTTATTTACAGCTGTAGTCACATACATTCCAGATTTGACCTACTGGTTTGGTTTGAGATATGTGAGCTTGCACCCAATGGAGAGTAAGTATTGGTATCACTAAAGACAATGCAATATAGTCCAAAAATTGGTAAATGAACTGATAATAAATAAAGCAGTATAACATGCATGTACTTCAAATATTTTTTAGTGTGATGCTGTGTGCTTTTGTTCTGTAGGTACTTTGAATGTGGTACATTTTTTTAGGTATGTCCCTTGTGTTGTAAGCCATGCTGATGATCAGCCTTGTACTGGATTATTTATGCTCCACCAGGGAATACAGAGAAGGATTGCTATCACTATAATGCAAGAACAGAGCCCCGAAATCGACCTCATATGGAAAGATGTTAAGGAGCTTGTTGTAGGTAGGTATTTATTGAACCAGAAGTTTGCAGATGGGTATTGTACAAGTAGGTAGGTACATGTATATGTACATGTATTTATTGACCAAAATTTCAAAGACAGTTAAATTTTATACTGTAAAAGCAGAAATATTCTTGGGGGGGTTAAATTTCATTGTTAACAATTATCAACAAAATAAATCCCACATGAAAATTTTATATGGCTATGTATTGAATAGGGTTAATTTCTAAACAACTAAATTAAATGCCATGAAACCTTTAAGGTGACAAATCAAAAAAAATTTATCCCTATGAAAATTTGTGCTTCTACAGTGTTCACTTCTTCTGATGTAAGGTCAGGTCAGTGTCAAAACAAAAGTTGTGGTAATTCAATTTAATAAAACTAGGATGAAAACAGATTTAAATGGTATGCACCTGCAACAGACATTAATGGCAGTCTGTCAGAGTTCCATTTTTCTTCTGTGTTAGGAGAGCTGGGTTTTTTTTTCAATAAGATTTTCTCACCATGAGCAGTTGGTGGGAAAATGTTTTAAAATTTTATTCAAATTTTATGAAAGTTTTTATGTTTTATCTACAGGTCGTATTCGTACAACACCAGAATACCATGAAGTAGACAACGAGACTTCTGTGCTGTCACTTAATCTTTTCCCAGCCTCCTACATACAGTATCCAGGAGATGATAGGTAATATGCAGGCCTGACGTGTAATTATATCCCTGAGTGATTTTGATTTATAGGGGGAAGAGGGGACTTTAAGCATTTGATTTTCCATGTGAAAGCTTGGGGGATTTTAAATGGACCTACATGTACATGTATGTGTACTTTACACATTTATATGTTATACATGTGATGTTTATATTTTCTCTTTCAGAATCTACTTTCGTTTTGAGGCTGCTTGGGATAGCTCTCTCCATAACTCACATTTACTGAACAAAGTCACTGCCTCTGGGGACAGAATTTACATGACTCTCTCAGCCTACATTGAGGTTTGAAAACAGGGGCATAAATCTTTTTTTCTTCAAGATTTGATATTCACCTTTGTTGCTTATATGTCATTGTGCTAATTCTTCTTTAATAGATTATGCAAATATATTTTCAATTTATTTTTCAGAAGGAAAACTGCCAGCAACCTGCTTGTATTACCAAAGATTTAAGTATTGTTATTCATTCAAGAGACACAAAAATAACTAACTCCAGGTATGAATTTAAAAAAGAAAGAAAAAAAGAGTCTACATGAAAAAATAAGAACTAATATATTTATTATCTGAACAAGAATTTTTTTTAGAATCTTTGACTTTTTTCTTTATTAGGACTTTTAGGAGTTTATTTGGAGGTAGCAAGTCTCTGGATGCTAACCGTGTGAGCGGTATTTACGAGTTATTCCTGCGGCGGGCCTCAGAATCAGGTAGTCCAGGTATCTGTTGTCCAACGTATCACCTGTGTTTGTGACATATACTGCACCTCTTACCCATGTATTCTTAAACCAGCAGTAAGACAAGTCCAAATTTCTACATGGAAAATTTTAAATTCTTCAGCATTTCAAGAAGATCTCCAATTTTCAATGTGGTTAATAAGACTTGTGTATTTATAATTTTTGTCCATTTTCCATTACCACCAGAGTTTGTAGTGTTTTTAGTTACCACCTTATAAATTACCTGATACATGTACAAAATATATATATCCACCTTTGCCAAACACATTGTATTGTCATTAGTCGATGCACAAGTTTATATATGTACAAGTGTGTGATCATTTAAGTAGATATGCATAAGTACACAGTCAATATAATCAGAGCTGATAAATATTTCTTGCATTAACACCAGTTATGAATTTTGAATGAAAGAGCAACTTTGCGATAAAATTTCTTATTTACAGTATGTAAAGTATTTCATGAAATGAAGGATTTCTTTGTCAAATTATATTGATACTTGTCTAGAAATGGTATAAATGATTTCTGAATCCTCGACAGGTGCCCAGAGAAGACAGAGACGGGTGCTGGATACATCCTCTACTTATGTCAGGGGAGAGGAAAACCTCAATGGATGGCGACCCAGGGGAGATTCGCTTATATTTGACCATCAGTGGGAGTTAGAGAAACTCACAAGGCTAGAATTGGTTAGTTCATTGCTACATATGATGAATTAACTAGGAAAATTAAAGAGATTTGATATTCTTTTGTTTTAATGGATTATTTTTGTATGCAGCATGTGATTTATGGAATCAAATATCCTTATCCCTTATATGATTTATGTTCTTTTAAGATTATTGCTGCTGATATTTAGATATTTTAATATACTGTTGTTTGATAATGGTATAAAACACTGCATATACTGAACATGTAGAATTTAAAATCTCAAATGTCATTAAACTGTTCTTATGCTAGGTGGAGAAATCTCGTCATGTATTACTTTTGAGAGAGAAACTTGCTGAACAGAACAAGACAAATGAACTAAGCAAACTAGACAAAGAAGCCTCTAATAAGTCCGTAAAAGCCAAACATGATCAAGAGAAAGAGGAGATCCTGAATAAAACAGAGAATTCAGAAGAAAAATCCATGGAGAAGTGGGAGAAAGACGATGCTACAGAGAAGTATGAGAGACAAGGACAAGGTGTATACAACTTTGTAACAGATGGAAGCAGAGAGCAGGAATTGACAGCCAAATGTCTGAGGCTTATTCTGCAAGGGAAATTACTGCTGAATCCTCCATCTCTAAAGGTTTGTCAGTTTTCTGTTGGATGTTTTGAAAGCTTAAAAAGAAATAATTATTGTAAAGAGTAATTTGGTTTTTCCTCTGAGATTTGTCTTCGGGGTAGTTCTGGTAGACATAATTATATAAATCTTGAAGGGAGGGTGTACTGAAAATAACAGTCATCAATATCTTCCCTCGAAAACAAAACTATTTCTGAATATACAAAACACTTGAAAAGCTTTCTATATCTTTAGTCATCTTTGTCATTCAGGTGACAAATGCTATTGGTTCTAGACCAACACTAATTCTTCTGAATACCAAACATGTAGTAAAATAATAAGAAATGATACCCAAATGTGTTTTGTATTATCCACCATTTCTTTCATTTTATTGAATTTAATATCCCAAACTTTGATTTAATAATGGAAAAACAGTAGATGGCCATACTCCTTTAAAGTTTGCTTATGATGCAAGGTTTGTTACAGCAATGATTCAGGTCACTTGGAATAAGTGAAGGCCATAGGAAGAAAATGTAATAAATTCTTTTTTGGAGTAATAATGTAGTACATGTAACAGAAAAACTTCTAAATTTTACTACTGACAAAAAGATTACACAAGAAGGGTGGCATTGAAGTTAGCTCTTTTTGACAAGGTCAAAGTCGTTAGAATGTTTTTGTTTTGGCCTTGTTTGTACTTGAAGAGCATAAAGGACACGTGCAATATAAGGGTTTATGTATAAGGAGTGGATATACTCATTTGAGTCTCTTGTCTGAATAAACTTAGTATTTATTTTATATATTCCTTTAATAGCCTCAGATCGTTTCTTTTTAATATACATGTATTTGCATTTGATTTTCCATTTATTTTGAATGTTATATTTTAGCCTTCTTCCCAGATGACTGAGTCACTGCTCAGTAATACCACCACAGACAGTGAGGCTGAGCTGACCCCTAGTGACCAGTCTATGATCACAAGCATTGCCAGTTCGTCAGCTTCAGATTTATGCAGGTCAGTCAAAAGACATTTATCATTTGATTCCGCAGTTTTATTTATTAAAACATACATATGTAGATTGACATATCTATCAATGATAAAATTTACATGTACATAAACATGTATATCCACTAGATGAAGGTTTGTAGCACTATTAGAATTGCCTTTTTACACTAAACTATATAATGGTAACTTGATTTCATACCATTTAATAAAAACACGCTAGTCTGACATGCATGAGGATGAAAAAGGTACAAGCACATGCACAAGTTTAGATAGTTATTAATTTTTTTATTCCTTGTAAGTAGAAGGGTTTGTGATCTCTCTCTTATACAACAAGTTATTCTTAAGTATTTCAAAGTGTAACGTATTTGTTTCCTTTCAAATTTGTAAAACTTAAAATTTATGATCAGTTTGATAAAATCATGAAATGAATACAATTAACTTGCACAGCATTTGGTTAGCTCTTTACCATTTTCCACAGACATGCCAACCCCCCTCCTCCCAGTATCCAGGTATCCAAGTCTTGTGATAGTCTGACAACCAGCACTAACTCTGAGCTCAGTGACCGTAAGTTCTCACTTCCAATCAAACCCCCCGAATCAAATGCTGATGACAACAATTACATTCCACTGGTGGATGAAGTGAGGGTCAGCCCTGTTGTGTCCAGGAAAGGATACCTTAACTTCCTGGAGGAGAAACACACTGGATGGGTCAAGAAATATGTAGTATGTTGACATACGTATTCTTGTGTGTTAGTGTAAACATTTCCTTAAAATCTAGATTCAGTCACTTATCTCTGTGTTGAAAAATGAAGTGAGTTATCTACAATCTTTGTATTGTGGAGAATGGCAGTCTTTAATATTTACTGTACAAACAGGTAATTAAGAAAGGCTACCATATATATATACATGTATTCTTAGGTTGTACGCAGACCCTATATATACATCTATAATTCTGAGAAGGACCCAGTTGAACGAGCCATCATCAACCTGGCTACAGCTCAGATTGAATATAGTGAAGATCAGCAGTCGCTGCTAAAGGTAAGAAGTGGAGATTTCTGTCTCTCATAACTCTGATAAGTACGATGTATTTGTAAGTGTTTTTAAGTATCAAAGGAATTATCAGCAATATTTCTTCTGTATTTACAAAGGGTTTATTTTGAAATACAGGTTAGGAACACTTTCTCTGTGCTGACAAAACACCGAGGATTTCTGATGCAAACATTGGATGATAAAGATTTCCATGACTGGCTATATGCTCTGAATCCTCTCCTGGCAGGACAAATTAGGTGGGTAAACTGTTATACAAAAACTACAGGAATGTATTCAGAATTGCTAAAGCATGGTAAATTCAATGGCTATAAAGGAACGAAATTTGGCAAGTGACTTAGTAACTCTTGGTATAAAAGTCAAAATTTCATTCGGAATTTATAAAAAAAAAAAATCTTATTAAACAAGTCCCCCCTGATGCCAGGCCATACAAGGCAGAAAAAAGGTATGAATGTATAAAAGTTTTCATTTGTGGTAGCCATTCCTGGACTGATATCCATAAGCGTATAAAGTACATTGTCTATTTTACACAAGCCTATAAAAATGATAATGACTTACATTTATGTCTTTATTGGTGTCCTTATTAATTTATCTGAATATTTTTTAGATCCACCTTGTCTAGGAGGAAGCTGCCAATGAATATATGAAAAGAAAAAGGCAGAATGAAAGTACATTCAGCATATGCTTTATCAGGCATTCATCTCACTCACCAAATTATAAAAGATAGAATTCACAGACTGAAGGATTAGATCTGAAAGGAGCAGACAACTCATGACTTTTTTTGTTGTTTTTACCCTGTTACATATGTATATGTATAGGGAGACAGTCTTTATTAAGATCTTCTGATGTATTATTCCCAGAAGGCTACAATATGGAGAGATTTGTTAATTAGTGTTAACAGCACTGTTGTGATATGAACGAGGATATTTGTTATTTATTGAAAGTATTTTTTGTTGTCGATGGTGTTACTTCATTCTTTATCTACATAGTTCATAATACATGTATAGGTATATTGTTATCATTGTAATATCATTACATTAAACCATCACTATCCAACAGAACAGACATCTAATGACACTGGTAAAGTAGTATAAGAATTTGTTAACTTTTGGAGGGAAATATAAAGTAAAATTTTGCTGATTCAAAACTAGTGAAGAATGAAAAAAGTAGATATAATGATATGATTTATGTCTTTTTTGGATGTTATACAGCATTCCATGTTTTGTAGAAATTATTTTCAAAATATTTGACTTGAAAAGTATGAGTATGATATTTATGAAAATTAATGTCCCAGTCTAGTATTGACATTTTTTACATTGTGCCAAGATGTGAGTCTGTCAGTAATGCTGATTATTTAGTTTCGCAATATAAGAACAACATTTCTAGTCATCTCAAATTATGTGTTCATTCATTCTATAACATATAGTTGCATGTGTCTACATGATTTAAAAAAACATCAGACATTTTGCATATTCTCCTCTATATAATCATTAATTCTTTCCGAGTTACAGGTTGTAGTTTAACTAAATGTTGTTGGTAATATAAGCATAACAAGTTCATAAATAGTACTTGTATCAGGTAGGATAGGTCTACTTAGCTAAATGTTGGACTCTAATGTGTCACTATACTAGTCTGCATTAACGAGAGAAAAAATGTTTTACTTTACAAATTGAACAGGTGCTGTATAAAAATTTCTGTAAAAATTATGCATCAGAATGTGAAATACCTATAAAAAATCATTTTAATTCAAAGTTTCATGTATTTAATCTAGTATTACACAGCTTGCTTCACACTAGATTATTATTATATTAAAGAGTCCATAAATGTCTCCTCTGCAGATTTTTCTTGAGGATATCTGTTTTCTTTTCTGCAGTGAAAACATGTTCTATGGTTGCTAATGTTTAATAAGAAAGAATATAGATAACTCTGTTTGGTATAAAATGGTGAATTTATGTTTGATTCTGCATTAGAAAATTTTTTTTAATGTGACATCGGAGAGAAATTTAAACAGTCATTTTTAAATTAAAAAAAAGGAATTGATTAGAATTTTCACTTCTACTTCATGTAATTGACAATCTGCAATGAGAATTCTCTTTTTTTTCACCTCTTGAATTACAAGTATTGTTAGTAGTCTAGGATTTTATTAAAATCTGAATTAGAAACATAATTTGACAGATTTTAATTGGTAGTCATTCATATCAAGTGAAAGTTGTGACTTTGTTGATTTTTTTTTTGTTCATTTTGTTTTTTTATATACATTTAATTTATACCCCATATATCTGTGCAATATTTACCTTTCAGGTACATTTATATTTATTTTTATACTTGTTTTCCATTTGAATGGGCAAATGAGAAGATATGAACAGAGTTACAATTATTTTGTAGAGAACTGTTACTGTGAAACCATTCAGAATTCATTGCAGCAGGTGTCTTACAAATGACAAGAAATAATTGTATTTACTAGAGATGACAAAGGAATCCTGGCCATAAATAAAGTGAAAGCAAAAGATGCTTAGTGTATTGGACATGCATAAAGCAGATGAATGTTGACTCTGCTGCAATGAAAGATAAATGCTTTTACATTTTACTTGCTGTTATGTTAAGAGGTGTGGTACTCCATGTAAGCAAAGATGAACAAGCTGAAAAGTTTGTAGTGAAGGTTACATTCCAATGTATGGATTTGTTTATTGAATCCAATTCAAAACAAAAGATTTTATTCATTATGAAGAAAAAACATGTATAGTTTTCCAAAGTAGAATCTTTTTTGTATGCATGCAGACATAGAATTCCAATCTTGAACAAATTTAGAGCACTGAAATCCTTTGCTATTTCCATTATTTTAATGCCTAAATAATGCTATTTTATTCATGTAATTTTCATGAGGTTGTTTTATATCTTTGTTTTTGAAGAGAAACCAGACAAGTTGTTTATTAGGGATCTTTTGACAAGTATAACACTGTATGTGAATTTCTTCTTCTTTTTTTTTCCAATTTTTGGGCTTCTGTTGGTGATGTACTAAGTAGTGCAGACATGAATTAGAACTGTCAATGTTTATACTTACAACACAAAAATAGTTTAGCAGTGATCATGAATCAGTGCATATACGGCTTTAAGATATGAACCATTAATCTAAGTACATGGACAGTACCCTTGTTTGCTAAGACCTTTTTTTGTCATTGATTTAACACATTATTGAGTTTGCGTTTGTTTAGGCTGAGTATAGTTTGGATTGCAGTGATGTTTGGTAATGTTGATCCTTGGTTGAAATATGTGAGAAATTCTTGTATGGCTTAGTTTTAGTGTTTATTGCTTACCGAGTGGACAGACAATGGGAATGTATATTGAGAAAGAACAGAGTTCAGCATTTCTCAGTTTTTACCGTTTTGTATAAGAAGGCTAATTTATTGAGGAATTTTGAAGCACTTTGTCAGAGATTTGCAAATGTGAAAGATGAGCTTTCTTCAGCTATACTTGCTCTGTTTTAATGAACTATCTTGGTCACAATAGAATATTTCAGGTATGATTAAGTTCCTTGCAAAAATATAGTTATACTAGGTGTTGTATACAAGTATGGAGTTGGGACAATCATTCTGCACTGTGCAGATGTAATTCTGGTCTTTTGAGATTAGTTAGTGTTAACTGTGTATGTTCCAGGTGTTCTTGTCTGAATACAATGCTCTACAATTTCTGTTTGTTAGCTCTTTATTTACATACACAGTCTACAAACTCTTTTTTGCTTGTTCATTTCATGTAGGTGTTAATCAAGCAGGTTTAACTTTTTTTCTCCCATGCAGTTGATGGGAATATTTATCAGCATGTGAGTGCGAACATGCATTTTCATTAAATAAATAATAAGTACATACCTGTATTAATATATCCATTTTACCAAGCAAAAAAAGATAATTGTCTTCAGTCAAAATTAGCCCACCTGTATTTTTTAGTTGTATGATTAGTAATATGATCATGTCATATGTGTTGCCTATGAACTTAATTTGTTCTATATATTGATGTAGATGTTTAACACTTGGTGCATTTTTTAAGGAATCAATTAGAGACATTATATGTAATTTTTATGAACCAAACTCCATATTAGATATCTTTTAATGTATTGAAGGTTTATGTGAAAGTATATACATTTAAACAAATATTCTCTTTCTGTGTATGCATAACAAAGGGAAGCCAAAATATTTTTCATATAGGTAAATTGTTTCAAACTGCTTGACTTCATATTCACACATTCTACCCATAAAAGTTCTTTTTTTTTCTTTTTTTTTTTTTTGAAAAGGGGGGAGGGCTCTTTGCTAGTTGACTCTTGGATTAAGATGACATCTTAGAATTAAGATTATCATATTGCTAAAAATATAAATAAACTACTTATACTTATAAAAGTATATTATTACTGTTGCTAAATTAAACTTTAATTAATTTTATAAAGGATAACAATTGATATTGGGGGGGGGGGGGGATTAACAACGATGATTTGTAATTTTTATTGTGTCGATCTTCATCTAAATAAATTTCAGATTTGATATTTTAAGATGGATTTTATATATTTGAAATATGGATATTTGAATTCTATCCAAAATCAATCATATATAGTTGCTTTCCCCCCATATTTTGAGTCTGTAGTAAATTTCAGTGAGTTTTAATGTGAAAAAATGCTAATAGAACTAACTTGCTGTAATCTTCAACTTAACTAAGACTATCATCTTAAAGATCAATGTCTGAACATCTTGTAAATTTTCTTGTATGTATCAACATAAAACAATGTTTGCAAATAAAATGGAACTCTGTGGAGTATGCTTTGATTTGTTATGCTTATTGCAGTAATAAACAACTGATAAATTTACTTGGTATTTGATTCTTCTTTTTAAGCTCGCCTTCAAATGAAGGGCCACACCCTCTTCCAAGGGGAGATAATTAAGAAAAAGTGAAAATTTGGTGGGATTATTTAAAAATCTTCTTCTCAATAACCACTGGGCAAGAAAAGATGAAAGCTTTCTGAGCTAGTGTAGATTCAAATTGTTTAAATCATGACCCCAGTTAGTAGGATGGGGCCACTATGGGCAATCAGTGTTTTACATAGGAGTACTTAGGAAAAATCTTTAAAATTCTTTTCAAGAACAGCAAAGTCGTGATTAGTCATATTTATATGGAAGCAGGTAGTGTAAATTTAAGTTTGTTCAAATCATGGCTCCCAGGGGTAGGGTGGGGCCACTATGGGCGATTAAAGTTTTACATAGGAATACTTAGGAAAAACCTCACGAACAGCAAAGCCATTATTAGTTTTATTTGTGTGGAAGCATTCTCAGGTAGTGTTGATTCAAGTTTGTTCAATTTGGGCACAATAGAAGATCAAATCTTGAAAAAAAAAATCTAAAGCCATGAGTCAAAGAAATGTAGAGGCATCCTCGGTGTAGATTCAAGTTTGTTCAACCCCCCCCCCCCCCCCCGCAGGTGGTGGGGGTAATTTGGGACCACTTATATATTTGAACTTTTCAGTACTGAACTGATTTATGCTTTATGACCATATGGTTCCCAAAGATCAATCTTGTCACATTTGTCTTTTTTCTTTTGTTAATATTCAGAATAATCGGTCTGTATTTATAATTGCTATTTTAAGGTAAAAAAGCATATTTTTGATGTTTTTTCTTTTAACCAAGGAGTTTCGAATCCAGAAATTTCAGACGAAAAGGGGGGGGGGGGCAAGAATGGATCGAAACCAGATTTTTCCCTAACAAGCAAAAACAACAAATAAAAACAAACAAACAACAGAAAGCAAACAAATAAAAACAAAACAACTATTCTATTAGTGGGGAAGGGGTTCACCTCTATATATACACCATTAAAAGAAGGAGATAATGCAGTCTTCAATCGTGAAATTTGGAGACTACTCAGTTCACTAAAATGTATACCGGTAGTGTCAAATGGACGAATGGCCTATACTTGGAAATATTATTTATAATTAAATATGTGATGCTTTTTATCCGTGAAGTACAATAATATTGTAACAGTTCTTTTATTTATTTATTTATTTATTTATTTATTTATTTATTTATTTATTTATTTATTTATTTATTTATTTATTTATTTAAGGGGGATTTGCCCATAAAAACACCACATATTCCAGTCTTAGATAAAAGATTTGGATAAATAAAATAAACCAATTCCTTCCGAGACCATATAAGTTATATTTAAGGATAGACTGGCCAATACATTCATGTTTGGCGGATATCAATTATTGGTAAGTACATTTAGAAATGTCTTTTACAAAAAAGACCCAATTTAGTTTTCTGTTTTCAATCAGAGACATATGTCTTTGTTTCAATTGATCTTTTATTCATCCCTTCTCTCAGTCTGTAGGCCTTGTACTAGCTAGTACCCCCTCTAAAATCCCAAGGACGGGTCCAAGATTAATTCCGTATAATGGGGATTCACAGTCAAAAAAAAAAAAAAGGAAGAAGAAGAAGCTAGAATTCCTATAATTATAATTAGCAAATCAATGAAAGGGAGATGGATTCAAGCACTATGATGCAAAACGCATTGTTGGGATGGAGGGGCACACCTAAAGTGTGTTGTCCGCGAATTCTAACATTAACCCTATCATTTACCTCATATACAACACGGCACCTCCTTCCCCCTGCGAACGGTATCGGTATCTGCGAACCACCCTCAAATTCTCACACAACAATGAATTTGTGTCTCTGTGTTTTCGTGTAAAGGGGGGGGGGGTTAAGCTCTTTATGTCCTGTAAAAGCATTGAGATTTTCAACATAGATCCGTACAAATGAATAAAAAAAAAAAAAAGAATTAAAAAAGAATTAAACAACACCCCGTGCTTTTATTTATTTTAATTAATTTGCTATATATAACTTCTTTCTAGATCATTTCTTTCCTTTTTATTTATTCATCCCCCTCTGTATTTATTCATTTATTTATTTGATTGATTGATAGATACATTGACCGATTGATTTGTGATTGAGGAGGGACAAAGATATGTCCTTTTTTTTAGTGAATACCCCAAATAAGAGATGCGATTCGATCATTCTTTAAAAATGAAGATAATCCAAAATGGGTCTTTTGGATCATCCCTTTGAACGAGTGCAGAAAACTTTTGTTCGTCTTTCCTTTCCATTATCACACCCCAAAACAAAAGGGACAGTGGATCCCCATAATACAATATGCGTTTCAAACCATATTCTCGAATTCAACATTGTGCGAGTTATCTACAAGTAAAATCTTTTCTTGTCGCTGATTGGCTGGATTTGAATAAGCGCGATTATTCGAGTAAAAAAATTAAACATGGCGACAGGAACATCAAGTTAGATCTAATAGAATAGGAATTAGGTATGTTTATGATTTATCTTGCGGAATAAATACTAGTTGTTGCAGAGCGATTAATGTTAAAGCTCACAGAGTTCTTTTAAGGAGATGTCGATTTTGAAGAGTAGATCTGTTGACATACTGCATGTATCCTATATTGATGAAGTTTTATACACGACATTATTTAACATGATTGACTTGGTATTTGAAAAAAAATTCACCACCGCGTGTTAAAACTTTGAGATTATTGTCCTCTTCAAGAAACATTTTTTTAATTAGTTAAATGGGAATTATTTGTTTATTATTCATATAGATCTATTGATACATTCAATCTATAAAAAAAAGGTAATCAGTCAAGTCATGATGATCTGACATAGGACCGAAAAGGCTATCTATTTAATGCAATTTTGAAGAAACAAGAAATATTCCATTCTTTACATCGTAACTTACGATGTAAAAAATTGGATACTCATTTTCTGATTTCTTCAAAATTGCATTAATTTAGGAATGTTTTTCAGTTTTGTGTGAGTAATTGGTGTGTAAATCACACAGACTTGTTACATAGGCATATTTCATGAAGTGTGCTAGCGCTTCATGAAAAATATGCCTACATGCAAGTCTTTGTGATTTACACACCAATAATTCACTCACAACTGAAAAACATTCCTTATATTTACATTTTACATGTTTAAACAAAGCAAAAATACACTAAATTGGTCAATATTTGAATTTCTTGCTGCCCTATTTCGTTATATTTTTATTGATGTCTCTTTATCCTCACTGTGATGTCACTTTAGCCCAAGTTTCTCCATCATATTTCTACGCCTGAGTATACAGGAAAATGGTATTCAATCAATTTCTTAGTATAGTAGAAAAATATAGCAAATGTAAACATTTCGTCGTAAGTCCTTTATTTTATTCTGATTTTTTTAAGACAAAAAGACTAAGCCACAAACATGTCTAAAAGACTATCTGAAGATGTAGGAAATGACAGTGATGGGGAAGAAATCCCATTCAAAATAAGGAAAAATCTATATGCAACTGAGTTTGAAAAACCCACTCAAGATGAACATATGCAAGTTTACCTCAGGATAAGACCATTTACAGATGCTGAAGAGGAACAAAAAGAGAACCAGGCAAGAAAAGTTACATTATAAAAAAAATAATCTTGAAATATATATCTCTCGGGAAATAGATACAGGATTTTACGTATAAATCAAATCTACCATAAAGCCCTTTAGGGCTTATAAGACATATAGACTTTTTACATCATAATTTACTTTTCAAAAAAACTGTTGACAGCAAAAAATGAACATAAGAGAGCACAGGGGCTTGTCTTCTGGATCGTTAAATATAAAATAATAAAATTTTGAATCTACTTTAAATACACTTAAAAGTTGTTAATAAAGATTATGACACTTTCAGTCAAGAAATACCATGTTTAAAAAAAAATGTACTACACCTTTATACAAACTCTACTAGGGACGAATGTCATCTTGGAAAAAATACCCCCACCCACTTCAGCACCTATTTCTATTACTTAAACTTTTTAAGTGTAATTAAAGTAGATTCAAATTTTATTAATTTATTTTACATTTAATAATCCGGAAGACAAGCCCCTATGGAAGAGAGTGATACCTAGAGAGTTCTTGAGTATTGTATTGAGATGACATGTAATTTTAAAAACATGTATGACAAAATACTTCTAGTGTGAAAGAGACCATCATTTGATGTACTCTGACCCACGTTTTTAAGGTAGAGATAGGTAGTAGTTTTTTTTTTTTTTTTTTTTTATCTTGCACATCGATAAACATTAAAAATCACAAACTTGGGAATTTATTGATGGTTTCATTGTACCCAGACAAGTAGAAAGATATTTATTGTTGTAAAGAATTAGAGAAATGATAAACCCTAAATTAAAAAACAATACAGATGATCTGTATTTTCCTATGTACAAAAAAAAAAGAAAGAAAAGTATTTGAAATACTACTGAAAAAAAAAAGATTGGCTTGGGGCATTTATGATTATTAATGGATCTATCAGAGTACATCAAAACAAATCATTGATTTTTTTGTTGGCAGTACTATATAAAATCAAATGAACAACAAAACTTTAACTGACAGAATTTTCTCACTTCCAACACAGTCTTCTCTGTCAGGTGAAATTTCAGACTGAAAAGTATTCAGAATCACTTTGTAATGGGAGAAAAATTGTTATGGGAGGAAATTTTAAACTGCTATAATTATTTGTAGGATTGTCTAGAAATTGAGGGAGAACACAATGTGCTTACACATGCTCCGAAGTCTTCACACTCCTACAAGAACTGTGTACATGGCCTTCAGAAGATGACCAACAAGTACACATTCTCCAAAATATATGGTCAGGAGACAACCCAGAAGGAGTTCTTCAATGGCACTATGCTAGGAATAGTGAAAAATTTCATTGATGGACAGAACTGTTTAGTGTTTTCCTATGGAGTCACAAGCTCTGGAAAGACCTACACCATTCAAGGTATACAAAATCAATGAAAATATTAGACACAAAGAGTTAAAATTGTGTAGAAAAGGTTATAGACTGCTTTCTTGTAGAGCAGGTATATAACTTTGTTGATAGAATGTAAAACTCAAAAACTTGTATACATGTGTATAATGTAATGACCTTCAGGTGAGCCTCGGGATGCTGGCATTCTACCTCGTGCTTTGGATGTGTTGTTTAACAGCATCAACAACAAACATCTCTCCGGGTATATCCTGAAACCTAAAATGTTTATGGATGTGGTCAAGCTTACTAAGGAGGAGGCAGAGGAGGAGAGGAGAAGTAAAGAAAAAACTCTCAAGCTGAGTAATGACGAGGTAACACATGACAAATTGTTGCTATTATTGATGATAAAAAGAATATGTTAGTGCTCCTTAGAATGCACACATATTTATAGTTGTATTTGTTTATGCATGTATGACTTTGTAAGACTTCCCACAAGGTATAAGTGTGTTGAATTTCTTACATAGGATCCAGATGTAATGAGTTTACTTGGTGACGATGCATCAGATGCGTCACAGCTTACCAACATTACCACATGCTCAGAGAGTTCTAATGCCTCTTTCTTACCAAACAAAGGTATAGACTTTAACTACTTCAAACAGAGAATTCTACAAATTTTTCAATAACTTGTCATCAGAGTTTTAAATAAAGTGCTGAAGTATTATGATTGATAATGCATCACTGTCATAGTGCAATGCACTAAGCTCTCAGGAAGTTAAAGACATGATTATGTTAAGAATCTTGTGTAGAGAAGCATTATATGTCAATTTTTTTCTTTTTTAAGAGTCCCTTGACCCCTCTGAGGCCTTGTTAGCCATTGAGAGCCGCGTGCGTGAGGAGACAAAAGTGACAGTTGATGACCAGGGACAAATCCTATTCTCTATTTGGGTCAGCTTTGCCGAGATCTACAATGAACAGATCTTTGATCTGCTGGTGCCAATCTCTAAGAAAAAAAATGCCAGAAGACCAGTGCTTCGGCTCAGTGACGACAGAAATGGAAGTCCTTATATTAAAGGTAAAAGACTTTATAAATCTGAAAGTAAGTTAAGACATTTTTGGTGTTGTCTGTAATACCTCTCTTTGAAGGGAAGGAGAAAACATAGTTTTAGGGAAAATAGTTGTTTTGAATGTTTCCTGTTGTACAAGTTTTGCTATGTTTGTTTTTTCATTGAATATGTTGTTTTTCTTTAATGTAGGATTAAAGGAGATATGTGTAAATAATGCAGATGAAGCGTACAAGCTCTTGACTATTGGTAAGAGGAATCTTCAGACTGCATGTACAAAACTGAATCACCAGTCTTCCAGAAGGTTAGTATGCCTACAGACAACACAGGTTTTATATCTTTGTGAAAATATGAATGAAACCAAGAAAACATTCAGTAGATGTATCCTATCTTTGTTCTTAAAAACGCACACACATACACAAAAAGTAATACACCTGCAACAGTGAAGTAGTTTAAAAAAATTATCTTTAAAGGACGTTATTTACAGTCAAACCTCATTACATGTATCTCAAACTCAAAGGGACCAAGAAAAAACTTCGAGATATCCGAGGATTCGAGATATCCAGGGCCAAAATAAAAAATACCTTTGTTTCCCCTAACGCGACCGACCCACTTAAAACGTGCCGACTGAAAAGTTTTTAATAAGATTATATAATTTTTTTTTTTTTTTTTTTTTTTGTTTTTTTTTTTTTTTGTTATTGTTTATAAACTTTATGAAATACAATTTCATCAAAGTCCGTTTTTTATCAGAACTGCGGCTTTTGTTTTACTCTCATTTGGCGCCCACAACATGTGGCCACAGAGGATTAGTTCGTGTTATAAAACAATGGTGACGTATGAATCTTATTATATAATCTTTAACTTATTAGAATCCTACACTCTTGAGACATTTCTTGAACTAATTGTACCAGGACTAAGGAGTGTTAGATGGTACATGTATTTACAAATGTGTCTTCTAAGATAAACGTACGTAGTAGGCATGGCAAAGCCTGCCCCATGAGCAGATGAGGAGTCCACCTTGTGTATACATATCAATAAATTTCACTGCATTTCATTTGTTTCGATCTAAAAAAAAAAAACCCAGTACATGTATGATCCTATTTTTACTATAAAGGACCATAGGAGTTGTAAATATGTGTTTGTATAATTATTTCATCTTGATAAATATAATTCAGATGTCCTTTCTTCCTATCTTTTATCTATGGGGTATTAACTTCGTGACTATAACATAAGATATATGAAACTTTGATCATTTTAGATATGGTTTGGTTGAATTAAATTTTCTTTATACATGTGCACTCTTTCCAAATAGTATTGAAATCTTTAAAATTGGCTTATGGTACGGCTTCCTGAGACGTATAGTGTATTTTTCTTTAGTTAGGCCCTTGAAAATAGGTTGTTTTTTTTGCTTTAAAATATTAAATTAAGAAATTGTTGGGCCGGTGGAGGGCACCTTATTTTACACTTTTACTCGGCACTTATAGCCATTGATCATTCAGTAAGGGATCTTTTTCGTGCCAACATCTACATGTATACTGCGACACTGGACCTGCGTTTTTTACGGTCTTAGACTGAACAGTCTGTGCGTCCCTTGTCGGGACCTGTGAATTAGAATAAGCTCCTGAATGAAGCTGTGACTCCAAAACGAAACACTAGAATCACTGCGCCACGTGAGGCCCTTGACATTTTGTCTGTGTAAGTACTCGAAGATGAAAGGAGGTTTGAAAAATATACTCGGATGTCCGATGGTTGAGTATTTGCGATTCTTGTCTTTTTGTAAATATTCAATTTCAGTAAATTTACCCTGGCCTGAGTTCTTTCACAAGTTCAGATAAATAATATTTGTGAATTAATTTACCATACATGTTGCTTCATTTGTATGTTATTCGGTTTAAAAATCCGTTTCTTTTGTTTTTTCTTATTTATAAAGATAGGTATTTTCAGAACTGCTGTCAGAAAAAAAAAAATAATTTACCTACCCAACTTGAGATTTTAGGGTCGGGTTAGGGGAAACAAAGATATTTTTAATGATGGCCCAGGGTAAAATACTTAAAGAATAAATGGTTGGGACTTACAATCACTTCGACATATCCATGGTATTCAAGATATCAGTGTTCGAGATACTGAAGTTCAACTGTATATAAACAGTTGAAATGTAAATATTTCTTGTATTTTTTTACAGTCACTGTATATTTAACATCAAGATAATACGAGTGGTGGACAAGGCTAATCCTAGGATGGCTAGAGTCAGCATGTAAGTTAATGCTGTTGAAGGAAATTTTTATAAATGGTATATTTTGTGCCATTATCAGATTATGGGAATAGTAGATATATGTACAGTGTAAGGTTTACTTTTCTGTCTTAGGTTAAGTCTTTGTGACCTGGCAGGCTCTGAGAGATCAGCCAAAACACAGAGTGTGGGAGACCGCCTGAAGGAGGCCGGCAACATCAACACCTCTCTAATGACCCTGGGTCGATGTATTGAAATGCTCCGATACAATCAGAGCCACAAGTAAGTTAAATTGGAGAATCTAATACTGCTGTACGTATTAAAAGTTGCCAAGGCCTGTTGTGCAGTGAGAAGGTTGTATTTTGTTACAGATATATAATGGAGATTTCCAACTTCTTTGTAGGGAACATCCAAAGATAATCCCCTTCCGAGATAGCAAATTGACCCGCTTATTTCAGAATTTCTTCTGTGGACAAGGACGTGTCAACATGATTGTCAATGTGAACCAGTGTGCCAGCATGTTTGATGAGACTCAGCATGTCTTTAAGTTCTCGGCTATTGCTAAACAGGTAAAGTACAAGAGGGAAAATGCACAGAGGTGTGGTGAAATAATTTGCATTAAGCCACAGGATATAATTCAAACACCTGAATGTCTGTTCCTTTATAGGTGGTAATCACACAAAAACAAGATCTAAAATCACGGCTGCTTCAGTCAGCTAAGAAGACAGCTGACTTGAAGAAGAGAGCAGTCTCTATCAGCTGGGCCACCCCAGGTAAGCTAGGTGGTCTTCCAAAATGTTAGCTACATTTCCAGCTGTACATGTAATATTGTATGGATACATTGTTGGTTGTCATTGTACGGAAAATGTATATTGTCTTCAATGTTCATCTAATAATTATGATTATACAAGTATATCTGTATATCTATGTGTGTTTTTTTTAACTTCATGCATTAACTTACATGTACAATAAAACTGTGCAGGTCAGTTGAGAGAATTAAATAGTGCTGCAGACCAAGGTGCAAGTATCCCCCTACCAGAGGGCAATGAAGACGAGGACCTGGAAGAGGATGACCTGAATGTGGAGGTAGGTCACATAACCTGAACTGATGTCAGATATACAGTTCTGTTCATTAATGAGCCAGTACTGACCTTGGATTATCAGATGACATGATGAATTAGGACTGACCTTGAAAAGTTGAGATTACATGATGAACCAGTATGACCTTACATAGTTGAGATAACAGTATCAACCAGTATGACCTCAGGTAGTTCGTATAATGAACTAGTACTGACCTAATATTGTTCATATTATGTAATATACATGCATTGACATCAGAAAGATTCACTGTTTGGATTACATAATGAAACAGTAATAATGATGAATACTACAGAATAATGATGATATACCTGTATAGACACTGGATAGATCAGGTCGCATGATGAACTTCTACTATCATACATGTAGTAAACACTGTATGTACATGCATTTCATATCTTGTAATGAACTACTGGTCACAGTAGCGTAGTGATAGGGCATTCACTTTGTGATTGGGAGGTCCTGGGTTCAATTCTTGTTCCCAGGCCTTGTCAAATCTAAGACATTTAACATGGATAGTGACTTGCTTCACCAAGGGCCCGGCACTAGAAGTGAAAGTCATGGGTCTTTCAGACGAGACCTTAAAAACCCAAGACCTCGTGTCACGGTAGGCATTGGCACAATGAAGATTCCTCACTGCTTCGGCCCTAAGCACCATACCTAGGTCAAAATTTTTGGTAGTTAAATTAAGGCAGGTTACGTTTCTACATGAGTAAAAAAAATCTCAGATGGGATATTGAACAATGTACAGAAAGTCAATCATCTTGTAAATAAATGAACTTGTACTGACAGAATAATTCAGGTTGTATGATGAGCCTGAACCCACTAAAGGTACATGTAGCTCAGATATCACTGGATGAACTTGCAGTGATATTGGGTCACACAGTAAAGATACATGTATAATCACATTGGTTCAGGTCACATGATGAATTCATCCTTGCTCACAGATCTGTGGTGTTTAACTGCAGGGTGTAGAAAACACTGCCACCCTGGAAGGGAAGTGTGTTTCTGCTTCTGGGGCTGATGACCTATTTAAAAACATTTTTACCTACTGTATACAGGGAAATTTTTGCCTCCATATTTTCCCACCTTTTGCCCTAGAAACAAGTGGGCGAATTTAAGATGGGTTGAATTCAAAGAAGACAGTATAATTTCTTAAACAGATCTGTGAATGGACGATTTTAAAACGGGGCAAAATTGTTTGCAAGTGTGAAAGGGCGAAAATAACCCTCTATACAGTATATATATAAGATTGTTGTACTAAAAAATATGGAAATATAAGATACATGAACATTATAAAAACTATGATTTAAGATACATGAACATTATTAAAACTATGATTTTGCTGTTTAAATTTACAGGAGCTTTTGGAGACAATAAAAGACTTGCAATCCAAACTGTTAAAAGAGAGGCGAGAGAAGCTGCAGTTAGAATTAAAGATCCGTGATGAGGTGTGCAGCGAGATGATGAAGCAGCTGGTGGAGATTGAGGATGAGTGCAGGTTTGTCAGGGAGAACATACTGTATGTGTACTTAAAAAAGCGGGCTTCATATTTTAGCGGCTTTGCCGCAGACAACGATGCGCTAATTTATGAATACCACTAAGAAATCGTCTATAACTACAATACACAGTATGGACATGTATAGCGCTAATTCATGATTATGCCAACAACTCCATACCCAGTGATTGTGCTAAATTTTGAATTTGCCAATTTATGTACACGTACAGTATCAAGTCACACATAAGATAAACAAAAACCTACAGTACATGTATATTTGATATGTTTGTAACTCGTGCATGTCATTGAATGTTCCACACATTAAGTCCACGGATCAACTGAGCATATCTGATTCAATATCTGATTTTAGTTTGTCAAGGATCTTTTCTTTAAAAATCATTTTGCCAGGAAAGACAAAATTAAGTGCAATTTTTGTGAATAGCATAGAATCACCATAGATACATATTGACTTCACAGAAAGGCATATTGACCTAACATGATATAATTATTCAAACTGTGGTATCTATTCCCAACCTCTTTGTTCCAAGACAAGGATGACAATAATAGGTTAGGCCATAAAAAATTTAAAACAGTAACTTGGTTCTCAGACCTGCCAGCATCTCATTTAACAATGCGTATTACCCAATTTTGTCCTCAAATTAATAAAATAAAATTTCTCTCATGCGCTCGTATGGTGCCAAAAAAGTTCCAGAATCCCTGACTGCATTTTAGATTCTCCAATCAGTAAAACGTTTGACAAACATCAAGATGACACAGACTAGGGGCCTAGTTAAAAATCGCAAATATAGTCGTCGAATAAACAGGTTTTTTAGTGTGGGTAAACCAAAGACTGATAAATTTGACAATGTTTAATGAAATCATAGGCGCTATTTTTAGTGCTTAAACACTCTTAAATTAGTCGATACAGTAGTAGATACATTCGATAGAATGTTCTATTGTTAAAATGATATTGCCTGAGACACAATTAGATCATCCTAAGTGGTGATACATAAGCAATTGACCAGATATATCACTAAAAGTGTCTGGTTCTGTAAGTTTAAGACATGTTTGGTTGTTACGATTCCGTCGTTTCATTACACAAATGTAGAAAATGCAAGAGAAAAGAGAAAGAAAAGCAGGAAATAAATGATCATGATTTCTACACTCGATGTTGAAGCACTGTTGATTAAAAGTTGCTAGTTCTGAAATTTTAAAAAAATCAAAAATCCTGTGTTTGTTTTTAATGAGGTAAAAAGGGGGAAAAAAAGACCCTCCCACATTTATTATTGACAAAACTGGCCTGAGAACCTAGTTATTAATTTTTAAGGTCTTGGAAGTATTACCTAGGACTTAAAATATGGAGTTATTCATGTGAAATGAAATAATGCAAATACGGAATACATGCACAGTTATTTTAAGTCTTAATTGCCTTTACAGTGAGCGTATCAGAATGAACGAAGAAGCCACAGAAGAAATGTATGAGAAAAGAATCCAAATTCTGATGGATGCTTATGAAAATCAAGGAAAGAAGCAGAGTGATTTCATGACAGACAAGGACGATGAGTGGGTCTCAAGCATTCTCTTTTATCAGGAGCAAATGAAGAATAAGGTAATTTTTCAGAACCATTTTATGCTGTATCAAAGGACTTGCTGGTGCTTACAGAGAACCAGTCATTTTTGCATGTAAGAATATCCCAGAAGTACCAGTGTTGTTCATTTCCATGTACATGAGCTATTCTGAAAATGTGAAAAAAAATATTTTTAGGAAAAAGATGCAGAAATAGAAAGGCTGAGGAAAAAAGTAAATGAGGCCAAAATTGAACAGGTAAAGTATAACCTGCCCTCTAAAAATAGCAAGTTTTAAAAATGATGTATCTTCAAATCAATTCAAAAAAAAGATTGGCAACTTTATTGAGAGGCATGTATTAAAAGCTTATTCTGGTACTTATGCAAAGCACTTGTTATGTTATATTTTTTGTTCTGACACAATCTCAGTCATGCTTCATTAATTTTGAGACCATAATAGATGGGTTATGTTATTTCAGTTATTTTGAAAGTTGTCACTAGTCCATTGTTCAGGAGTTAAGCTGGCTGTATCTTACATTTTGTTTTACAATTTATGTGTCTAATTCTAAATAGAGAATTTTTTTTCTAAGCTAAATTTATTTCCCTCCATCAGGTTTTGGTCACCGGAAAATCTAACCATGAGTCCTCTGACATGGGGGATTCAATTCTTCTGGACACTCTGACCAAACAGCTGGAGGACGTCAAGTCTACTCTCAAGGAAAAGGTTTATAAACTAAAACCATAGAATCAAACTCTTTAATTGTAACCAAATACATGTATGAGGACAAAAATTGACATAAACTTCAGAAACTTTTTTTTAAAATATTTTTTTCAGGATGAAGAAATAAAGGAGCTTAATGAGATGCTTACAGAGGCAGGGGAGACATTCCAGGCCAAAGAAAAGGAGATTCAAGATTTGAAACACTTGCTGGAAGAAGACAAAGCTAATAAAGCAGAGCAGGTGGGATGGGCAGAAGAAATAGTTTTTCTTCATTTATTTTAAAACTGTTCTGAAATTTGTTGTGTTATTAAACATTTTGCTCTGCAGGTGGCGGAACTTGAAAAGGCCCTGATTGAAAGCAAGAAGGCCCTGGAGATGGCAGACCAGAAGATAAAGTCCCGAGATGAAACTGTAGAGACAACAAGAAGGACATTACAAGGTACTAGGAGATTATCCTCAGTGAATGAGAAACCTTCCAGTGCTCCTTGTACTTCACAGGTGGTTAAGTTCCCTTTTGACAGTCCTAAGAGGGGCTTTAGTTTACTGAGGCCAGGAAGTACTAGTCAAGTTGTGCCAGGTCACAGTCAAGTTCTGAAGGTTGTGCTTACTCCCGTTCAGAACAAATTTCCCATGAAGCACACAAAAACTAGTCTACTAAGACTTCAGAACTCTCCTGCCAAAGACCCGACAAGGGGCAGGGAGTGTGTCAAAAATAAGGAAAATGCTGCTTTGTTGAAAAAGAGACTAGCAGCAGAGGAGGAAACAGATGATTCTCAGAGTAAGAGGCGGAAGGTTGTCTCTGATAAAGATAAGGTACCGACTTCCAGGTCGCAAAAGAGAAAATCCGCCACTAAGGGTAAAAGGAAATCATTAGCAAAGTACAATTTACGGGTTAAAAAATAAATTCTTACACCAGAAAATTTACGTAAATGTGTGCCATTTTATCATTGCGTTCAATGCAAGTAATCTTCATTACTTGATAGTTTTAAAAGTACCAAGTTTATTTTTTACTTTACTGCATGTCTTTCAGACCAATTCTTGAAAATTGAAAGAAAAAGTGGAACTCTGATAAATTTCTGTGGAAAGTTTCATTGTGAATTTCTGTGTAGTTACCCTTTTAAAAAGTCAGTTGTTATTTTACAGTGTTAGGCTGTCATTGATGAGAATATAAGTCTCAGTACATAGTAAAAATTGGTTATAAAGAACATGCTTATAAAGAAATCTAGTGAAATTTCAGTTATATGGAAACTTTTCACTAATACAACTATTAAGAATATCAGTTAAGGAAGAAAAAATTCCAGGTCCAAGTGACTTCTTTATAATGGAGTTTTACTGTATAGTATTTGCATATGATCAAAGTATATAAAACTGGATCCAAAACTCTTTTTTTTTTTTTGTTTATTTAACATATAAACTTTGGGTATAATTTTACGGCATATTATCAAAATTTAGCACAATCACTGGGTATTGAGTGGTTGGCGTAATCATGAATTAGCGCTACACACGTCCACGTCATATTTTTTAATGGTATTCATGAATTAGCGCATTGTTGTCCGCGCAAAAGCCACTAAAATATGAAGCCCGCTTTTTTAAGTACACATACAGTAATTTACATATGGAAGGTTTTACAGTCTGACATTTCAAATTCATATTAATCCCAAAAAAATTCTTCAGTAGAAGCTTATACCTGCTTGAATTTTTTTAAATATTAAAATTAACAATATGTAGGAAAGGAACATAATAATTTTCAAGAATGTGTTAATGTTGTATTGAAGCATTCTGAAATGATTTGATGTAAGATACATGTTTGTCAATTTTAATTCCATCAGTGACAGCCCAAGCACATGCAGGTACATGTAGCATTATATATCAAAGTACATTTTCTTAATATGAATGATAATTATTAAGTGCATGAATTTATCGACATGTATTTTTAAGATTTATATAATCATTTACTGAACAGACGTGTATCTAAAAGTAAATTCTGATTGCTACATCCATAACAGTTAATGATTTTTACACACAGAATCATTTTATTCTTTCAAATTGTTTTTTATCAATCGTGTGTGGAAATGTTTTACTATGTTGTCACTGGTTAGCCTTCTGCAGGGTCATTAAGGCAAAGTGATATTTTCTTTGTGATATGAGAATTATCATACTTTAATTGTACAAAGAATGTTTTGTAAAAGTAAATAACTTGATTAAAGTATTGAACATTGATTCTGTTCAATTTATTTTTCTTTAAAAAATGATAAGAATCAAACTCCTACAGCAGGCTAGCGTATGGTGACAGATTTTCATATTAAGTATTGTGTAAATACCTGTAGTTACGCCTGTTTAATTCTCTTTACAGGTAAGTTAAGTGTCACATGTCACAGTATGTGAAGCCTGCAGCAGGGTTTGTCTCTTATCATTTTTGGGGCTGGAGAAAGGTACAGGTATCAGTTTTAGAATCATCTTACATAAAAAAATAAAAACGTGGAAAAATTCTAATGAAAGTTATGGGAGACTAAGCAGTTTGTTCAAGTGATGAAGGTCAAGGTCATTTGTTTTCTGACTTGAATATCTGTTTCTTTGAATTACAGCTGGGAACAGTAACAGCTCCCAGCATTCTATTTATTGTAAACAGTAACAGCTCCCAGCATTCTATTTATTGAATCACTCTTTATTCCTGAGAACTATATTTTCAGGTAATTACGCAAGATTTTATTTTAAAGATTACATACAGCAATAATCAAAATTCTTGAAAATTTTCAATCTCTTGAAAATGAGGTGTCACAAAAATTGAGTGATCCACAGTAAATACAGCTCAGGAACAAGGGTTCTAAAGGTGCTGTAGAGCAGTGCACTGATGCCCAATGGAAATCCTCATGTTTGCTGCCAATATTTGTGTGATGCATAAGCTTGTCTGTTAATACTTTTGATACTGTGATGCAGTTTTTCAAAATCTTCTCAAGAGAGACTTGGTTAATGAATGTAATTTAAAAAATAATTGGTTTAACTTGTTCAAGGTCTTAAGTTTCTGATTAAATATATGGAAGATATTAATACAAAACTTGGTGTGTAATTTTATATCTGCTGAAACCAAAAGTTGAAATTGTGTATGTGTGAGGCTTGCCGAGCAAATATACATCAATTTAACAATTTGGAAAAAGCAATTACATATGAAATGCTATAGTATCATGTAAAGATAGCATATGAAAAAGAGATTGGATTTAAAACTGCATTACAGAATTGCAAACAGAATCATTTGGGCCTATCTAATGTGCAAATGAATTTTAAATTTAGGGGCAGGTCCATCTTAGAGTAGATATAAGCCCTACCTGAACCAAACTTGCATGGATGGCACATCAAGGGATGCACACGGCCAGACTTGCTTTGGATTTTCTGGATGATTGAGTAAGTCATAGTGTATGAAGCAATTCCATTCCTATGTTACTATAAGCCCTATGTCGAGTGAACTTGAAGAGATGATAAATTTAGGGGTGCTCACTTCCAGACTGCATCTGACCTACATTTCCCAAAAAGTTTTTTGGAACAGTTTCATTCCAAAGTAACTTTAAAGCCTTCTTAGACCAACTACAGGGCTGCACACTACCAGACATGCTTTGGATGCAGCATCTGACCTACCTGGATGATCTGACATACTCCAGTTGATTGAAATAATAAAAAATTTTGAAGTAGGTCTATTCCCATGACTTATATGACTCCTATACAAACCAAACTGGCATGGGTGTTGCATCTAGATATGCACACTACAAGAACATTCATTTGATGTGAGACTTTGTCTTTACTTACAGATAACATTCGTGGAGGTGAGCTTTCTAATCTTTCATTATTTATGTTACATAAAAACAAATGAAGAATAACAGTATGAATAGTCAAATCTTATTTATATGTAAACTTTCCATGTTTTGTGGATTCAAGTTCAAAATATGGACTTTGGGCTTAGGTTGGGGCTAAAATAAAATAGACAAGATGTGTTTGTGAAACACTGATGCCCCCGTATGGCAGCTTATGTCGAAGGTTAAAGTTTCTCAAATGCAAGTCAAAATCCAGGCCAAAAGATAAAAAATGTTGATACCCAAAGAAAGATCTTGTCTCGAGGAAAACACCTATGAAATTTAAAAGACCTAGATACAACTGTTCAAAAGTTATGGTGAAGGTTAAAGTTTTTTAAATAAAAGTCAAACGTCAAGGTCAAGGTCAAAGTAGTTGGTATCCAAAGGAAGATCTTGTCACAAGGATTACATATGTGAAGTATGAAAGCCCTAGCACCAACCATTCAAAAGTTATGGCCAAGGTTAAAGTTTTTCAAAAGTAGGTCAAACTCCTAGGTCAAGGTCAAAGGGTCAAAGTGGTTGGTATCCAAAGGAAGATCTTGTCACAAGGATTACATATGTGAAGTATGAAAGCCCTAGCACCAACCATTCAAAAGTTATGGCCAAGGTTAAAGTTTTTCAAAAGTAGGTCAAACTCCTAGGTCAAGGTCAAAGGGTCAAAGTGGTTGGTATCCAAAGGAAGGTCTTGTCACAATGATTACATATGTGAAGTATGAAAGCCCTAGCATCAACCATTCAAAAGTTATGGCCAAGGTTAAAGTTTTTCAAAAGTAGGTCAAACTCCTAGGTCAAGGTCAAAAGGGTCAAAGTGGTTGATATCCAGAGGAAGGTCTTGTCACAAGGAATACACATGTAAAGTTTGAAACCCTAAGCACCAACTGTTCAAAAGTTATGGCCAAGGTTAAAGTTTTTCAAAAGTAGGTCAAAGTCCAAGGTCAAAGTTGTTGGTATCCAAAAGAAGGCCTTGTCACAAAGAATACGCATGTGAAGTTTGAAACCCCAAGCTCCAACTGTTCAGAAGTTATGGCCAAGGTTAAAGTCTCATAAAATTTTGCAAAAGTGGGTCAAACTCCAAGGTCAAGGTCAAAAGGTCAAATATGATGGTACCCAAAGAAAGGTCTTGTCACAAGGAATACACATGTGAAATATGAAAGTCATAGCTCCAACCAATCAAAAGTTATGGGCAAGGTTAAAGTTGACAACAGACAGACAGACAGGACAAAAACAATATGCCCCCGGGATCTTTCGATCCGGGGGCATAAAAATTTTACTTAATACACTTGTGTAGGAAAAATCTCTTCCAGAACAACAAGGTAGTGTTACTCAAATTTCACATGTGCAGGTTTCAACACTTGACACTAGTCTTCTAGCCCTTGGCTATCCTGCAATAGCAGATTATCACTTATAAGTAGCGTGGTGGATCATTACAAAATTAGAACCTATGTTATCTGAATTCAAAGAAGTTTCTTTCTGATTTTTTATATCAGTGTTTTTGGAGTTGACAGACCTTTGATCCAACTGTCTAATTTTGAACATGACTTCATCTTTACTACACATATAATTCAACAAATTAGGTAAACAAAAAACACAGACAAGCATACAATCTACATCTAATTGTCAGGAAGAATGTGTCATTTTTTGTATGAGGTTACGTATCTTTATGAAATGCATCGAGGTGAAATGTAACATCTGAGGAGTTTTAGTCATTTTTAGGGTTAAATACAGCTTCACTGCATACAATTCAATTAAACACTTAAGGTAGTTCAAACCATGCAAAAATCATAAAAATTAAAATGAATGAGATTATGGCAAATATTTTTTAAAAAATCAAAGTACGTAAAAATGTTTATCATAGAATATTCATGGGCAGCATGTTTTTGGAACATTTCGTTGTCATATCAAATCTGACAGGTATTGAGCATGTTAAGTAACACAAAATCATTGAAGGTATTCAAAAATGATCGTTCTCCAAATGTATTAAGTTATATGTTCAGTGCAGCCATTTGGGTCTTTCAAACAATAAACCTTTCCTTCTTTAAAATATCCAGTAATTTTCTCATCCAGTTTCTGTTCCATTGATTATGTCTTCACCAGATGAAGTTGACAGCCTGAAATCCTCCCTAGATTCATGGAAGATGAAATTTGAGAAGGAAGAGGAAGAGAGTTTAAAACGAGAACAGGCCTTGATTAATGGCTACAAGGCAGAGATAGCCAATTTAAAGAATCAGGTAAGGAAACAGGGGACTTATGGCCCTGATTATTGGCTAAAAGGCAGAGATGGCTATCTTAAAGAATCAGGTAAGTAAACAGGGGACTTATGGCCCGTTTAGACAAAAGATGGAAAAAATATTTTAATCATCACTGATTGCTTCTTGTACATTATTAAATAACTTTAATAGACACATTTGTGAAAGTTTAAGCAATACTGACAGTAACTTTAACTTGAAATTGTTAATATTTGTAATCATATTTTTTTTTCTGGTTTAGTTGTCCATGGTGAAGGCTGAACATCGACATAACAGCCCCTGTAAGTCTCCGGCCAAACACAGGAAGCACCAGGATCATTTCATGGAGGACTTGTCAAAACAACTGAAAGATCTGCAGGAAGAATTTGACAAAAACTCGGCAGCAACACTGGAGTTAGAGGAGGCTCTTCATAAGACAAAACAGACAAATGAAGAACTGGAAGTTAAGCTCTCTAAGCAGTCTGAAGAGAATGAAACAGCTCAAGCAAAGATTGATGAACTAGGAAGAAAATGTGAAGAACTAGAATCTAGAGTACTTAATCTGCAAAGTGAAAAGGAAGAGGCTGTCAAAAAAGTGGAAGAGGTAAAAGAGAATAAAGAAAAAACTACAGCTTCAGAGGAAGACATTGAAAGCTTAAAATCTAAAGTAGCTGAAAAAGATCTGGAGATTGCAGAATTGAAGGAGCAGACAAATAAGCTGAATGTGTCAATGGGAAGAGACTTGCAATTTCAACTTGATGAGGCAAACATAGAGATTTCACAGCTTCAGAGTAATTGTGCAAAACTAGAACGCAAAGCAGTGAATCTAGAAAAACTTTATAAAGAGAAAACAAAGCAAAATATGGAACTAAATGATGAATTGAACAAAATGAAAGTAGCAAAGGAAATGCTAGAGGAAGACTTACAGGATCAGGAGGAAACAGAGGAAAAAATGGCAGAAATGTCAAAGGAAAATGAGGAACTGAAGCAAAGGGTGGAGGAACTGGAAACAGAGTTAAAACAGCAGCAGGGTAACTCGGAGGAAAGGTTTCTCAACATTCAAAAGGAGAATGCAGACTTACAAGAGAAAATGGAGAAACTAAAGGAAGATGTCACCAAAGAGGAACATGTTAGCAGTGCACTGAAATCTGAACTGGAAAGTGCAACAACTAGACTAAAAAACCTAGAGAAAATCTGTGAGACACAAGAAAAGAATGAGAAGATGATGAAAGATATGGATGATAAAATTGCCAACTGTCCACAGTGTCAGGAATGGCAGAAAAAGTATGACGAAGTTGAAAAAACTTTAGAGACTGTGAAAGGGGAGGTCAATCAGTTAAGAGAAGAACTAACGTCACTAAGAAGTGACTTGAAAGCTAAAATTGTGGAAATTAGTGACTTAGAGGAAAAGTGTGAAAATGTCAAGTGTGAGCTGGCAAAGAGGGATCAGACATTTGTAGAAACTTTAGAAAAACTTGAACAGACAAAAGATCAGTATGATGCATTTAAACAGGAAATGGAGATTCTAAAGGAAAACTTGGAGGAAAAGGAAGGAGAGCTCGAGAGATTACAATCAGCTCAGGCAGACATGATGGAGCAGCTGAACACTACAAATGGCCAGGTACACGAGCTCAGTGATGCTAAATTAAAATTTGCAGAAATGAAATCCTCTCTTCACATGCAGAAAACACTATATGAAAAGACCAAGGCTGAACTTGTGAGTCTAAAGGAAGAAAAGTGTAATTTGATTTCAAATGAGGAAAAGCTGAAAGAACAGATAAAGAGTTTAGAACAGAGGACCCAGTGTATGGAGAGAGATGGGAAGGAGCTGTCTGGTTTAAAAGCTGAATTGGCAGAGATGAAAAAGAACTGTACTGAATCAGAAGAGAAATGGAAAATCCTTCAGGTGGAAAAAACAGATATTGAAAATAAATATAAAAAATTGGAATATGAACTCTCAAAAGTTTATTCAGAAAGAGAAGAGAGGGATGATGAATGTGTGCAGAAGGTCTCGAAACTGGAAACAAAATTAGAGACCACTGTAAAGAATAATGAAGAACTTAAAGACATTAACAGTACATTACAGGAGGCGAAAAATGATCTTTCAAGGAAATTGGAAAATCTTTCACAGGAACTGGCCAAAAAGAATGATGTAATAGACAATAAAGAGGAAATGCTAACAGATTTGCAGCATAGACTGAAAGAGGCAGAAAACAGTATAGAGAGGCAGAATTCCATTACATCAGAACTAAATGATATGAAAGCAAAATTCCAAGAATTAGAACAAATCAAAACTGACCTTGAAAATAAAGTTACTCAAGCTAGTCAAGCTTCAGTCCAGAAAAATGATGTCCACAACAGGAAACTCATTCAGGAGCTGTCAGACTGCCATAGAAAAATGGAGGATCTACAGGAAGCTAAGGAAAGTTTGGAAGAAAAGGTGGAAAACTTAAAATCAGAAATAGCTACATTATCCAAAGAAACTAAAGAGGATTCCTGTAGCATTTGTCCAACAATCCACAAAGAGCTGGACTTGGTAAGTGTATTTTTTGTTTGTTAGCTATGACATTGTAGAAAGAAAAGTCAAATAGATTTGTTAATAAAATTATTTTTGGATGGATCCAGAATTTAAAGATTTATGTGAAGAGTTTATTTTCACACACAGAGTCATGGTAGGGAACAGACATTGAAGAAGCAGCTCCAGACTGCTGGGGAGAACATCGGGGAGCTAAACAACAAAATCTGTGACCTAGAGGATCAGGTGTCACAACTTAACCAGAAAATCCAAGAAGCAGAGGACAAAAATGTACATCAGGTAGAGCTAGTCAGCATTTGTACTGTATATTCTACAGGGAAGGGAACTCATTTTGATACATAATTCATCATCAGCATAAGCAAAATAAACATGAGCATCCAGATAGCATTAGCATTTAAAAAAAAGGATTGTCATTAGTATTGTCAACAAGCAAAAAACAGACCTAGCATGACCTACTTAAAACTGGCATTGATCAACTAGCATCAGAAAATGTTGGAAGGGGGGGGGGGGGTCACTAAAAATTTGAAGACAAAGAAAACAAGACAATTGAATTATGAAAATACATCTATGATAATTTTATCATGTAAAACATTTTTATGCATAAAACTGTAATAATAAAATTCAATTACATTTGTATTTACTTTGCTAGCTACTTCCAGTAGCATTCAGTTCGACTTAATTTTGAAACAGCAAAGGTTACTCTGGCATCAGGATAAGGATCAGAGCATTAAATCAGCAAGTGAAAGAAGCTCTCAAATCAACAAGCAAAGGATTTTAAAAATGAGTGTCGATAATACAACAGAATTAGTTCTAGGCACTGTACACTTAGAAATTTTGATTAATATTATTTGTCTAGGAAAGGTCAGAAGCATTTTTTTCTCCCAACCAGTCATTTCTAAAGAAAATTATTACTTAATCATGGATACTGAATGGTGGTTGGGAAGAAATTATAATAACTGGTCAGTTTTCTGTTTTTGAATAATTGAATGCATTGTTTTGTAGATTACATTTGCATTTAAAACAGTCACACACTTTTTCCTCTGGTCCTATAGCAATTAAAATTGTAATTCTAAAACGAATCAAACACTTCATTAGGAGCCCAGATTGAGCATGCCTGGTAATTCGGTTGACCTTGACAATCTACGGGACGAGCTGACCCAGAAGTTGGATATGATACGAGAACTACAAGGAGAGTTGGTGAGGAAGGACAGCAGACTTCAGACGGAGAAGATGAAGTACAAACAGTTACTGGAGGAACGGAGTGATGAACACAGGCGATACGAGGCAGCAATGAAAGGTAACTGTTAATACTCTAGGTACTGGTACTTATATGAATTATATGAGCGTATTTTCCCAATTTCATTCCCTGATTATTTTTTTCTGGAACAGTATTGTGATATGACTATTTTTGAAAAATCATGAATTAAGGTTCATTATCCCTATGTTCACTCATGAAATTTTGCCTAAATGTAAATTATTTTCTAGATGAAATCAAAGTAATAATTAGAATGCACATAATTTCAGTATACCTTTAGGGTGGAAATTTGGTAGAAATACTGTGGTTTCATCAATATTCGTTGAGCACCAATTTTCAAGGATTTCGTTGTTGGGCAGATCCAATGTTCATTGATTTACGAAAAATGTTATTCATTTGTATAGACAATGCTTTTGTCCACGAAATTACGTATCCTCGAAAACGTCTGTTTTACAAAATACACGAAAATTGATGCCAACGAAAATTGATGAAACCACAGTAACCTTTTAACATGACAATTTTAAAAAGGAATAATAGTAATTTATCTTAGTAAGAGTTATCTCTCTTACCAGAGGGACAGTGAACCTTAACAAGCATGAAAAGTATGGATAAAACAGGACAATTATTTTTATGTAGATGCCACAGCTAATGAGGAATGTATTGCTGTGTTAAAGACAGCCCTGGCAGAACAAGAAGAGACTATGGAACACCAGGACACATTGATACAGCAACATGAGAAAAATATTGAAAAATCACAAAAAGGTACACAAACTCTTCCTCATTTCCCTATCAAACTATTTTATGTATACATAACATAAAAATGTAAAAGGGAAATGTTTAAATGAAAAAAAGAAAATTCTGCATGGTAAAAAAAGTTATATTAGAACTACATGCTCAAAAGCTACTAAATGTCTCTTAGATTCTTATGCTCTTGCCCGTCATAGATCTTATAATGAAAGAATCATTTCCCCTGTGAGAAATACCTGTAATTATAAATGGCAAGAATACCAAGCCTATGTAATGTAATTTTTTCGGAGAAGATGAAAAAATTAATACATTTACATGCATAAAAATATAATTTTTTTTCACAGAATGTGAGAAATACATGAACATGTACCAGTCTCTTTTGTCTACCACTAACACAAGCAGTGTAGAAATCCGTGACCTGAGCAAGAAAGTTTGTGATCTCTCTGTGGAAATTGAGCGGGTGAGAAGTGAGAAAAAAGACCTTGAGAATAAAATCTCATCGTTGAAGAAACAAGAGGCCGAACACCAGCATCTAACCCAGGAAAACTTGTCACTGAGAGAAACCAAGAGTGCTGTGAAAGATTTGAAAGACAAGTTGTCTCAAGTTAGGGAAGAGAAGGAAAGTCTACAGACCACACTGAAGAGTGTGACAACTCAGGTGGAAAGTTTACAGCAGGAGAAGCGAATTTTGGAAGATAAACTTGACAAAACCCAAGAGAGAGATTCCATGAGTGACAAGAAGCTGGAGGATATGACTGCTAGGTTATCTGAAGTTGAGGTTAGGTACAGCAAGAGAGAGAATGAGTTCAAGGCACTGAGGGAACAGAAAGGAAAACTGGAGGCCATCTTGAAAGAGAACAATGCAGAGATAAAGGATTTAGAAAAATCACTATTAGGTAAACAAGTAATTTTATTTACTCAGGAAACCAACATGTATTATCATTCTTTGCATTTACAATTCAAGTTTTTTATACAGTTTGCATGCACCTATGTAATAAACATGTAGTTGTACCTTCAACAGAAGAGTTTCTGACATGTGAAGTACATGTGTATTGCCTGTATTTTATGTTCAGTAACACAAACTGGATTTTTTTTTCCAACAGAAACAAGAGCTGAGTGTGAAGCTCTGAAATCAGATGCTAAAAAGGAGGTCAGGGATCAGCTAAGTGGAATACAGAAAGAACACGAGGCAGCTATGGCAGATATGAAAGTCAAAATCAGGGTAGGTGATGAACTGATAATGGGTTAATACAGTAAGACTAGAGCTAAAGGATTTAGTTTTAATTTAGCAAAGCAACAGATTTTGTATGAAAACGTTTCCAATTACATCTACATGTCCCAAAAAAATGTCATTCTACATTGAGCATAGGGATTATGTTTTGCTACTTAAGTTTGTTTTTGTTTCTGTGTTTCGCTTTTATGAAAGCAAGGAGATATTAAATTTCATTCATCTGTCAGTCTGTCGCAAAAACTCAACTTTGGTAATAACTTTTGTTGGAGCTTTCATATTTCACATGTGCCTTACCTGTGACAAGACCTTTCCATATGCACATTGATTTTTGACCTCATGACCTTGACTTTGAAGTTTGGCTTACTTTTCAAAAATATTAACATTGTTCATAAGGTTTGAATAAAAGAAGATAGGGCCTTCATTTTCACATGTGCATTACCTGTGACAAGACCTTTCCAAATGTCTTATTATTTTTTAACCTTGAGGTTTGACATTTCAAAAATTCTAATATTGATGATAACTTTTGAATGAGAGAATGAACTCATGTTAAGATTTTCATGAGTCATGTTTGCATTACCTGTGACAAGACCATTCCGCAATGTGCGATGGTGTTTTTTTTTTCTTTTTACCTCATGACCTTAACCTTGACATTTAACCTACTTTTTTAAAAGTTGGTTATCATTGGTAATAGTTTTAAATGTTAGAAGTTAGAGCTTTCTTATTTCACATGCACATTATCTGTGACAGCACCTTTCAAGAAGTACTTTCAATTTTGACCTGATGACATTGAACTTTGACCTATTTCCAAGACAACTTTGGCTGTAGCTTTTGCATATGAAGAGACAGGGTTTTTACATTTTACATGTGCATTACCTTGACAAGACCATTTCTAATTCAGGATGTTTTTTATACCTCATGACCTTTAAGATTGCCCACTTTTCAAAAATTTTAAGCTTGGTCTTTCATATCTTTTCACATGTGCATTACTTGTGAGAAGAAATCCACAAACTTTTACTTTTGTACAAGAACATATTGCTTCCAAAATGTAAAACATTTTTCTTTGCACAATGGACAGATAAGACCGTGACAATATGTAATAAATCATTGCACCCCAACTAATAAGACCGTCAATTCTCTGAATTTGCTTGCTTTGTTTCTTTGTTTTTCAGGTACCATGCATGTCAATTTACAAAAAATTTAATTAAATGTAACAGTGATAAGATTTTGTATGTACATGTAAGATCTGCAAAAGGGCCTTTAGAAGGTTAATCCATTTTTGCAGTCTTTGGGCAATCTGGGCTGTCAGTGAAAGATTTGAATTTGATAGGCTTTGAGTTGTTGAAATGATGCAAGTTCACATTTTGTTTATATCCTTTTAATTTATTATTCTAATGCAACTGTTTTGTAATTGCCTTTTGATTGGCTAATGCACTGATGTTTGTGGCAGTTTAAAAGAGCATTAATGAGAGTGAAAACTTTTGATTGTGGCATCGTAATAGAGTGACGCAAAAATCCAATGCTTTGCGACGTATTTCATGTAACAAAATTGAACAAAATAAGAAGCAAACATTAAAAAAAATGGAAAGTTGCCAAGAATTGGAATAACTACCTTCTCATTTGTTCTTTATGACTGTTAATGCTGATTTAATGGTCAAAAACATCTTTTTTAATGGCTCCACTGATGTGTTGCTGATGAAATAGTTTGAGACCGTTAAGTCAGCATTAACAGTCGCAAATAACAAATGAAAAGACCGTTACTCCATAATTTTTTGTTTTAGGAAAAAGACCACAGTTTGCGGAATGGCAGTAAGCAAATTCGTCAACTTGAAGATGAAGTGAAAGAGCTTGTAGAGAAAAATAAGGACAAAGATATTCAAATGAAGGTACAGTGGAATGAAAAGACCACTTTGAATTGAGAAGAAATAGAAAAATATAATTGTTGTGTTATATTATTGACAACTTTTATTTGCTTTCAACAACTTTTGTATTTATACATTTTATCACAACTCCCCCATTGTCTTACTACTAAGCTTAGAAAATCCAACTGTCTTCCACGAAACATTCTTTTACTTATATGTTACAGGCTTGGAAAGAAGAAAAAGATAAACTAGTTTCCTCCCTGTCGGAAATAATTGAAAAACAAAAGGAGGATAAAGAAAAAGTGAAAGAACTTGAAAAGGAAAAGTCTCATCTGGAAGCTTTGGTTCGGGACCAGATAGAAACCATAAAACAACTTACTTCATCTGGATCATCTATATCATCTGCTAGGAGATCCAGATTGGTTAGTTGCATGTTAATGCATGGACATCTTTTTTGGTAAAAAATCACAGAAATAAGTTATAAAATGCATGAAGTATCAAGCTCTTTTACTTTCATTGAAATAATTTTTCTTTTTCAGAGAAATACCTCTGTGTCATCAGATGTATCTAATTTAGATATGAGTGAAACTCCACTGCGCAGGACTTCCACTCGGAGGGGAAGAAAGAGGAGGTCATACTCTATGCCTGATATTGAAGTAAGTTAATGAAGTCGTACCTAGAAGTTGTCTTGGAAGTTGGCATTTGGAGTAAATTCAGAGTTACATGTAATTAGCACTTCCATTGAACCTGTGTAAAGATGGGATATTAAAATATTTAATGGTACATTGCTTTTTGATCTTTAGACACCTGCTTCAAAGAAGAAGGACAGTGATGTCTCGCTGTTGTCTGAGGATGTAGGAGATGAAAGGGAGAGGATCCAAATTGATGCCACACCACCTGTAGCTGCCAAAACTTTACGCAGGACAAGGAAGAAACCAAGATCTTCAACCGACCTCCTCAGGGTAAATGATGTACATAATGACTTATATACAGTAAAACATGCTTATAATGAATTGATGCTTACAGCTGATTAAGCAAAATTGTCCATCCCTGGCACTTTGTTATACGCATGTTTAACTGTAGTCACATTTTTGGGGGTTTGTGAGTGTGTGTCTATGTAAGAATAACAATACAAAGATACTCATGTACATATAGCTGAAGCCTTAGGTGAAAATATTCAGATTTTGTATTACAGGAGGAGGCAAAAGAGTCGTCGATGTCCAAAGCTGCTGATAAAGAAAATAAATCAATGAAGAAAATTGGATCCCTTCTGTCTGCTCTGAAGAAGTCTCCAGTTTCAAAATCAGGTATATAAGTCACATAATTAGGGTATTTATTGCTTTACTTCAAGGTTTGAATCCAGAGATACTAAAAATAGGGCCATTTTATTTACCACACGATGTGATATAAATCTATCATACATGTATATTTACATTCCACATTTATTTTGCTTATAAAGTGTGTGTAAAGTGAAGGCATTCAAAACACCATAATAAGGAAGGGGTCAAAAGGTTAAATATGTATTTTATTTTGACGTGACAAATGTTGAACACTGGCAAGTGCAACATTATAAGCGAAAATCAGAATTTATGCTCACATTGAACAGAAGCTGTTTCAATGGCTCTTCCATTAATTGTAACTTACCTGAAGGATAATGCAGGGATTTTAAAATATAAATTACATTTTGAAAAATGTAGTCTCATAACTGCAACGGTGTGTGCAAACAAATTTTCATAACTCGTGTTACCCAATCTGTTTGCACACATCTTTGCAGTTATGAGACTCGATCTTTCAAAAAAAAATTAAATGATTCAATGCTTGAATATTCATACAAGTCTATAGCTTGTGTTTTATGTTGAAGCCAAGAAACACCTGGCTGAAATCAAAGAAATGCCCTCACCAAACCACAACCTGGGGTCCTCGCTTGTGGAAGTGGAGGATTGTGGGACACAGATGTCGGCAGAAAAAGTCAAAGAACCCTCCTCCCGTAAAAAATCTCGCCATGCATTATACAAAGAGCCACTACAAATATCAGAGCCACTAGATTGTGGGCAGTTCATTGTAAGTAGAGTTTAATGTTAAAGATTGGTGATCATAGTTACAGAACTAATTTAAACTTGGTTTTACCTGCTTTGAATCTTAATAAAAGGTGAAATATATATATATACAAGTGTTGACGTTTCATGTTTTGAGAGTAAAATATTTTAAAAAAAAATACATAGTCTCTAAAAAAGGGTGAAAATACATGTATATTGCAGGGTTTGGCATGTATATACTTCTTGCACCACTACTACATAGAGATACACTGAAAAAAAAATCCATCTTGTTTGTGTTAGTGTACATGTTCAAAGCTATTAGAGCAAATCTCAAATTCCCTTCAATATGGAGGGACATGGTTCCTCAAACAATACTCTTGTGAAATTTACATGATCTGTCATACAAACTCAGTAATCCTGCAGTAACTTCTTGGAAGTGGGTTATTGATTACTATACCAGTATAGCTGAAAAGTTATGACAGCTTTTATGATTCTCATTTAACATGCATGGACAGAATCTGGTATCTAAATCAACAAAACTGTAACATACTGATGTATCCATTCATGCTTTTCTTTTGACCTGTGCATGTTCCATGTATACCACATGTATGTTTCTTGTAGAGAATTAAATAGGTATTATTGTGTTTCTTTTCTTACATGTACACATAAATGTTATCATAATTAAAAACGGTAAATGTTATAACATTTACGATGTATTTTTCCCCAGCACACTACTCCAGAGGAGAACATACATGAAACGGTAAAGAAAAGGCTACGGGGACGACCCAGGAAGTGAACCATGGATGCTGTCTATAAATGTGCCAAACAATTTTACTCTTCATTGCCAAATTCCACTTAACTGTGACTTTTACAACTTTTACATGTATGTATAAAAGACAGTTTTTGTTTTAGATGCAGAATTCAAGAGTTAACTTGTTTAGTGGGTGGAGAACGTTGAACAGATGTTATCCTTTCCTTTTAATATCCAACAATACAGGGTCTGTCACATACATGCATTTTTTCTTCGGCCACTTTAGTTTTCTTAAAAAAATACATGACTGTAAAGAAATTGATTCCAGATGTTAAAAAAAAAAAACATTCTGTGAATGTACGGAATTGGCCATCATTTTACACAAAACTACAAGCTGGAATATGTAGCGAAATGCAGTACATGTAAATTATACTTGAATCTATTTTTATTAGTTTATTTATTTTGTTTAACCACCATCATTCCAACTTTGTAAAATGTTATTTTTGAGATGTTTTGCTTGAAAGAATATTTGTTTTCATGGGCATTTATACTTTAAGAATTTGTCAAAATTTGTATGAATTTGATTTGAATGATATGTAACAGAATTTTTTTTGAAATCTATGACTGGTTTTATTCATTTATTCTTTGTCAATCCATAAGACACAGATATCAGGAAATATTTTATCAGCCAAAAAGACTGTTAATATTTTGTCTCATTTCATGTGTGAAAAGTTTGTCACATATTAGTGCACATGTTCACAGAATGTCCACAACCTGCTACCTAATGTAGTATCTAATGTGTATCTTATGTACAGAGACTGTTAATGATATAAACTATACTGCTATAACTTGGATGTACTGTATGTTTACATGTACTTGATTGTCTAATCACATTAGGTTGTGACTTTCAGGACCTGTTTTTCTTAACAATATTTATGCATGTAAACCTTACCAAAACCCATAATCATGTCTTTTTCCTGTCTCTCTGTCCTCATTCTTTTTTCAGAGATATACACAAATAAAATAAGAACTTCTGGTGTTGATATTTTACTTTCTCTGAAGCCTTGAAAATTACATAGAAAGAAGGATGCAGTTTTGATTTAATTTGAATTTACAACAGAGACAGAGAGTGAATGTAAAATATACCATTGTACTTAGGTATCTCGAACACGGATATCTCGAATACCATGGATATGTCGAAGTGATTTTGGAAGTCCCAACTACTAATTCTTTAAGTATTTCACCCTGGACGTCTTGAATCCTTGGATATCTCGAAGTTTTTTTTTTCTCAGCCCCATGGAGTTCAAGATAATGAGGTTTGACTGTATATCAAATAGCATTGCAGGAAAAAATAATAAAAATGATAAAATAAAATGGATACATGTACTACTCATGAGAAAGGAAAGTTCTTGAACCATTTTGAAGACATCGGTTTAACAATGTTAAAAATGTACAATACACTGGGGAAATTCATTTTATTTCGCTTCAACACTTTTCTGGATGCTATGTGTAATGTAAACTTTTATCTCATTAATACAACACATCATTTAAAACCTATAATCAATGCATCCTGAAATCATATCCATGCAAATTTGGCTTAAGTAGGACTAATATTTACTTAGGAATGAACCTGCTCCAAAAACTTCAACCTGTTCACTCATCCAGTAAATGAAGTTAAGTCCAATCACCTGACGCAAGTCTGGTAGTTCCCATCCCTAGTTGCAACATCCATGCAAATTTATTTATAACAGGTCATATAGTGATAGAGCTATTCCAAAAACATCACCCTGGTCACTCATCTGGAAAATACAGGTCAGATCCAGCATCCTAAGCATGTCCATCCCTAGATGCATCATCATGCTAGTTTGGTTCTGGGCCAATATTCACTCATCCGGAAAATATAGGTCAGATCCAGCATCTGAAGCAGGTCGAATAGTATACTGGTACATCATAGATGCATCATCTATTAGTAATATTGATATGCAAGCATCTTTAGTGTAAATTTTGGCTCTGTGGGGTCACATTAGATGTTCAATATTTTATATGGGAATATAGAGGAAAACAAATCTTCGAAAATCAAAGCCAATATTAGTCACTTGTAACCAAAATAAAAAATACCTTTGCTTCCTCTAATGTGATCAACCCAATTAAATCATGCCGACTGAAAAGGTTTTTTAATAGATGTATTTAATTTTTTTTTAAATAAACTGAAATCCAATTTTAGGGAAAACAAAAGATATTTTTAATGAAGGCCCAAGCACCCTCAGGTTGTACAGACTCTAAATTGTTATTCAAATCATTCACCCCTCCCTCCCAGGAAAAACATCTTTGTATCAAAAGCAGTACAAATGATTAGTCATGCCTGTATGCAAGCATCCTCAGAGTTTGTTCAAATCTTGGTTTTGATTTTTTGGGGGTGGGGAGGGGGGTTGAACTTTAACTTGAATCTTCACTACTTGGGAAAACTTGCATTTTATATTACATGCAGTATGATGGCCCACTGAGTAAATTATTTTGCAGTCCCTTCATCACCAAAGATACTTTGTTGCGAGTTTGGTTGAAGTTGGTCTAGTTCCAAGGAAAAAAAAAAAGAAATTGTAAAGTTTTTGATTAAACAATAGCATATGAAATTGATAACTCTGATCAAACAAGCATTTCTCGCCCTTTGATTTAGAACTAAAAACCTAGCAATCAAACCTTGCAGATGCATGAAGAGCTTTATATGTCAATATACTTTATTTTTTCTATTAAAGTGCATGAGCATTTGCATATCAAAAAAAAAAAATTACTACTCAAAATTTTAATGTAAAATTATTTACATAAAAAGTGTCTATCATATAAATAAAATTAATATCACTTGCAAAAAAGTAGATAATTTTTGATCAGATACATGTACACATCTCTCCCTTTGGCTCTTCTGCATAGGTCCTCAGAGACACAGATGTGAACAGCTGATTTAACTAGCTTTACAATTTTTCATGGATCTTCACACAAGCATTTTTAAACAAATGACCGATTCCAGATTGTTGTAATTATATTTTTAAAATCCTGATTAGCACTTTAAGTATAAACAAAAAAGAATTTCACCCCAAATTGGTCATGATTTTCAAATACCCCAGTAACAATAATTTTACACAAGTTGGTCATGATTTTTAAATAACAATTACTTATACCAATAGCACAGTAGTTAAATGAGGTAGAAATCCATTGAAAATGGAATAATCAGTCGAGCACAACAAAATTATCAAGAGTCGGTAAAGAAGGAACTTTAAGCATCTTCCCATTCTTGCTCACTCGACTGACAGATTTTTTGGGCACAGAGAGCTTTGGTCTCCCTGAGGGTTCTGTGAATGTCTCTACACAACCCAGTCCATTGAAACCTTTTCTGATGGAAGAACTATAGTCCCCCACTCCTGACTTTTTCTTAAATATATTGAAATGACTAAGTCCCTGAACTTCTGCAGGATCTTCACATCTCGGTCTTTTAACTGGATTCTGACTGGCTGATCCTATTTTCAAGTACTTGACCTCGGTTCCTGAATTGTGAGGACGTTTGTTCTGAGAATTTTGAGTGCTTGTTGATTTTAATATTTCTGGAGAGACTGATTTCTTAGCATACTCCTCCAGATCCACCTCTTTCACTCTGTCTGTAGAATCATCAAATAAAACTGGAGTGTTCACATTGTCTTTCAAGCCCCCAAATGGACTTTCACTCATCATTTTATCAACAAAACTAACACTGGCAACATTCTCTCCATTTGGACTTTGAACTGCTTTGCGATAATTCAGGATTTTCCTTTTCAAGGAATGCTTCTCTTTTTCAACTTTTTTGAGATCCTCCTCAGAGTGAGCTAGCTGCTCCTTAAGTAGAGTTATCTCCCTTTCCTTCTCTCGAAGAATATGATCTTTAGACATGTTTTCTCGTTTGAACTTTTCAAATTCTGACTTGACATTTTTCTTCTCAGATTTGATCTTGTCATATTCCCTTTTTAGCATGCTACAATAAGTAGCAAGGTTCTGGACACTTTCCTTACTTGATTCTCCATACTGTTGGATGGTTTCTTTGATGTCAACTTCACATGCTATAAATGGATAATGTAGACTTTTAGAAATGATGTCAACATACAGATGTACAACCAAACTGTTATTCTCTTACCAACACAAGATTTTTAAACACAAAATTCATGATAAAGAAGAGGAAATCAATTCATTTTAATGCAAGCATTAGCAAGAATTGAAGACCAAAACTATGTAGAGTTTGTTACCTGTCAATAATCTCTCAATATTTTGGTACTGTGAAAACTTCTGTTTTATCTTTGAACATGTCTCTCTCTCCTTCTCGATACATTTTTGCTGGACTTGATAAAACTGTAGTTGTTTTTTCAGACTTGATATGTTGGATTGTTCTTCTAAGTACTTTGTTTCTGCTAAATCTTTCTCTTTTTTCACTGTCTTCAGTTTTTTCAGCAATGATTCATTATCACCATTGAGTTCTTTCACCTTTAGCTCTATTGTCCGTTTGTCTGCATGTAAACTTTGTATAGTGTTCTTTAACTGACCTACATCAGTATCATCATTTTCATTGTCATCTTCCCCATCAAAAAAGAGACGATTTATAACTCGAGAAGGATCAACCCGACTTCGACAGCTGGGACAGGTGTTAGAGTTCTCTAGCCATTTGGATAAACAACCTTCGTGGAATGTGTGACCACACTGGACAGCTGCTATGGCCACTGACGGATCATTGACAAAATGTTCAGCACAGATGCAACATTGAGCTTTCATGTCTTACAAAGGTATCATCACCTACAAGATAAAAGGATCAAATGTAAATAAAAATTATTTCATACAATGAAGACAAGTAATCAAAGTTAATGTTGGTCTGTTCCTGTTTGTAAAAATTATCTTTAAAAAAAATTCTGATATTAACAACTAAAACAACATAAGGGAGGACCACCTTGGACCCCCGTCTCCCTATTTTTGTTTCATATTCCAATATTCTTCCACCTCACCATCTCAGATGTTCATTAAATATTCCAATGCCTAAGATATCATGCTTAGCATAAGAACTGAGTGAGATCATTTAATAATTTCTGGTGAAAACAGTGGCTTTAAGTTTCAAAAAAATGTGTGAAAATAAGAAAAAAAATAATAATATGCAAAATTTTTAACATTAACTTGATTTATAACAATTTTGTTGAAGAGTTAGGTGTTATAAATAAATGTGTCTAATTATATCTTTGCTCTCTCCTACAAATCACACATTTTCTTTTTAAAATAAAATACAATCTGAATATTTTTTAAGACAAATAGTCTTCTTTTAATATGAATGGTTTACTGTAACAATATAGAGGCTTGACAAAGAACGTCTGGAACGATTCATTTGAAAAAAAAAAGTATTTTGAAGTGAATTTTGTCTTGTTAAAGTATCTATATCAATGATTGATAAATCAATAAAATACAAGTTTGAAGTGGAAGTGTCTGAAATTGAGTTAGGTAGCTTGTAAAATGAATAAGTCAGGGGTGGCAATGTGGTCTTCCTGTAATGGATCCCAATTTTTTTCAGTCCAGCAAGCTACACGTGAGGAAGGAGTTCAAGATGGTGTCCTCCCTTGTGTTTTTGTTTCAGTCGTTAGTGAATATGAACGTTTGGTGAGGGCTAGCTGCAGATCCGTACATGTAGCTCTCTGGTTGAGAAGCCTGACTGGCAAACCAGAGAGCAACAGATCTATATGCATTGTAAAAACCTTCAATTTATGGTGATGCTTTTCTGTCGTACACTCGGGTATTATTTGTTGTATTATGTGCGCTTAAAAGATGGTATTATTTACTTAACCGTAATTTACCTGTATTTCCGATTAGGCCAAGATAAATAAATAGTGTGTTTGCTATTCCAACCCGAGAAAAAAAATAGGGTAGGTAGGTAGGGAAAAGATTCTATCTGGCCTTCGAATGTAAGCTTTGAAAATTTGAAAATTCGCTTTCTGACGTCCATATGGTTAGGTATTGCTAAAATAACGCACCCTAAAATTAAATTAAGTACCAGGAATAAGCAGGTCCAGCACAATCTCTTGATTAAGCTATATAGCTTGAAATAGCTATATAGCTTTATTAAGCTATTCAAAATAGCTTGATAAAGCTATTTATATGCAGGTTTTCACAAAAATGTTATTTGTACAAAATAGACAAAAAGTCGCAAGTATTTGACTATTCATATATGTAATATGGGTTATCAAATCAACAACCCAAATCAAAGATAGTTCTAACATTGCAGCATTTGAATACTTTTAAGCAAAAGATGAATTTCTATTGTTTGGGTAACTGTACACTACCTTGTGTGCGTTGAGGCATGGATAAGTATGATTGCTTCTCATTGTACTGAATTATTACCAATCAATTATCTTGTTGACCATAATTGGCCTCTTTTATAATTTCATTGAAGAAGTAACTGTATCAATTACTTTATATAGCCCCAAAAATTTTAGAACTTTGAGTACAAAGTCTCTTAAGGAGACACAATTTGATGAGTGATTTTTACATGCATTATTTTCATAAGAGTTCAAGGTTGAATATCATCACTGCACCAAGGTGCGACTTTTTGTGCATACTTGGAAAATAACACATTTGAGAAAAAAGTGTGATAAAATAGCTAAATCAAGCTATTCTGAATAGCTTATTAAAGCTATATAGCTAAATCAAGCTATATAGCTTAATCAAGAGATTGTGCCGGACCTGATAAGAGTAAAATAGCTGCTGATACCATACTTTAAGCAGGGGAAGGCATATAATACAAGAAATAATACCCAGAGCAAGCGACAAAAAAGCGTCTCCATAAATCGAAGGTTTTAACAATGCTTGGATCTGTAGCTCTCTGGTTTGTCTGTCCTAATTTTTTTTAGGCAACGGAGCTACATTTCTGCAGCTAGGTGAGGGCTTGTTCCGGGATCAGGACACAGGTTTAATATATCTCTCCCCTCCCCTCCCCTCCGGCCTCCTCTCCAACTGGAAAAGGATCCACCCTGACTTGTGCACTATAATTTGAGAATAGATTCATATATTTACCTTTCATATATGTCAATAAAACATGAGATTGCAAAACATGTTTTGAACATCGCGCCGCCAATATTTCTATTGTTAACTCGTACTTCAATTGAGAGAATGACCCAAAAAATATTCCGTCGTCTCAAAATAAAGAATATCTCAATCAAAAATATAATATTTCAGTCCAAGTTTTCAGCAGCTGTTAAATTCCTATGGTGATTATTTTTTTAATCTACCTCTCGTCAATATATTCCGAATTATTTTAAATACGTCTTAGTAAATATTTTTAGGCTGGTCCCCGTTAAGAACCAGTTAAAATAAAAACACATGGAAGATGAGAAATTTCAAGTTTACACTAATTTCTTTCAGGATAAAAATTTTTAGTTATGTCACAATTGCTGAGAGTATGGACTTCTCGTATCTATCGTCAAAATTTCAAGAAATTGTTGAATCAGGATATTTACAATTGTAAAAGTTGCAGCATTCATAGATATTCATCTGAGAGTGAAAATGGTAATGCTAATATTCCATTGATTTCAAAGACTGAAAGAATACTATATAAATGAATTATTTATCTACATTTAATTTACTAATTGATACGATGACTGTATTTTAATTTGAGATTAATTTATGATGATTGCATTGAATAATAATTTTTGCCCATCATGTTATTGCAGATAAACTAGTCAGAGTGATAGATATTCCTGTAAAAGAAATTAAAGAACCACCAGTTATATTTAGCAGGGGCAAACAAAAGCCTATACATGATGAAAACAACCCAGTTGCTTCTCAGCTTCAATTACTTAGTGCTGGTGAGTACATGTAAATGTTGGAAATCAATCGGAATTTGAGAAATCCTCATTTATACTTGTACATGCTTAAGAAATGATTCGTGTATATATCCCAGTTCAGATGTTTTTGATGATAGCTTATGTCAAGTATTGTATTATGTTCTCTATTTTCATGCAGGTCTGGAAAAAAGAAAACTTCAGCTGAATGTAGAAAAATGGTTCAGGGATCATGGATTCACTAATGGTCATTCTTCTAGTGTAGAATTCAAATCTGGCAATGAATCCTTGGGTCTAAAACAAAGGTTTATTACTACTGAAGTCCAAAAGGATGACAAGAAACAAACAAGAATAAAAGAAACTAAAAAGTACCCAGGAGAAAATAGTTCTGTTGAGGTTTCTCAAAATAGTGAATCACAAGTACATGCAGAACAGGAAAAAGGCAAGGTCGATCTCAAAGAGACATACAAAAAATATCTTAAAAGAGTTGAGGTAGAAAAAGGAAAAGCTGGCAAAATATCTAAAAGTAAAAAGCAAAGTGCAAATGATTTAGAAGATATAGAAGGGTTCACTGATCGAAAACAAACCCATGGAAAAATGTCATCAAAATCAAAGAAGGAGAATGTAAAGAGCATCCCTCTCCCTGAGCACTATAATGAAGATTTATTGAGTTGTATGAGAGCATCATTAATGGGAGGAATGGTAACTTAATCATTTTATAACAGAATTGTTTTATTTTACCATTAAAAAAGCAATCATTAGAATTTTATGATTAAAAAAAAACATTATTTTATCAAACAAGATTTTGATGGATTTGCAAGAAAGAATCTGTCTTCGGAATTAGATCAGTTTTTTTTTTGTTTTTTTTTTGTTATTGGACTTACCTGTGTTTTATTCCAGATGCACCATGCTCATTCAGTCTTGATGCAACATTCTGTGAAGCCTTCAAACCAAATCACAGAGCCACACATCTTTAACTGTGTTCTTCTTGGCTGGGCAAGAAAGGTTAATGTGTTGTGATCGAATCACTCTGCTTTGTATTAGGAATTGATGTTCTGGTCTTGAGTTTAGAAGTTAGGTTAAAAAATTGATATTGACAAAGATCTGAAAATTTTATACAGAGTCGATTTATTTTTGGTAGGGACAAAATCAGGATATATTGAAATCTTTTTGTGAAATTAGTCTTGAATTACATTCCAGGGAAAGGATGTAATGCTGAATGAAGCACTGGCACAGATGAAGAAGTTTAAGATACCAGAAACTTATGACACTTTTGCTGCACAATTACTTTGCATTGGAAATAAAAGGAGCTATACAGAAAAAGAAAATGAAATCAGAAATATTTTAGAGCAGATTGGAGAAAAGGTTTTGATTAAAATGCCTCAATTAAGCTTTCATCAAATCATAAGATTGCTTAACAGTAGTTAAGTTTTTTAAAAGTCCTTAGTTTTGAAAACTTTAAAAATAAATAAATAAATATAAGATTTTTGTAAATATCATGTTGCACATAGCTATATAGTCTTTTGTTTGTTTTCCAGAATCTTGATATCAAGTACTTGATCCAAAAGAGTGAATACTTAACTCCAAAGGATGCATTAAATGTGATAAAGGTAATTATGTGAAACAACTGGGAAAAGTGATAAAAATAATGTGTGTGTCATATGTCCTTTTAGTGGACTTCATATTTCTCTCTGTGTATTAATTACATGTATGTGTGGATGTGAGATCAAACACAGAATTTCTCCAGGAGGAACAAGCTGTGCCCAAACCAAACTTGTACTTATGGTGCATTGATAATTTTTTTTCATATGGCGCATGCTTCAAACCATCACTAAAAAAGTTTTTGTTTGATGAACTCCAACCCACATTTTTCAAGGTGGGTAGGTAGATAGGAATTTTTATTTTATTTTATTTTATTATACCCCCGCTCCGAAGGAGAGGGGGGTATACTGTTTTACCCTTGTGTGTCTGTCTGTCCGTGTGTGTGTCTGTCTGTCCGTAACAAATTTTGGTCGCAGTTTTCTCAGCAACTACTCATTGCAGATGCTTGAAATTTTGCACAATCTTTGTTTAGGCATGCCATATGGTGGGATTCATTTTTGTACTAATCTGATGTCAACTTCCTGTTTATCCGTGCGTCTGTCCGTACCATACATAATAAATTTTGGTCATAGTTTTCTCAGCAACTACTCATTGCAGATGCTTGAAATTTTGCACAATCTTTGTTTAGGCATGCCATATGGTGGGATTCATTTTTGTATTTATCTGATGTCAACTTCCTGTTTATCCGTGCGTCTGTCCGTACCACACATAACAAATTTTGGTCGTAGTTTTCTCAGCAACTACTCATCGCAGATGCTTGAAATTTTAGCACATTCTTTGTTTAGGCATGCCATATAATGGGATTCATTTTTGTACTAATCCGATGTCAACTACCTGTTTATCCGTGCGTCTGTCCGTCCATACATAACAAACTTTGGTCGCAGTTTTCTCAGCAACTACTCATTGCAGGTGCTTGAAATTTTAACACAGCGTTTGTTTAGGGATGCCATATGGTGGGATTCATTTTTGTACGAATCCGATTTCAACTTCCTGTTTGGACATCTGTCCGTACCATACATAACAAATTTTGGTCGTAGTTTTCTCAGCAACTACTCATCGCAGTTGCTTGAAATTTTAGCACAATCTTTGTTTAGGCATGCCATATAATGGGTTTCATTTTGGTACAAATCTGATGTCAACTTCCTGTTTATCTGTGCGTCTGTCCGTACCATACATACATAACAAATTTTGGTTGCAGTTTTCTCAGCAACTACTCATTGCAGGTGCTTGAAATTTTAACACAGTGTTTGTTTAGGGATGCCATATGTTGGGATTCATTTTTCACAAATCCGATGTCAATTTCCTGATTATCACTGTGTTTGTCCATAACTGAACTTGTGTATTCACATCAGAGCGGGGGTATTATTAGTGAGCATTGGCTCACAGACTTCTTGTTTTATTTTATTTTATTTATTTTATTTTATTTGTTTTATTTATTTTATTTATTTATTTATTTATTTTTTTATTATTTTTTTTTTTTGAATTTTGTAACACATTGATAATTGTCATTCAAATCAAAGACTTAGAAATTTTTGATGTTTTCATTACTTTAACAATGTATACACATAAAAAGTTTCAATCTAAAAGCATGAAAAAGTATCTTTGAGAAATGATAAATCTTAATTTAAAAAAAATGCAGACAATCTGTATATCTTTGCCCCCCCCCCCCCCAAAAAAAAAATTTAAAGTGCTAAAAAAATGATTGGGTAGGGGTTAATTTTACGAGTTGGTCAGTATACATCAAACAATCATTTTTTATTGTTAGCCTCAATTTTATCCAGCCTTAATCATATCAGTGAAAAGGTTAATTGTCGGCATATTGCAAGTAGTATAGCTTATCTGGTGCATCTGTGAACTTTTCTCTGGTAGTTTATGTACAGTGTAAATGCTTCATATGACCCTTATGTGCCTGCTTATAGAATGCCATTTAGGTCATTCAGAACTTATATCAAGTGAGAAATACACCAAACATGCCTTAGTGTTTTATTTATGATGCTTTGTTCAAATTTTCAAGTTAAGCCATACTTTGAATATGCTCCAGTCCCATCATAACAGTTGTTATTAAATATTATTAAGAAAAGATTTTCCACCTGAATTCAAATTCTGCAATATTTTAAAAAATGTGTTCTTTTTTCTTTTCTCAATTTAGGTTATCCAGGTTGTAGCCCCAGAGTACAGTCATTTAGGAAATGAAAATTTAACTGTACAACCTTACTCTATTCCATTACTAGAAGACTTTAATAATCCACCCACGGTAAGTGATGAGGGATTCTTTTTTTTTTTTATTAATTTGGAAACAAAATTAACATAATGGAATTGTCATTTTGATTAAAAACAGAGAAAAAAAAGAATAAACTAGATGGGGCCAATTTTTTACATGTCTAAGTTAGTCGGACATGCCTTGATGTTGAGCCCTGAAATGTGGGGCTAAAATTATCAAAGTTAAATCTTTAAGAAATCTCTTACTCGTTAACTAACAAATATTCTTGATTAAGAATCATGGAAACTAACTGAACAATCAGTGAAAACATTTGTTATGTGGCAGTCAGATGGGCTCATAGCTGGTGGCTAGGTAGAGCACCTGACTGGAGATTCAGGGGGCCCCGGTTCGAATCAATGTCTGATCCATCGCATTTTTCTCCTCTCTTGTTACAGTTAGTTGTATTGTCCTTTGTAACACTCATTGTAGGAAGATGTTGTAAATCCACTTCATAGAGTAATATCTAGCTCCAAATTTGAGGAGAACTTGCATAAGCAGCTCCAGTATGAAGAAATAGGCACTGTTTACATGGATAGTGCATATTATACAAAATCTTCTGGTGTAAAGAAAGAGCAGGTACAGTAATATACATGTAATTTATATTGCTCACAATTTATTTTAAAAAATTGAAAAGTTTACAAAATTATACATATACATACATGTACATGTATATGCACTTTATATGGAAGGTTCAATGTGTTGAGGATTGGACTAAACACTATAACTGGCCACTTTCCATTACTTTCAGACAAAGAATCAATTATTGGAACAGTTCCATAGAGCACTATCAGGGGCATTTAGATCTCAGTTGAAAAAGCATTCCAAAGGAAAACACGATCCAACCACTGAAAAAGGTATTTAAAAAATACGAACATGATGATGGTATTGAAAAAAATATGGAGTTATGAGTATGCTGTAATAATAGATGTATATTGTTGCAAACAAGCCATGAGCTTTGTGTGGAATCATCGTCTTTCATTTGAATTCAATTTTCATGAATAACCTTCACCCAGGAATTTTCAACCTCAACAAATGATTGATACATAAACTCTATCGCTCATAATGAAATCTTTGCCCATGTAAATACTTATGCATGAATCAGTCAATTTTAAGAAATCCACAAAGATTTGACCCTCATAAATTAAAATGAATATATAATATCTACCAGGTCCATTCTTCTTGATATATTAACATCCTCTTTGTGAAATAATTTCTCTAGTAGAGGATATTACTAATTTAATCCTAAGTGTTGCACTCTGAAAAAAAAATCACAACCTGTATCTTATTTTCTATATATTCTTTAAAATAACTGAAACAGATATTTTCTTTTTTTTGTTAAGAGAAACATGACCACATTTGTATTTTCTCATTTTCGATTTCAGAAGTTGACCAAATCTGGCCTTTTCTAAAAGCTTTAAAGACAAATGAGTACATAGATTTAATGATGAAGGTAAAGGGTAACCTGGTTACTTACATAGTGGCTTGTATTAAAGTGTGAACAAAAATAATCTGTGAGTAAAAAGAAAGAAAAAAGGGAAATAAAAGAAAGAAAAAGGAAAGAAGCCTTGTCAGTTTGTGAAGCTGCAATAGGTTGCCATTTTTTTGCATCCAAACCAACCATTTATCAAAGATAATTTTTATGCACAATTTAACACTTTACTATTTACCACTGTGTTGTATTTTTGGAATACAGGAACCAATTTTGTTTAAAAAAAAAAATAAATAAAAAAAATGCAGTAATTTAACATAGTAAAAAAAAATAATAGTTGTTATGTATATGTATTTTTGATAATGAAAAGTACTAAGATTGTTGAATTTAAACTGTTTTTTGTCTAATGTGACAGGAAATTGAAATTTTGGCTGAGAAAGGATACTCTGCTGGGTATAGAAAACACCAGCTGGGACAGTCTGTCATCAACTTAATTCAAAGGAAGTATTTTAAAGAATTTGGATATTTGGATCTGGTAAGCATAATTTTTATTTCACAGATTTAAGCCTGAACTATCGAAATTTGAAATGTTAAGGTTTATAGTTGTTTCGTTGTAAATATTCAGGTTGTAAATATTCAGGAAGAAATCCAAAGTTAAAACAAAGAGAACAATTAGTATACCATTAGGACTTACTTCTTAGAGGATACTGCAAAATAAAAATGTACGAATATACATGTATATTATGAATACAAATGTATGTCTGAAATGCTTTATGGCAGCAAATTTGATTCTACATACAGTCAAAACTGCCATAGCGACCCACTGTATTAAGCGACTCACTCTCATATCTGACTGTAAAAATCCCTCCCTAGACTTTTCCCTATATATTATACCTGTATTAAACAACCACCTGTCTGATGCGACCAGCGACTGTGATTTTTGAGGCCATTTTTAGTGATTTCAGGCAATTTTACCTTGATTTAACGACTTTATATTTCCGATTCCTACTTTCGATTTCTGTCGAGCATGCTACGTTTTTGGGTTCCAACATCTACATACACATGCTTATATCATTTAATAATTATATATAGCAAGTTTTACAAGTAAAACAACAATATAAAATAAATATGTTTACTTACGATTTGATATTTATTGAATGAACATTAAAATTGAATGCATAAACATTCACGTTTTTTTCTCTTCAAAGTCTGAGCGCCATTTTGAAAGTAGACGTGCGAGGTTGATCCCAATGAGTATCATTTCGTACTTTAAGGGCCTAATGGACATTTGGCTATAAAACTTTTAATTTCTCTGTTTAACTTTTAATTTACAAGTAACTAAATCCTAGATGTTTTTTTTAAGTGGATTGTGTCACCGTCTGGTTATATAAACACACGCTAGCTAGCACCCATACCAGGTGTTATAATTGAAGTGACTGGTGGCAAACAGGCAATTAGAGTAATAATTAGTAAGGAAAAAAATTAATAAGGTTAAATTAATTTTTAGTCATTAATATTATTTTATTCGTAAACAAATTCATAACGAAAACCATGATACAGTTTCAACTGTTAGTAATGTGCAGAACATACAAAGTTATATACTAGGCTATCATGTAAAAAAAATATTTTAAAAAATTTCTACAGTATTTTCATTGTGTGTAAAGAAATCTGAATATTTTCAGATGTTCAAAATTTTCCAATTTTCAAAATGACTCATGGATGGATAAAATGCAAATTTTATTACAGAACATTACGATTGTACCCAATAATATACCCCATGATATGCAAGCATTTACAATTGAGCAGTACTTATTGAAAATCAAAAATATACAATACATGATACAAGTGAGAATATACAATACCTGATAAAACTATAAATTCCACATACTTTAATTGTATAATACTTTCAGCATTGTTCACTTGATCACTGCAGAAAATAAGCAACCTGTATTAAGAGACCACCTGTCATATGTGACCTTTTTTTCTTTCTCCGTTGGAAGGTCTCTTAATACAGGTTTGACTGTATCTTAAGTAATCTCTCAGATGTACTCTTGAATCAGATAACTATAGAGTGAGTCTTTTTCAGCAAAAAATGGTCTACAAGGAGTATATTGGAATTGTGTTAAATGAGAAAAATCCCAGCAGATGTCACAGAGAAATTTGGCAGTCATTATGCAAGAAATATACTGGCAAAAGTGCAATTGTAAGATATTTTTATTGTACAAAAATATTTAAATATACATTTAAAATGTATATTCACTCTATTGTTAATTCTCATTAATTTATAGAATGATTTACTGTATTTCAGCTTCCAGATTATAAATTCCCAGACCATATATCATACAAAGTAAGTAGATATTTACAGTGTAGCATCAAAATGTCAAGTTGCCCTACAGGCATAAATATGTCCAATTTTCTAAGATTGTCTGGCATAGACTTTATGTAAGAAAGTTGAGAAAGTGCCAACTCGCAAAGCAAATCAGAATTCAAAAGGAAGGGAGTCTACTTACTGCTCTTAGAAACATGATATAGTTTACAGATTGCTTTTTACCCTCTAGACCATTTAAGTCAGTACCACCACTTATATCAAATGTGAAGTTCAGCTTCAAAGTAATGCTCATATTTACTGCCTTTGATGGGGGTACATGATTTTTTTAGCTCACCTCAACAAAGTCAAGTTGAGCTTATGCTATACACCTGGTTTTGGCATCGGTGTTGGCATCCCAGTTAAAGTTTTATGAGCAAGTCTATTCCCAAGTGATTAGTGAGTTAAACAGGTTAATTGTAGTAGTATGTCAGTTCCAAAGTAATTATAAGCCCAACCTGGACCAAACTAGCCTTGATGATGCATCTTGGAATGGACACTACCTGACTTGCTTCAGATGCTGGACCTGACCTACATTTTCCAGGTGAGTGACCAGGTTAAAGTTTTTGAAGCAAGTCCATTCCCAAGTAACTATAAGCCCTATCTGGACCAAATTTGCATGGATGATGCATCTAAAGACAGACACTACCAGACTTCCTTCAGATCCTAGATTTTACCTAATTTTTCTGGATGAGTGACCAGGGTAATGTTTATGGAGTAGCTCTGTATCAATATGGCCTGTTATGATAAAACTTGCATGGATGATGCAGCTAGGGACACTACCAGACTTGCTATGTTGGATCTGACCTGCATTTTCTGGATGAGTGGACAGGTTTAAGTTTTTGGAGCAAGTCCATTCCCAAGTAGCAATAAGTCCTACTTAAACCAAACTTGCATGGATATTGATCTCAGGATGCACACTAACTAGAAAAAAATTGGTGTGAGATTGGCCTTACTTATAGATGACATTTGTCAAGGTGAACTTTGTAATCTTTGATTACCTGTGTTTTAAAATACATGTGAAATAATTTTTAGAGTGAAACATGGTACATGTCGATAGATTTTCCAGACTCTACATGTATTTGTAATTCTTTTATATGTATTCATCTTTTCAGATTGGAAATTTTCTTTACTCTGTGATGAATACCAATTTAAAGATAATATCCAAAAAACATGATGGGTATGTGTTTTACAAAATATTTTGAAAGAAAAGCTCTAAATTTTCATAAGTTAAAAGGAAATTCATTGTTGAAGTTGGGGAAATTGTAAATCTGTAATCTCAGTAGTGCAGCAATTTCTATCACGTAAAAATTTAAGTTGAAATGTTCTTGTAGCTCTACATCCAATGTTTCTGTCCTTAATTTTGTCATGCAAGATGAGAATAGAGATGGAAAAATTTTAACATTTGTTCACGTAAGTACACATGAAACACTTCTTTTTTACTACGGCTAATTGATTTTAAGGTTTACAACCAGATATACTTGAACTTCTTTATTCCTGAACATATGAAAATATTTGCATTCATACAAACCATTCTGCCAGAGTCAGAGAATTTAATACACTTGCATTAGAGATTGTAAATATAAGTCCCATAACCAGTGCTTATTAGTAACAGGTTTTCTCAAACTCGAGTTCATTAATTTTTTTTTCAAGGGAAACGAAGTTTGCAGAGTGTCTCTTGAAAGTTTAAAAAATTAAGGAACTCAAGTTTGAGAAAACTGGTTACTAATAAGCTCTGTTTATGGGAGCTGTCCGATTATAAAAACGTGGACTTATGTGTTGTTTATGGCATTGAAGAAGAAGCGTATTCTGGTACATACATGTATGTAGGATACAAGATTCCTTGAAGATCTGTCAAAATGAAATAGTTCAAAGAATATAAAAATTGAAATCATAAATGTTTACAAAAAACCTGCATTTTGGGCTTGGAGATTTATTCCTTGGAAAAGCAGCCTATCAAAATCATGCTAGGTGTTTCATAACATGTTACAAAAAAGAACAACTGCACGAGATTTATGAAAAAATAGTTGATATAGGAGAAAGCACGTTTCAACATAGTCTGCTTAACACCCAAACTCAATAAATTGGTGCAATTCAAGATATTTTTTCTTCAAAAATCGACTTTTGATTATCCATCTGCTAATAACATTTTCGGATAGATCAACATATCAAGTTTGTATTCCCAAAGATTTTTCAAGTTAAGTTCATTGGTTAAGAAATTACGTCAATTTGAAATAAAGGTGTATTGTTGATCATTATTTGCTGAGAAACAAGCGTTACGTATCATATTATAGTTTTCCTTTAAGATTTTAGGATGAAATAATATAGATTGTAATAAATCCTCAATGTCAAAAGCAAATCAGTCTATTTACTTTCGTGATAAGTCAAAAAAGGTCAACTGTCATAATGTATTTTATGAATTGATGCAGTCAAATTGTCGTATTATATTTTTTTCCTCAAATGAATTTGACATATCTCTAAAATTTTATATTTCAAATATGCCTCAAGAAAAATCAAAACTGCCCAGCGCAAATAGGGGTTCTAAATGAATAGAGGATCCATTTATAGAAACGTTAAATAAAATGTTGTTCATGAATTGTGATCTTGTTCTTATTTACACTTTCAAATGCAACAACGTCCGTATGTAACGAATGTTTCATGAGAAGTAATATTTACTGTTTTTAAGATTAATTCCAACTACATGGACCAATTCATGAGATGTAATTTCTGCTCTACTTGTGCCATGGTATTGAAAATGTCAAAAGAAATCATAATTTGAACTGCATCATATATATCATCGTGTCATATTTTCCTTGAACTGTACTATATGTACAAACGGATAAGAGATATATGTAAAATTGTCTGTATAGACGTTTTAACAGAACCTAAAATAATGTAAATAACAATTTTTCTGATGACTTTTAGCTTGAAATCATTTAACCATCAATGGAAACTTCCTTCGTATTTCTGCTTGGGTAAATGCCATAGTTCAACTAAAATAAAATGCTGAAACATACGTTACATAACATAAAATGCGAGTTTAACAGTATCAAAATTATAAGAGAGAAACAAAAAACCCTGATGTAGATTCAGAATAGAAACTCAAGCCTTTGTTTTATCAATATCATATGATTCAATCTAAAAATGTCTTTCAAAATAATTTCAATAAATGTTTTTCTTCAGATTTAATGTGTGTGTTCAATAATGCGTCTCTATAATCAGTTTATATTAAAATTTATGCAACTTAAGCTTAAAATGATACAAATCAATCAATAAAGTTTACATTCGAACAATTAGTCATGAAATAAAATCTGTAAATATTGTTGCAATTTTGATATATGATTTGTTAAAATTTTGTAACATTCGTTACCTTCGGTAACGAACGTTTCAACACCTTTCAAGACTAACAGAGGACATTCAGTTGTAGATTGATACTGGTTGCGTAGTTGTTGTCGGTCGTTATATAAATATTAACAGTTACATATTAATTCATTACATTTGATTCATTATTATTGCATTCTAGAAAACAAACTCACCAACACTGTCTAGACTTTAGAAAAAAATCATAAAAAGGCAGTACCGTACTCCGGATGTCAAAATTTGAATACTGGCGCAAAATATTTGACTACGTATATGTGCAGAAGATGTTTGAACTCATAAATCATTCTTTTTTTAGAGGTTTGGTAACGAATGTTTCGGTAACGGTTGTTTCATTTAATAATTTTCTCTTAAATAGTAAGCTAACAATAAGACATTGTTAAATCATGGTTGGAGCATGTAATACAGTTGTTGGATAGAAGAAAAAGTATCACATGTTTAACTATGATATCATTGTATTTCATCTATTAAACTAATACAACGAATGTTTCATGCCTATCCATACGCATGTAAAATAGGAAGATAGAATGTGATTTCAAAGTATTGGTAACATATACAAGGCTTTGTACCATTTATTTTTAATTTTCAAGAAGTTTCCTTCCAAATAAAACGTATTCCAATCTTACAGGCATACAATAACTAATACTCATACTATATTTAATGTCACAGTCCGTCTTTATTTTGTTTCTGGCGACATGGGGATATCAGATCAAAGTTTGGTAATATATTTGTGATTATGCTCAATAATTTATTAAAAGCATTTTACAAATAAATGTTTTGAAGACATATGCTATCTAATTTAAAATTCAACTGTTATTTGTACAAAAAATAGCCATTTAAGTGTAATTATTCGATGTTGGCGACAGTAACGTACGTTTCAAAAAATCACTATATGCCAAATAAAATATCTCAATATGATTTGTTCACTTAATTTTTGTATTTTTGCCTTAAAGGTTACATATTCATGCATTCATTCAAAAAGTATTTTCTTTGACATTTCATTATTTTTTTACGCTTAACCCCCAGCGACATCATTTGCACCATTTTATTGAGCTTGAGTGTTAACATTTTTACATAGTGTTAAAATACATATACAATGTAGTAGAATTCTAAGTATTTTATCCTCGTGTAGCATCTTTCACTTGTCTGTGGAGGGATTAAGTAGGGTATGCATTTACTGCTAATTGTATATTTCCATGTATGTGAAAAAAAATATCCCTACGGGGAAGAAAAATGACTTGTGAACAGTTTAGTAATTGTGTGTTATAATTTCAGATACATCCCCATGTTAAGAAGATTTGTTTGACTGATATAGTAATGAAAAGTGAACAAGCCTTTTATCCCATGCTTGTGCCCCCAGTTCCATGGCATGGCATGCAGTTAGGAGGATTTATTACATTTAACAGTAAGTACTGTATACTGAGTGGGAAAAATTACATGTTCAAAGCATTGGAAAGTGTATCAGGCATATTGTTTTTATGTGCAACAATTTCTCTAAGGCATTATTTGCATATACATAGAATTACTTGGAACTGAGTTTTTCTTTCTCTTGTGAAAAATATCTTGTACTTGGCATTTTTTTTTTCTAAATTCACCTTAAATATAATTATATTTTTATGCCCCACCATAATATGGCCAAGGCATATAGTGTTTGTCATATTTATCTTCCATTCTTCTGTCCTTCAGTCCTTATTTCACATTTTGCATTTAGTTTAGTTTCAAAGAAACTACTCAAGGCATTTTTATGTAAGCTTATGCACTGATACATAATTTGGTGAGAAGTTATCAACTGTGGTTAATTTTTTTTTATCTTGACCTTCCCAATGACCTTTTTATACTTTACTATTTATTATGTATAAAACTTGTGTTAAAGATACTATGAAAGATATTTTCATCAAACTTCAAACACTAATACAAATTTTCAGGTTGTATTACTAAAGAACCGTTTATCTCTTTTAGTTATATTTCAAGTTGTAATGTTAGTCTGTTTTGATTTAATCCTGAAAAAGGAGATGTCTCTATAAAGTCAGCAAAAGCATACTTGCTATAAAACAACAACATCCCTTGTACATGTACATGTAAAAATCATTATTGAACCATAATTGAAAGTTATGTAAATTGTAACAAAAAACATCTGATTATGGTTTTGTTCTAATGATGTCATTAAACCTATTATGCCTTCTGTAGGTGATCTTATTAGATGTCTGGATGAAAATCAAATGGAACTAAAATATCTGAAGAAATTCCCAAAAGATTGTCTAAATCCAGTCATGGATTCGTTAAACATTCTAGGAACTTGTGGCTGGAAGATCAACACAAAAGTAAGTGAAGAATTGTTATATACATGTATTATACATTATATTATGTACATGCAAGGGGGGTGGGGGGGTGGGGGGGTGAAGTTCCCCTACCATGTTTATTTCACTGTAATGGTCACATACGATCTTTATACATTGATATCTGTGACTCTATTCCTTCCAGATGCTGGATGTTATTATGGAGTTGTTTAAGAAGAATGCGGGTGTTTCTCTGGATCTTCCACCTGCCAAACATACCATGCCAAAACCTGTCTTCCCTCTCCTAAAAGTTAAAGAGTAAGCAAGAAGCATTTCCATTATTACCAATTTATTCAGCAGATCAACCAAAATGAAAGTAGCATCCAGTGAATATCCGTAAAAAACATTTTCTAAGATCTGATCTGTGTACATGTATATGTACTGTCTTTTTTTTTTAGGAAGTATTTATTGTATTTTATATACTGATTGTTATTGGCACATAACATGTATTTTAAGCAAAAAAATTTATGATTAAAAAACAGGCTAAATGAAAGTGAAAATAAAATGGAAGAAGATGAAAAGAAGAAAGTGAAGGCTGAGCTATGGAAGAAATACTATAAAGTAAAGAAGGATAGAGCTGAAACACACAGTCTCTGGAGTCACATGCATAGAACACTAACAATTGCAAACACAGTAAGAGACTCCATCACTTACTCGGTAGATTATCACCAGTTAAAAAAAAGCATTATTACTGGGAAGAGAATTTTATAACATGCCAGCTTATTAAAAAAAATATCTGTGGCTGACTAAGTAAAAAAAACCCACTTAGACTCGGTATTAAAGGTATCTTTATAAGCAAAAACATCATTAAGAGAGCTTTGTCAGTGGCAGACTCAGATAGAGGACATTATTACTAGCAGACTCAGTGAGAGAACTTTATCAGTGACAGACTCAGTGAGAGAACTTTATCAGTGTCAGACTCATTAAGAAAACTTCATTACTAGCAGACTCAGTAAGAGAATTTTATCAGTGGCAGACTCAGTAATAGAACTTTATTACTAGCAGACTTGGTAAGAAAACTTTGTCAGTGGCAGACTCAGTTGAGAGAGCTTTGTCAGTGGCAGACTCAGTAAAGAACTTTCTTACTAGCAGACTTGGTAAGAGAACTTTATTAGTGACAGACTCAGTAAGAGAATTTTATCAGTGACAGACTCAGTGATAGAACTTTTATTACTAGCAGACTCAGTAAGAGAACTTCATCACTGGCAGACTCAATGAGAGAACTTGCATGTAATTACTAGCAGACTCAGTAACATAACTTTATCAGTGACAGACTCAGTAAGAGAATTTTATCAGTGACAGACTCAGTGAGAGCTTAATTACTTGCAAACTCAATAAGAGAACTTTAGTACTAACAGACTCAATAAGAGAACTTTAGTACAAACAGACTCAGTAAGAGAACTATTTTCAGTGCTAATTTGGTAGATAACTTAATCACTAGTAAGCTCAGTAAGAGATCATCATAAGTGACTGACTCAGTGAGAGAACTTTATCAGTCACAAACTCAATAAAAACTTTTTCATTGTAAAACTCATGTCTCAGTTGTTTACTAGCTTTTTGCCATAAAATTCCACATACAAAAATTTTAATTTATTTATTTCCCATCTAGATTAGAGATGAAGTGATATGGTTTCCACACAGTTTAGATTTCAGAGGGAGGTCCTATCCATTTATGCCTCATCTGAATTACCATGGTATTTATTGTCAATAAGCAGAACTTGGTTTTAGAGCTAAATATTAGTAAACTTGGTTTTAGAGCTAAATATTAGTAAATGTACTTGGATACTATAATCTAATTTTCTGTCATAAGTTTGCAGGGAATCATGTTAAGTGGCTTCCAAATTTCCAATGTAAAAATTCTTTGTAGAGTTGTATTTCTTCATTTTTTGCATTAATTTTTGATTTTTTTAACCAGGGGATGATGTGAGACGGTCTCTTTTCCTATTCGCTAATGGAAAACCTCTTGGAGAAAAGGGACTTGATTGGCTGAAGATACATCTGATTAATTTAACTGGCTTTGCAAAAAGGTATCAAAATTAAAATTCTGAATTGCCAAGAGGATAAAGCTGAATCTTGACATTCATGTTGTAGGATGGAATATTCATTTGTTTTTCATTCTGTAAATCACTTTTAATTTGCAAGAACTTTATTTTTGCGTAATTACACAAGACTGCCTACTTCTGAAAATTTCCTCTCACACATTTCTTCTCTCATATTTCTTCTACTGTTAAAGATTATACAGAGCAATGATCAAAATTCGTGAATTATAAATATCAAACAACAATCTCATGAAAATAAGGTGTCACAGAAATTTAGTGATCTACAGTTTTCATATTTTGATAGGGATTCACTTTTGAATATGGAAATAAAAATAAAAGTTATTTATATGATACATATACATCAAAGAGTTAGTCTGAATCCCTTTTAAGTAAATTCTTGCAAAACAGTGCTGTACTTGGATTTTTCAAGGCATTTTGTATAACAGTGTATTCAACAACTGTCCCTGAACTCATTTCTAGGTCTTCAAATGCAGAGAGACTTCAGCTAGCCAATGCGACATTACCTGACATTATGGATTCTGCCGATCATCCTCTTGATGTAAGTTCAAATTCATCACTTTTTACAAAAGCAACTACACATCTATTCAGTATGAAATGATTCTCATTTTGCAAAGAAGTGATTGGGTGCAGCTCTTAGTGATCAAAATGATAAGCTTCAATAAAATTTATTCAACAGGGAAAAAAATGGTGGCAGACTTCAGATGAGCCCTTTCAGACTCTTGCTGCCTGTATGGAGGTAGCAGCCGCGGTGAGGTCTGAAGACCCTAGTAAATTTGTGTCTTACTTCCCTACTCATCAGGACGGGTCATGTAATGGTCTTCAGCACTATGCAGCTCTGGGCAGGGATCAAGCAGGGGCAGAGTCGGTCAATCTGAGTCCCTTTTCTCACCCTCAGGATGTGTACAGTGATGTTGTAGAACTGGTAAGAGGTTTCAAAGTGGTCAGATTTTTCTGGCACACTGTTTATTCAGGAGTAGCTGTGAAGATATGTTTATTACATTGTTATTCAGCATATTTTTACATGTAGAGTTGATTAAAACTATATGGACTTGATTGCCTTATAACTGCATGCTATTTTTCAAAGGTGGAGAAAATAAGAAAAAAGGATGCGGAAGATGGTCTTGAGATAGCACAGAAACTGGAAGGGCTTGTCAAAAGAAAGGTTCAGAAAGTTTTTTATTCTGAAATAAAGTTGAAAATATCAGAAATACAAGATAATACAGCAGGTGATCTTTAGAAGAGCTTATTAGTTTTTAAAAAATGCTTTATAGAGAACTCTTCATACATATGATGAGTACATGTATTTACATCCCAGACAATCAAGCAGACCATAATGACCTCTGTCTATGGAGTCACCATGTATGGTGCTAAGTTACAGATCCTGAAGCAGATAAGTCCTTTACCGGATGAGGCCCTTCATAATGAATTCCACTCTCTTGCCAGTGTCTACTTAGCAAAGTGTGCCTTCAAGGCCTTAGAGGAGATGTTCTCTAGTGCCAGAACAATTCAGGTTTGTCAAGAGAAAAGTTTAAGAGGACATTGACTGAATTTTCTACACTTTTTTTTTAAATACATGTATGTATACTTAAATGTACTATCCATGTTGCTTTTCACAAGTATGTCTTGTTTAATTTATTGGTTCTTTGCTAAAATTTATATCCTAGTATATATACAATCAAATCTTGTTATCCCGAACTTGACGAGACCGAGATTAAACTTTGAGATATCTGAGGATTTGAGATAATCAGGTCAAAAAACATAAAGAAAAGTATTTTTGACATCCAAACTACATATTCTTTGTATTGAGATAACAATTTATGCTTTTGAGGAGCTCATATACAGGAGTTGTTATTTGTTATTCTGACAGTGAGTGTTTATGTTATAGGACTGGTTTACCCAGATAGCTCGGGGGATGGCTAAAACTTGTAAGATCCCCACCCAGTGGATAACACCTATGGGAATGCCCATAATTCAACCCTACATCAAGCAGGATATTAAAACAAAGTTCAAGAAGGACTATAGCATTGATGAACTGATGAAGTTGAAGTAAGGATTGTATTCAATTTTTTAAAAAATACAGGCATATAATCTAGATTACCCTATGGGAGTTAAATTATAAGCTTTAAATTCATTTTAAGATGAAATTAATAGATAAGTGTAAATTGGTGTTTCTTAGAAAAAAAAAATTTCATACTGTAATATCATGTATTTTCAAGGGGTCAAATTTTCGTTGTTTAAGGAAAAATACTGGTTCATGGGAATATGTTTTGTGGTTATAGGAAAACCACTATACTGTTGTACAAAATTTAATATTTGGTGGAGGAAAGGAATTTGTGGGTCTCCTCATACCACAAAAAAAAGGGAAACTAAAATTTAATCCCCACTAAAATGAGTGATTTCACAGTATTTCTTAAAATTGTAATGTGATAATGTTTTATATGTACACATGAGATTTTTTCTTCATCAGAGTTGAAAGCAGGAAGCAGAGAAATGGTTTCCCTCCAAACTACATCCACTCCATAGATGCCAGTCACATGATGCTGACTTCACTGGAAATGTACAGGTATTGAAAGACTGTAATCAAACTCTCTAACAAAATTCATATCTAGGATACAACCAATGCTTTGTTCGCTTTTCACCCATTCAAGGTCACATCACTTGATCATACTTTTAATAATTCTTGCATTATTATGACTTTGTGTGTTTTATAGTTCAAAGCTGAAAGAAGTTCTTTTTTAAGTTATTACATTTGTAATATTAGAAATCCTACAGTGAATTTATTTCTTTTTCAGGGCAGGATTAACTTTTGCCTCAGTACATGACTGCTACTGGACACATGCTATAGATGTGGACTCAATGAATAAGGTGTGTGTAAATGTGAAGAGAACGAAGGATATGAATAAAAGTACCTTAATTTCTAATCACCTTCAAATTATGTTTATAGAAATCTGGAGACAGCCTCACAAAAGTTTGTCATTTTGTAGTCAAAAATCAAGTCATTAGAATTATTTTTTGCACCATCACTATCATTATCTTTCATAAGTACATTTTTTATGCACTGTTACGGAGTTTATTAGTTTGTAACATTTTACTGGAGTCAATTTATCAGGATGTGATATACAATGTATTTTCATGTATGTTGTACTGTGTTATTTTAGTAATAAATTTATTTCTGTGCCAGTAGTTCAGGTGACATATTTATAGAATCGTACTACAATGCTTTTTGCGGAATCATAAAAACATATTTGCGGAATTGTAACTTTTATTTTGTGGAAACGAGTGTGTGTTGCTCTTAAATAAACATTATCATATACTGAGTGGAGTTTCAATACTCTGGTATGAAATGGTTGTTTTGGATTTGCATATACCTTCACACTTGTATACCATATGTTTAAACTCCTTTATACACTGTGCAACAACTCCTGCTCCTTCACACAACAGAAACTTATCTTCAATAGTAAAGTGCATTTATTCAAACTATTTGGCAGTACATGTACTTCAAAATAAGTAAATATATTTGTCCTAGTATGGTTTATTAATGATTATTTGTTCTTCCTTTTCAGTTTTGTCGGAAACAGTTTGTTGCCTTGCATAATCAACCTTTACTAGAAACCCTCTCTGCTGACTTTTTAAATGATATAGAGAAGTATAAAAAGTAAGCATTTTTTGTAGTGGATGATTTTCAAATATTGATTTTACTATGTAACAAGAGGCCCAAGGGCCTTAACGGTCACCTGAGTACAATACAACAATTTAGAGGATCCATAGAGTATTAAAATGAAATGAAAGGTGAAGCTTTGTTGCCCAAAAGCAAGAAAAATAGGGTGATCAGGATCAACAAAATAATTAGTCTACTATTCATCAACAGTTCATAAATTAGGTTCTAATCTGTTCCCCATTTATCACTATCACCATACAGTATATTAACAAACTATCAGTGCTTTTGTACTATTTTAATTCCTTGTTGTAATCTCTTACATTGGCCTCTCTTGGTCTTTGATGAACATTTAATAAGACAAGTTATTTTTGTCTCATTTTTAGCTCACCTCAACGAAGTTGGGGGAGCTTATGTAATACCCTCGGCGTCGGCGTCCCAGGTTAAGGTTTTTGGAGCAGTTTTCTTTTCAAGTACTTCTATGGCCTATATTAGTCAGAGATGCATGGAGGATGCTTCTAGTGTGTTTCATTGTACCAGTCAAGGTTTCAGATGCTGCAATTTCAGCTGAAGAATGACCAGGTTAATGTTTTTGGAGCAGGTTAAAGTTTTTGGAGCAGGTTAAAGTTTTTGGAGCAGGTCTCATTTTCAAGTAACTATAAGCCCTATATTGACCAAACTTGCATGGATGATATATCTAAGGATGCACACTACTGAACTTGCTTCAGATGCTGGATCTGACCTACATTTTCCGGATGAGTGACCAGGTTAAGGTTTTTGGAGCAGATCTCATTTTCAAGTAACTATAAGCCCTATATTGACCAAACTTGCATGGATGATACATCTAAGGATGCACACTACTGAACTTGCTTCAGATGCTGGATCTGACCTATATTTTCCGGATGAGTGACCAGGTTAAGGTTTTTGGAGCAGATCTCATTTCCAAGTAACTATAAGCCCTATATTGACCAAACTTGCATGGATGATACATCTAAGGATGCACACTACTGGACTTGCTTCAGATGCTGGATCTGACCTATATTTTCCGGATGAGTGACCAGGTTAAGATTTTTGGAGCAGATCTCATTTCCAAGTAAATAAAAGGCCTATATTGACCAAACTTGCATGGATGATACATTTAAGGATGCACACTACTGGACTTGCTTCAGATGCTGGATCTGACCTATATTTTCTGGATGAGTGACCAGGTTAAGGTTTTTGGAGCAGATCTCATTTCCAAGTATCTATAAACCCTATATTGACCAAACTTGCATGGATGATACATCTAAGGATGCACACTACTGGACTTGCTTCGGATGCTGGATCTGACCTATATTTTCCGGATGAGTGACCAGGTCAAAGTTTTTGGAGCAGATGTCATTTCCAAGTAACTATAAGGCCTATCTGATCAAAACTTGCATGGATGATGCATCAAGGGACGAACAATCTCAAAACTTGCTTCGGATGCTGGATTTGACTTACATTTTCTGGAGGAGTGACTAGTTTTAAGTTTTCAGATAAGTCTATTACCAAGTAACTGCAAGCCCTATCAGACCAAAATCGCATAAATGTTGCATCTAGGGATGCACACTCCTAGATTATTAGTTTAGTGTGGGACTTTGCCTTACTTAAAGGCAACATTCGTTGAGGTGAGCTCTGTAATCTCTGATTACCTATGTTTATTTATCTATTACTTACAAGTCCACATGATCATTAAAACTATGAAAATACTTTTTGTATTATACAATAAAAATTCTTTCATAATTCTCTTATTCTATTAATTTTTCAAGTACATTATTTACAATGATTAATTATCAAAAGTAAACGGCAAAGGGGAATAACTCCTCTCAGTAGAATGCAAATTAATTGAGCCCTGGCTAGGACAAGAACACTTGACCAAATGGTCCAGATGTTCAAAAATCTGGTAAAAATACACTTCCTTATTACAACTTTTACACTTTTTGCCTATGATATGCCCAAGTGCAGAGAAGATTTTTAAAGAAATAATGCATTTTCACTACAGATTCACTATATTATCAATAGAGCCCCCCCCCCCCCCCCCTCCCCTCCCCTTCACCACCGAGAAACACCAGAGCCTCTCACCCTGGGACCAGAAGTTTCAAGTTTGCTCATCATAAGTAATCACTTTGTTTAACTGCTTAACATTAAGGAGCAGACAGGATCATTTAATAGAATTAATGCATTTTCACTACATTATCAACAGCCCCATCCTTATACCAGCACATCTGACCCAGGGGTCATGCAATTCACTACTCTGGAAGAAGCACTCATGCTCATCATAACTATATACTTAGCTTCTTTGCTTTTTAACCAGAAGCAGAAAAGAATATTTTCAAAGAAATTTCGATTTTTCACTATATAATCAATAGAGCCCCCCCCCCCCCCCCCACCTTTTGACCAGGACCCTTGACCCTGGGGCCATGACATTCACAATTTTAGAAGAGGCATCCTTGCATATCATAACAATGTACTTAGTTTGTTTAAATAGTACCCAGGGGCAGAGAAGAAGATTTTCAAAGAAATAATTCACCTTCACTATAGGAGCTATATAGCCCCACCCTAGCACAAGAACCCCTGTCCCTGGGGTCATGAATTTCACAATTTTGGAAGAGGTGTCCTTGCTTATCATAATAATGTACTTAGTTTGTTCAAATAATACCCAGAAGCAGAGAAGAAGATTTTTAAAGCATTAATGCATTTTCACTATATGATAAATAGAGCCCCGCCCTAACATCAGAACCCCTGACCCAGGGGCCATGAAATTCACAATTTTGGTAGAGTAACTCTTGCTTATCATAACTATGTATTAAATTTGTTTAAATAATACCCAGGAGTAGAGAAGAAGATTTTCAAAGAAATAATGCATAATGCACTTTCACTATATGAACTATATAGCCCCCCCCCCCCCCCCCAGCACCAGAACCCCTGACCCTGGGGCTTGAATTTCACAATTTTGGTAGAGTCACTCTTGCTTATCATAACTATGTATTTAATTTGTTTCAATAATACCAAGGAGTAGAGAAGAAGATTTTTAAAGAAATAATGCATAATGCACTTTCACTATATGATCTATATAGCCCCACCCTAGCACCAGAACCCCTGACCCTGGGGCCATGAATTTCACAATTTTGGTAGAGGGCTCAATGCTATTACAATCATGTCAACAGTTTGACTGCTTGATGTCCAGGAGTAAAGAAGAAGATTTTTAAAGATTGCATTAATTTTGATGGTTTTAGCCCCACCCCTCAGGCCCCAGGGGGGCAGGGACCATGAAATTCACAAATTTTGTTCCCCTTCACACATAGATGCCATATGCAAAAATTGGCTGAAATTGGTTCAGCGGTTTCAGAGAAGAAGCTGAAAATGTTCAAATGTTAACACACGACGGACGACGCACGACGACGGACGAAAACAGATAGCAATAGGTCACCTGAGTGACTCAGGTGACCTAAAAATATATTAACAATTTAAGAATGCATATTTACAGTGTAAAAATACATACAACCAGTATAAAGATACACAAATGTTAAGAGCTACATTCACTTTGTAAGCATTTGAATTATAAGCATAAAATATTTTGTATGATAGTGCATATGTTCATGTATAATGTATAAGACAATAATGGTTATGTATTTAGGGAGCATCCAAAGTTGAAGAAAACTCACAAGATGGCTGTAGATGACCTCAGTGACCTCGTGTGTAATGTACCTAAAAAGGGTAAGTTTATGATAGAGGCATTTAATAATGTTGTAAAACAACTTTCTCTTTCAATGAACAGGGGAGTGGAAGGGGGGGGGGGGGGAACTTGGCATTAATATAGAAATATACATGTATAAATAGAAAGCAGCAAAATAGCCATTTACAAAAGCATTATACAGGGATGGGCACGATTACTGAAAAATGTAATTGATTAATAATCGATTACTTAGAGGAATTATTAATCGATTACACTCATTTTTGTCCTGTAATCGATTGTAATCGATTACTTTGGAAGATGTAATTGATTAATAATCGATTACTTCCAAGTTTTTATCTCTTCAAATATCAAAGCAATATCTAAATGGTAAATGTTGATGTTATCCACTGAAGTTTGAATGTGTTCCTGCAGTTTCAGTGCAGATTCTTTAAAGGTTTTATTCTGGCTATTAACATTCTCACTAAATGCCCAAATGAGGGATTCTCTACTTATAGTGGAGACATGATTCCTACAATAAAATATGCCAAGGAATTAATTATTCCTTTCAACCTTGGATCTGAACCTCCATATTTATTGACTTGTTGAAAAAATTATTTAAAATTTTATTGTGAATTACTTCATTAGAAGTATTTGGGCTGCCCGTATGTTGACAGTACACATTAAACATTCCTGTACGTGTCTTTTTTTAAAAAATAAGTAAATTAGAATGAGCTCTTAGTAATAAACATGTAAATTAAACGTGTCCTTAAGTAATTTAAATAATACATGTAGCACAATTTCATTCTGTATTGAAATAAGTGTTTTGAGAGCTATTAATTGTTTTAATAATACTGTTTGTCTTCAACATGTTCAACGGAATGAAAGTTAAACACTAGGTAGTTCACAGTTTACACCTCATTATCTGCAATCAGGAATATGTCTTAGTCAATTAATTAGCCAATTAAGATAAGCCAACACAGTGACACTTACTCCCTCTCTTACAGACACTTATAACCTAGCTCTCACTGATAATTAAAAGCAACCTTACAATTTTGAATGAAAACATGAGAATGATTTTGCAAATTTTAAAGTTACTGAAACACAAGTTTGAAGTTGTTTAAACATTTTCAGATATGAATAAGTATTTCCATCTTCTTTTTTTCCGAGTACAATGTAGTTTATTTACCAAATTATTTATATTTTATAGAGCACTTAAATCTGTTTTTGTTATTTATAATTTTCTATTACAAGACAAAGTTTTTCAACATCTGAAATAAGAAAAAGGACATGCAGCAAGAGGACAGTGGGTCATATGTAAAATGCACATGAAAAATCTGTATATTTTATTAATAAATGGTTGAAATACACTTCTGAATTATTTAATACTAGACCAGTAGGTCTATAATGCAAATTTTATTGAGAACATTATTAAACTTATGATAAAAAAAGGTTAGGAAATCCAAACATTACACTAGGTGGTTTATATTTGATATTTATGTGTGACTGACTGGAAATAATTCTCCAAAATAACATCCATTTATGTATAAAATAACCGAAGGTAATCGAAAAAGTAATTATAATTACATTGAAAATTTTAGCTGTAATCGATTAAATTACGATTACAAGTAATCGAAAATCTCTTCGATTACAGATTACTGTCGATTACTTGAAAAACAGTAATCATTACAATCAATTACGATTACTCGATTACGATTACCCCATCCCTGGCATTATAGTCAGTTTTCTGATTCCATATGTTCTAATAGTAAGGAGATGGGTGAACATAGCGTGCAGAAAGCCTATAGCTTCAGATATATAAAAATCATGTTCAGTTTGTGAATTTAGTTTATAGAGTAAAGTTCTCATTATTGAAATTATGAAATTATGATAACAAAACTTTTCTGAGGAAAATTTTCTCGGCAAAATTTATTCTTTTACTAAAAAAAATAATGCTAGGGTTCGAACCCTAGCAATAAAAATCCTGAATATCATTTTCTTTCGAGACTAGCACGCTAACCACTAGACTACACAAGACCTGACGAAGAGTGGCATTTAAATCATGTTTGTGATATGACCCTTGACTTGATGGACTTCAAGTATTTCTCGAAAAGATGCAAATGTTATGTCATAAAAGTATATTTTTAAGGTATAGTGGGTCATTGCTCCATATTTTTGGTAATCAAAGAATGTATATTTTTATGCAAATTTTGAGGATTAACTTTCAAAAAGGTGGAGCAAAGACCCACTCATATCGAAAAATAGTGTTATAGTATGAGAAAATGACTCTTTTTGCCCGCTTTAGTGTGTGTCTAATATTTCACAGGCAAATAATTTCAATCTTTGAGGGATTTTTGCAAATTGTAGAGATTTTACATAAAGTATATTTTAATGTTAGACGAAATATCAAGGAAAATTTTGATATAATTGAAATTCAATTTTTCATCTTCATGTTTGTCACACTATGGGCTTATCGCTCGTCATGTTCACCCATCTCCTTTTAGTTTCTTGTAAACCTTTGACCAATTCTATTTCATTTCAGGCACATTTGACTTGAACAAAGTGCTGGAATCAGAGTATTTCTTCAGCTGATTCAATAAGTGATATACCAGTTGAAATTTATGTGACACATTTACCATAAAGCTGATCTGTGATCTTTTGGAGATGCATTGTAATTTTAACATATCTGTGATTTTTATATATAAACAACTTTAAAAAAAATGAATCCAACCAATTTCATTCAGAACAGTGTGTTCTTTATCTCATAACTTCATGTTTTTATGTGTTTTAAAAAACACACACAGCAACTTACAAATTACATCAGGAAGTTCTATTTTCCATCAGTATTCTTATGTTATTTTGTTACATGTTGACTTGTTTGTTTATAAACAATGAAATAAAAAAATCATCTGAAAGAGTGTTTAACAGGGGTTAAATGATATTGTTTCCAGGCCCAGTTATCCTGGTGCAGGTCAGTAATTTTATGTTCAAAGCTGAATCACATTAACACAGTCATTGATCATAATAGATCGTTTTCCCTTTGTTTGAGCTTATATTGGCTTTAATATCTGCCAACTGAAATGTGTGTAAAATTTTATTTGGAGTGAGAGCTGTTCTACCAAGACTGATACTGCTGATGGGACAAACACCATAACCAGATTCACTCAAGCATAGAAAGTATGTCGAAGCAGTATCTAATGATGCATCATATTTGCATGTTTAGCTTGTGTGTGTGTGCACACGTGTATCTTTTGTAAGATACTGCTTAGTGTAGTGTTTTTAGAAAAAAATCACAAAATTGTGGTAAGTAACCTTGGCAACACTTTCAATCAAAAAGCTTTATGCAGAATTATGTATGCAGGTCACTGAAATCGGACTGAAAATGTAATTAGTTTTTTGAAAGAATTGCAAGAGAGTTCCACTTTTAGTAGCTATGTCAATGCTGCGGATCGAAATCAAAAATAGAAACAGAAGAATACATTTCAGGGCATGCTACTTTTGTACCAAATCTACTGAACTGGAACAAAACTAGGAGTAGTAGTATTTTGAACATTGTTTACAGACAGATGGAAGGTGGACACCTTAACCATCACTTAAGCCCGTCTGGTCTCCGACAACTTCATTGTAGGGGTATAAGCTGGCAGACTTGTTTTCATATGAAAAATTAATAGTTTATCTTCATCTTCAATGAAGCAATGACAGAATTCAAACATCTAATGTTTTCATAATTCTCTTAGAAGAATGGATATGACAATATGCCAAGCATCAATTGATGTCCCACAACATGAACAAATTCAATTTAAAAATTTTTTTTATTTTCACAGTACATGTATACTATATGGATTGAAAACAGAGATTATTTCTAAGATTGATATAATTATGTAAATCCCTCATCACAGAGGTCTTTTTCAATTCTATTATGCAAGAAACATGGTTACCATATGTACAAGTAAATTGGCTTAAGTTAATACAATAATATATCAGACTGGCATATGAAAATTCTTATCATAAAGAAGGCATTTTATGCAAAAAACATGTTGTGTAGAAAGTTAACTAGAAGAGAAATGCCAGCAAACAGTAACATGAATGGAGCCATTGCATAGCTAAGCATGGTGTTTTTGTTCAGTCCAAATGACCTTGCTTGTCCATGAATAACCAAGAGATACTGGTCAAACTGCTTTGCAGCGAGTTTGTCATGAGGGAAAGGATAAGGTGCTCCCAAGCGATGGGCGGCGGCTAGACCAGATATCGTAGCAATTTCATGAGTATTGATCAGCGTGTAAGCTCCACAGTACCAGGAGTTCTGCTTCCCTTGTATGTATCTAACAAGAGGTACCACGAAGGCATAATGATGCCAGCTGTGGGCAAACTGTCGCCACCAGCGCCTCAGTAGGACCTTGTCCGGATCAAGGTCTTTCTCTGTCCAAGTTGATCGAAGTTTGTCATTCAAATAAATGGTTTGGTAGATTATGCTATGTTTTCCTCTCAGATGTGGTTGATAATTTGTCAAGTTAAAAGACATCTCTACTTTTTCTGGATCTTCTTCATCTGTGTGAATAAAATACTGGTCAACATCCTTGTGTAGTTCGTAATATTTGTTCATGTAATCTTCATCCTCATGAGTTATGATAAGATCATTGAAATATCGAACATTTCCTAAGGCTTTACGCTCCATAAAAGTTGGGTTGTCCAAAACTTTCAACACTGTTTCAGCATCACAAGCAAATATGATTTCATCAAAATCCTCCTTTTTACCTGTGTGATCAGTAACTTTGACTTTTCCAGGATGTCTGCTGACTTTCTCCACACTTCTGTTGCCATGGAACTTCACACCACAATTGTCCATTATGGTTTTGTACATGTCCTCAAGTTTTGGAAAGGCAAACATTTCTGGCGTTTGACTTAAAAGTCTCTTGGAATCATAATCAAACAGCCTAAGATCATCATCAAGAAAAACTCGGGCCATTATAGCTGAGGAGACAAAAGGTGTCTGGTTCCCCGTCCCAAAAAACAAAGCTGTGAGAGGAAAAACCATGTAATTACAAAAGTCCTCAGAAAAGCCATACCATTTCAGGACTTTGGCAATAGGCAGGAAAATGAAAATGGCCTCAAACTTGTTGATAATTTTAAGAACTTTCTCAAATCTTGCAATATCATCCTTCAGTTTTTCAGTTAATTCAGAAGGAGCATAGTTGGTCCAGGCAGTTTTTCCTTTGCCAAAAGAAACTGTCAGTTTCACTGGGCTGACTTCAAGATTAAACTCCTTCATAATGTTTAAGAGGTTTCTGTATGTTGGACATCCTCCTTGAACTCCTTATAAAATTAAAGAAAAATAATAATAAAGTAAGCTTCCTAAAGAACTTAAAATCAATCTACTCTCTATAAATTTAATTCATATTAACACTTAATGTCACAATTCAAGGGACATAACTCTGTGACTTACCATCATTGATAATTACTCCTCCCTTGATTTCTGAGGAGGTGGCTACTCCTCCTGGCACGCTGGATTTCTCCCAGACCTGGACTTCAAACTTCTCAGGACAACGTGACAGGCTATATGCAGCAGCTGTTCCTGCAGCCCCTGATCCAATGATTAAGACTTTCTTCGGCATCTTTCTATATTATCAAGGAATAGTTGTAAGCATATATATACACATAACAGGATTAAAATTGATACAATGACAAGGAGGCCATAATAAAAGATGACACGCACACACACTAGTATGGGGCCTTTACAGGTATGACACATTCTATATACAGTCAAACTTCATTATCTTGAATTTGATGGGGCTGAGAAAAAGTTTGAGATATCCAAGTATTTGAGATATCAAGGGTAAAATACTTAAGGAATAAGTGGTTGGGACTTCTAATTCATTTCGACTTATCCATGGTATTCCAGATATCGATCGGTTTTCGAGATACTGAAGTTCAAATGTATCTTGAATCATGATCTATATTATAGCTTGATTTAGCTATTTTTTCATACTTTCTTTTTAAATGTGCATTTTTTTCAGCAAGTGAAAAACGTGGCACTTTGGTGACATTGATATACTTTTCAATTTTGTTCTATTTTGAAAACATTATGCATGTCGAGAAATTCACCTTAATGTGTCTCCTTCATAGCATTTGCAATCAAGCTCTGGGACTATATTGATTCCTTATTAGTTATTACCTTATTACATATATTTATATTTGTGACTGATTTATAACAAATATTGAATACTATAGATTTAAACCCATGAAATGATTTATATTTTTTTCAAATCTCAACAGTATAAATTGAATGTTTTGAATAGGTCTACCACTTATTACATCACTGTGAAATGACAACAATCGTTTATGACTTAACAATGTATTTATGGTCATGGGACGAACCTGTTTAAATGCAGGATTAAAATGCCTTATTCAAATAGTGTTATATAAGGGAAAACATTAGCAAATGTAAATATTTTTTGTTAAATAATGACATTAATTATTAAGTAATTCTGGTGAACACAATGTGAATTTAAGTAATCATACCCACTTATCTATGCTTATAAATGGCACGCTGGGTAATACATCTTTTGCTTAAACATGTTCAAAGTGGTCAAAAGCAGCAATGTTTAAACTATCTTTGCTTTTTTAGTAGTCCATAGTAGTAAGCAAAAAATATTAGAAATCACGATACTAGCAACTTTTTGTATTTCCTAAAAACCATACTAATGAAGAAAAAAACATTAATCAAGCTATTCCTAATAGATTATTCAATTAATTAAGCTATAAAGCTTAATCAATAGACTATGCTGGGCCTGCTTAAGGTAATTGTCACTGACATCAGCTTTTAAGAAAAATTCAGTCAGAACCTCTCACTTCAGAACTATTTATTAAAATTCAATTTTTGTAACATATTTAAATTAAAACAATGGAAATTATACAACATTGAACAATTTAAAACCTGCATGGTCACAAAATCATAAAGAAACAAGATTTATGGGGGAATATTTCTTTTGATGGAAGCATATTTTAGAAGAAAATTCTTCAAATCTACACATTTGTTAAATTTAATACCTTGGAACTTAATTAGCATGTTTAGCCCTACATATTTTTAATCAGAGCATTTTTTTTCATTTTTATATGCTAGGAATATTAAATATTAATTGGTTTCAATTAATATTTTTATTAATATTTTTATATTAACATTTTTAGAACAAATTTCACACATTCATTCAACAGACTTTACCAAGAAATGAAGATATTGAAGAAGTCAAGATAAAATTAACACTATTTGTGGCCTGAAAATTGCATATTTTGACCATTAATTATCTCAAAATTTACATCAGTGGCACCCCATCTTTTTCTTTCATTATTGACCAAATTATCTAAAAATTTACATCAGTGGCACCCCATCTTTTTCTTTCATTATACTTCAAACCGATCAGCACTAAAGTCATAACAAGCTTGATACAATATTTTATTGCCTATTTAGATATACTCATTAAGTGCGAAAAGGTCACACAATTTATGTGCGTTAATTTGCATGATTTGTCCAATAATAAATATATTCAAACTATTTTACGCAAATTAAGATTATATTTATAGCCATGATTACATCTGGTAAAGTATGATAAAGATTAAAGTGATTAACCTAAGAGTTACAATTTAAGTGCAAAAAGGTCAAGTTCATCGTACGATGCACACTGACCCCCAGTTTTCTTTGCGATTTTAAGCCATGCTATATGAGTACTTACCGGTATATCAAAAAATATACTTCTCAAAAATTCCTTGACATAATTAATTTAATGAGTGACATACCTTAAGTGTTTAAGTTATGAAATTATAGAAGATAACTATTAATTTTTATGATTGCCATGCATTATCTTCAAAAGTATATTATGCATGGATCCATTGTGGGTCCACGACAGAAAGACATTTATCACGTAAATGAAGGCTGAAGTTAGTTTTGTAAAGAGCAACTTGCATCATAGACATATAAACATGATAAATAAAATGGTACTTACCATGCAGATTACTATACAGTTGAAAGCACACCTTCGTTGATTAATGTATCATGTTAATATTTTAACAGACAAAATAGAAGTAAATCTGTCTTAGCGACAATTGACCTCACATTAACTTATGAAACCAACGTTATTGTTATTTACCGGCTGTTGCGTAACGTAAAGGGTCACATTTTTCTCCACCTGATCAGCTGTTTGTAAACAACATCCGGGCATTTTGAATATGGACGCGCCCACTGCCTATGTTGTGGTGTATTAGGAGATAATTATATTAGGCCCTAATTTTTTGATGTTCATATATTATTACATATTTGCTATAATACTTGCTATGACCTGAAATGACGGCTTCCTTTGTAAACAGGTACAGTGATACATTTCGTCATTTTGTTGAGGTAATAGACAGAACTCTTGATGTTGGTAGAATGATTTGATAAAATGTTGATACATTTATGCAGACCTGTCAGTTCAGTTTGGTGGTTGGGGGTTCACAACCTAATAGTCATCAAAGGTTATAATTGAGGTGGCAAAACTGTTCATTTGTTTTGTTTCCTATACTGTATAGTATATCAACAAAATGATCATTGGGAGCTCCCCCCCCCCCCCCCAAGCCTCCTTTAAGCCTGGATTGACTGGAATGTTTTGTTGATAATGATAACGTGATTGAAAAGACACCGCATCATGACATGGACCCAGTCAAGCTTAGTCAAGCCACTTATCTTTATCTAAATTGTCTAGGTGTTAACCTGAAGTAGGATTGTTTCAGGTTAACTGGGTGGGGGGTGGGGGGGGGGAGGGGTTGGTACATACCATAGAAAACCAGTCTGTCAGAGTAGAAGTGCCATCTCCATTCACCCCATGGCTTAAAAAAAAATGCAACTTACATGGCCGTAGGAACCGGGGGGTTTTGCCGATATATAGATTACTATAGTAAACATAGATACTATATGCTTGTGCCCCCTCAATAAAAACGTCTGATGACCTTTTTTCTTTTTTGCTTGTCAAGGAATTTTTGTTAGTTGATGACTTTTTTTCAGCTTGTCAGGAAATTTTTGGTAGTGCCCCCTCAACTGTCAACTGAAAAATGTATGGCTGTGCCCCCCCCACACACACCTGAAATTGCTTCCTACGGGCCTGACTTAAATTTTTTTTAAAGGAAGCACAAATATAAAATTTTAAATCAATATTGGAAAAAAGAGGGAGAAATGTTTATGGTAATTTTTCAGTTTATACTTTGACTACATGTAAGTGAATTCATTGTCAAATATTAATACATTTGATAACTGGAGTAACTAAAATATGCTAGGAGTATTGATATTTATCTTTTGCAGAACCTTATAACACAATACAGCTGTATATTTATTATTATTATCCTGCCTCTGGTTAAAAACACAAAATATGTCATTCAGGTTGAGAAGAGTATATAAATAATATAATATAATTAACCATATCATGCTGCCTACTGACATGATATTATCAATATGTTCCCTCCAAATGATCAACTGACTAGATATCAAATCAATATACTGTATGTGTACTTAAAAAAGCGGGCTTCATATTTTAGCGGCTTTGGCGCAGACAACGATGCACTAATTCATGAATACCGCTAAGAAATCATTTACGAGTACAATACAGTGAATACACGGCTACAACATGTAGTGCTAATTCATGATTACACCAACAACTGCATACCTCTTGATTGCGCTAAATTTTGAATGTGCCAATTTATGTACAGGTACAGTATCCCCTCCACATGCCCTACTGACTAAATATCAAATTCCATGTTATTTTCACTTGACCTCGATGTCACAATGTAAACAATTACTGAACAGATTGCTTCACTTAGAGAAAATGAACTTTTTAGTAAAAAAAAAAAACATTGACAGGATAAATTTGTTTTGACGTAGACACTTAGACGGATAATGCAGAAATATATGGGGTCAAAAATGTATGCATTTTTTTCAAGGAGATCCCATATATTTCTGTATTACCCCTTTAAGTGTGTGTCTACAAATCTAATATTGTGTTGGAGTATCCTCCCAGTGATTTTCTTAATATTTCAGAAGCTTAGTCTGATCACTGTAGATGTTGAAACACAATGTTGTCCCCAGGATCTCTCCTTAGTCAGGAGTGGTACAATTCCTCTGCAGGGAAAGGGGTCTTAGCATCTCTCACAACACAGAATCTACTGAAAAGAAAACCATTTGGTACGTACTTGATATTAAATATACATTTAACAAAATAATATTCTTCTTGTATTACGTGTACATGTACTAATTAAGTACTTTGAACAAAGAATACGAACAAGCTACCATTTGAAATTCATTAATACTGTAGATCTTCTGAATTCCTCTGATGTTGCTCTGATTCACCTGTAAGTGTAACCTGTCTCCCTCTTGTAACACTTGCTATGTCTACCGTGGTAAATCAGAGTTGTTTATACTTCAACTTATTGTAGCTACATTTGGAGTATATCCTGTACAAATATTAACAATAAGGTACTAGTACATAAATTTTTAGTTGAATAATATTTAACTTTTACAATTTTGATTAACTCAAGTTTTACATGTATCACATCAAAGCAAGAAAAGATGACAGTGTTTATTGTTAAATGACATATGTGGTTTTTGCTTTCTAAGCTTCTTTCTCTTTTCTTATTCAGGAATTTTAGACAAACCTATATTAACAACCAATACAGTAACAGATGAAGTGAAGTACAAGATTCTCTTGGTGGGGAAAAGTGGAGTAGGAAAAACTAGTACTATAGCAAAGTTATCAGGGAATGACATTCCTACATCTCACAGTGAAACTCCAGGTAAGGTCAGGTCATTTCATAAACTCAAAATGACAAGAAATGCAGTTGGAATTAAATATATTTAAATGACATTTTATTCTTCAATATACGACTACTTCAGTATATTCTGTTAAAATTACAACTTGCATGTATGATTCACTGTTAGTTCACAAACAGGCAATAATATGATTTTCTTGTACATGTCCTTTGCAGTACTTGCACACATTGACAGATCCATCAATTTCCATATATATTTTCTCCAAGAGCCACAATAGTCATGGTATAAACATACATGTGAATGTACTATATTTTGTTTGTATTTTTGACAGGAATCCAGACCACTACCACTCCTTGGCCTGGGATGGTAAAACAACTGAACCGTGTTGTGATGTTTCAGCTGCAGTTTTGGGATGTTGGTGATGGTGCCATGAAGAAGTATGAACACATTAAAGCGGTCAGTATGGTTGGCTATATATTAGCTGTATTCACTTACCTGCAGTAGCACTCCTTAGTAAGAAATGCTTTTTTCACTATTGACAGGGTGGTATGTACTAAAAAGATAGACAACTTTTTCGAGCCACGTTTATTTGCCCAAAACATCACATTTTTTCGAACTAGATTTATTCCCCACAAATTTTTTTACGTTTCAAATTGGTTTTCTTCATATGCTTTTTATTTTAATATAACTACAAAACTTCTAATCAGTTTTATAACTCAACTACCACCATATATGTTTAAAAGATTTCTGTAACTACAGAGTCCATGTAGTTGTGAAAATAATTAATTGGAAAAGCTAAATCTTAGAAATGTTTGATGTTTCTTTCAGACCTGGGAAAATCAGGCAGATTGTGCAATATTTCTCTTCAGTTTTGTGGACAGAGGGAGCTTTGAGGAAATCCCTCAGCATATAACCAGAATGACAAAGCCAAAAAATAACTTCGCCAAGCTTGTTATTGGAACAAAGTATCCTTTATGCTTTTACAATTGAACTGTGGTATCTCAAGAAACTATTACTATATCTTGAATACCACTTCATGGAATATATTGAAGTGAGGTGGACATTCTAACATGTATTTTTATGTATTTTTGATAAGCTCAATATCTCGAATCCTTGGATATGTCCACACAAAAAATCTCAGTCCCAACATTTTGAGATTTTTAACAAGACTTAGTGTGAGGTTTTACTATAGTATAATACCAGAGTACATTTTATTAGTACATTTACCCATGTATGTGTTTATATAAGAATTTAATTTAGAAATGGGCTTGCAAATAATATTTCTAATTTTACAGTAACATTTTTAGGCCTGTTTTTCCCTTGACTAGTTCAGATTTGATCAGCATGCACACAGTGAGGTCACGCAAAGGGATATCAGGGACTTTGAACACAACTGGAAAATCCCTGTTCTAAAAATAAGAAATGTTCCTGATACGGAGACTAAGAATGATATGAATGAAGTTTCTCAGATATTGATCACTATAAGTGAACACCTGTGGCATCGTGATATATTGTTGGCAGGTAGATCTGCTTCCACCAGTGATGGAAAAATTTCAGCATGTTGAGAATACCTCAAAATGTGTTTTTTGGGTTTTTTTTTTATAAAAATATCAAAACTTTTTGTGTGATATTTTGTACATGATGTCATGTCTTATGACATTGTTGAAGATATTTTTCTAAAAGATGAAGTTGTTTTCCTTTTTGACATATCCCCCCCCCCCCCCCCACCTTAAAAAAAGAACAAAGTACTTCTTGCAGGATTTTATTTTAGACGATTAATTATAATTTAATAAGTATTCTTTGACTAGAAACGTTTTTACATTTCTTGAAAGATTATTTGCCACCAGATGCTGGTGAAGGAATTCAAATTTGTAACTCGACATTGAGCAATGAGGGAGGCGGAGGGATCTTAGCTCTCCAAATGACTGAACAGATTTATTTTAGTACTATGTCATTAAGCTCTGTCATGACAAACATGCTACCACACTTGCTTTGGATGCTGGATCTGACCTACATTTTCCAGATGATTGAACAGATTAAAGTTTTGGACAAGTCCACTTCAAGTAACTTAAAGCTCTATGGTGACCTTTGCATGCATGATACATCTATAGGGATTTCCACTACCAGACATGCTATGGATGCTTGATCTGACCTATATTTTCCAAATGATTGACCAGATTAAATTTTTAGGAGTAAGTCTCAACTAAGTATATAAGCCCTACAATGACCTAATTTGCATGCATGATACGTCTAGAGATGCACACTACCAGGCTATTTGGGTACCACATCTGACCTATATTTTGCAGATGATAAAATAGTTAAAGTTTTTGGAGCAGGCCTACTCCCAAGTAATAAGTCCTACCCAGACTTGCACAACAATATTTCTTTTAATGAACTTTCATGTGGTGTGATATTTCACATTACTTCTAAATAATATTCATAGAGGTGACCTTCATAGTCTTTGGTTACATATGTTTTTTTAGGAAGGGGGGGGGGGGGGTCATGGTGTTGCAGACATTTTAAAACTAAGTACACGAGTGCCCTGTAACCTGCAATACTGGTGTATAGTTACTGAATATATGTCACAAGTTGTAAGTTACTTCAGTAAACTTTGAAAGTAATGCAAATGGTATATCTTAATCACATGCTTATTTGATTATCCAAACCAATTGTATGATGAGACGAAAATTCTTAATTAAAATGTAAAGTTTGTCTTTTAGTCCTTTTTCTGATTGTAGTATATAAATAGTATTGAATATTGAAAAAAGGCAGGCACAATAATGTGTTAAGCAATATGAGGTTTTGTAAATTTTGGGGTCAAAATGATATAGAAGACAAGTTTCATTCTATTTTGAAATGTTCATTTTGTCAGTCGTACAATCTGTAAAATTAAAAAGATTGCATTGTGATGTTATGTCAGTCCGTATATAGTTTAATTCTGTAAGTTGTACAACATATAATGTGATCATTTCTTTCTTTCTTTTAATCAGACATTCTCTCTCTCTCTCTCTCTCTCAGTTAACCAGACCGAAGTTCCCCTGTCATATTCACACTGATTTCGAGTATTTTATTTTAAAAGACCTTAACATTGTTTGAGAACTTCACTCCCTAGGATTGAAATTCTTTAATAATGAAGTGTCAGTTTGATTTTTTACCCCTACTGCCTCGTTACCAGCAGTTAATCTGTTATATAAATATTGATATGTGCAAATAAATTCTTACCACCCACTTTTGAAATTTGTCCGTTTTAAACAAAAGGATTCACCACTTGAGATGTTTAATATTATCGTATCAATTTCACCTCACCGTGATGACTTAGGAACTGCCGAGGCGAAAATCAAGTTTTCAAGAAGTCTCGCTAAATGCCCAAATATATATACCGACGGCATATATTTAAATATGCATATTAAATTAGAGTCTTTCTGAATGATGGATGTAAAAAGTTGTCTGTTCTTTCTTTTTGTTCATGGTAGGTATGATCACGCAATTAAAAAAAATTAAATATTTAATTAAATAATAATAATAATAATAGTTTTAACATAGATTTTGCATACCATGCAGTATCTAAACTTATTTATTGATTCTTAATATCTTGTACAATGATAGTAATTTCACAGGCACTTGGTGTTTTATACATTTATCTTCATAACAAAATCCCCGTATTATAACAGTTACTGTTATAGCATGGAGAATTTTTATTAATATTGAAAACATGGAGTCATTGCAGTTAATAGGATATAAAAGATTTCAGATAATTTTACATGTACTACTATCGTTTCCGATATACTTTATATTTTTTTTTTAAATGAAATAATGTTATTGGGCTTTAATATACTTACAATCAGATTGGTATATGGAATACATTATACATATTTATTGAATATTTATAATTGAACTTTTGATTACATGACAACTGTGTACTTTTTATTCTGTTTTCCTCCGTTTATTGTAATTGAGAGTAAGAATTTTTGGCGTAAATATGATGACCATAAAAAAGCTTTGTGATGCAAGTCTCTTAACTGATCTTGTTTTCATGAACACACAAAAAGCATGTTTTGTTTTTGTTTTTTTTTTAACCCCAAAAGTTTGCATAAGTTAGTAATTCATGTGTTTTTGATACGGAATTTCGTGGCCAATGCGAAGAAAAACTGAAAATTTGATTTCCTCAGGCTCAGGTTCTGAAAATCAGCAGTTGTTCACATAAATGTCACTAAAATTCACAAAGTAATGTAAATATACCCATATTATTTCTTCCGCAAAGTTCATCATTATAGTTAATTACATATTACTAGTATATAGGGAAAACTACCAAATCTCAAATATATTTTCAGAAAACCTAAATAAAAGTACAAATTATTTAGTTTCTAATTGAAACACCAAAAAGTATATCTTAGGATAATAAACTATAGGTATCCAGGTATTCAGAATAATTGTGTTTTTTAAAAATACTTTTGCAGTATTTTACTTCTTAACTCTATTAATTCATTTCATGCTAACAACATTCGTACCTAAGGCACTATTAAAGAAAATGCAGGATTTCTAATTTTAGAAATCATAGACTACTGGTAATGAAACAAATGAACAAAATTTAAAAGGGCGCTTTCGATTTATGTGTATGATAAAGTTTGTCAATTACTTCCAACCACTCTTAAGGAGGGATTCTTGTCTGGTTTCTGACTAGATGAAATATTCAAAGTATATTTGCTTATATGTTGTATACATTTATATGCAAGAGATTTAAAAGATCATATTTTTCTTTCCTCATCACAATTGTACAACTTTAAAATAGAAACTGAGTTTGAAATCTATCAGGGACTATATTTTTGGCGGAATGGCGGCGTATGAAAATATCTTCTTTTCTGCCTCTCAAAATAATTATAGAACAATGAATTTAGTTATAATTTTTACACAATCAAAGACTTGGAGAAAATTTTTAAATGTAAGTTAAATTAATGATAAGGAACTAAAGTTTTAAAATATATAAAAAAAAATATGATTTTCCAAACAAACTACAATTATATTAGCTTTTAAAAGCTTCCAATCTAAGTTCAGATTTGAGCCAAAAATTGGTAAAAAGTGTTTTTTCTCTCTTAGTTAATGGTCAAAACTTTTTGTTTTTATATCATTTTGTATATTTATGTGACAACTTTACCATAAGTGAAAATAAGAAAAATTTAAATATAGGAAGCATATAAAAATTACTAAAATATCTTAAAATTTTAAGAAAAGTAGAGAAAATTCGGATTAGCCAATATCCATTTTAGTTAAATTATTTATGTCAATTTGGTAACATCATCTTATAGACCCAATATGGTTATATCTCTTTATGCAAAAAGAAAAACATTTAATTTATTGAAATGGAAGTAGGCATCGCATGATTGGCAATAGTATTTTTTTAATTCTTAATATCCAGGGAAAAGGTACTGACCTTGACCTGACCTTGCCTCTAATATAAAATGGTCAAATTTAATCCAACTGATACCATCACTTAGTGATATTGTCTTCTTGATTCTGTGAAAATTTCATTGATTTTTAAATATAAGAAATAAGTGTTCTTATGAGAAGAATCCCTCCTTAAAACGCACTTTCGTGCATTACTTTAAAGTTAAGCGAAATACGTGTCAAGAACGTCCACTGGACAAATATGTTGAACCTCCTAAATGTTACGTATGTATTTTAAAATTGAGTAGATTTTATCAACTGACATTCATCGTGACCGTTTGAATTAGCACATTATGAACATATAATTGATTTTGTAATCGATAAAAAAAATTTGAATTTAAGGTAGAACCTATATCGGAAGAGTCTTTGTTACAGGATTTTCAAACTTTTCAAAATGAGTAATTAGCACTCGCTTGTTAATCAATTAAAAGTACATGGCATGTTTCCTTGTTATTAAATGTAGTGCAGCCGGTGCAGTCTACACTGCGACTATAATTAATTTTCAGCCATTTCTGGGGGTACATGGTCATAAGGAGAAATATAGAAAATCACAAAAATACTTCTTCAAACGTCTTCGTTTATAGACTTTATTAACTGAACAATAATTAAAAATATTATTCAAAATTAAATTTTGTTTCTTCAATTAATGTTTATAAAAATTAAATCCATATTTCAACAATTATATAGGCAAATACGCTCAATATTTTTTCAAAGGATTTTTTAATCAATCTACAACCCTAAATTTGTACATATTTACCAAAAGTCTTTGTGACAGTACTTTCAATCCTCAATATGATTAAAATTTATACCTTTCCCCGCAATGTATGTATCCCCTGTATGAGAGAATTTTTTTTAATAATTACTACTCATGTTGACCTTTTTGCACTTACACAGGATTTAATATTTGGTGTTACTTTCAGATTTACATTGTGAATATTTATCAAAAATGTAATTTTCTATTTAAAAAATTAATATTCTAGCGAAATATCATTATTATACACGAACTATTAAAAATTCATATGAATAATTAACAAATAATTATGAAAATGAATATATATACATCATTTTATAACTGATATTACAAGATTTTGCGCTATTGAAGAGTTATTGTTCCTGGCTGAGGAAGACCCCCCCCCCCACACACACACACACAACGAAATATGTGAGCAGATATAGTCCAGAGAGCATCAGTGCTATCGCTGTCACTTTGATAGTTTCTTTTTCCGTATTTTACAGCTATTCTGTTTGCAAAATCTTCACATGGAACAACGTAAGTTAAAAATTACTTATCATTAATATTTGAAATATATCTATCTCTTCTAATAAAACAAAGTCTCTCTCAATTTCTCTGTGTAAATATTTTTGCCAAAAATCACCTTTCTTATCGTTTTAGGCAGGTAGATCTTTTTCAGGAAGCCAACTAGGATGTTTCGAGCAGAATGCTGAAATAAGGCAAATTTTTAAAAAAGTATTTAATAACGAACATGTTTTGATACCCTTTAACAAATTATACAGAATTAAGACAAAACAGATAAAAGAAAATGAACTTTTAAAAGAAACAATTTATTTTAAACGATTTTTAAATTGGCACGTTGCCAAACACCGTTTATGTATGTTTGTTACGTTATTAGCTCTACAGGAGAGGGGTCATAAAAATTGACATCAAAGAATTAGCATTTAAAAAAGTATATGCTTTTAAAATTTTAAGCACAGGAATTTGCAGATCTCACAATTATTGCCTTTTTTATTTTCTGCGTGAATCCCATAGCATTTTACTATACTCCACAAAAATATAGGAAAATTTCGTAAAATTTTACATTTTGAGATGTTTTTTTTTGGGGGGGGGGATCCAGACAGTAGAATTTTGATATTGCTTACATATATCGAACAGTGTAATTTTACTCATTGCATATTAAATTCTCATTTATTATATCTTTTATCTGAAAAAAAAATCTATCGTAGCATTTTTTATTTTTTTTTCAAGCTCGAAAAATATCATACTAGTAATCCTTAAGTAAATGTACCAATAATTGGAAACGGTCATAGAAAATAACCAGATGGTAGATTTTTACGAATCTTGGCACTATGGTATATAAATGAAGTTTTTAAAATTGTTTTTCCACAGGAAAACCCTATGGCTCCCTTCAATGCGTGAAGTATTTATATTTTTTCTCCATTTTATGAAAAAAGACAAGTGTTTGTAAATATATATCCATGTAATTCATAGAAATTGTATTTTACAGCATAACATTTGTAACGATAACTATTTATTGTACATATATCCCAATAAAAGATTGAAACCTTATCAAAATTATCAATCAAGTTTTTTTTTTTTTGGAAAGGGGGGGGGGGGGAGGTATAGGGTTGGTGAGGGTGATTGTTTTTTAAATCAACAATAAATGATACTGTCTAATGTCTGCTATCGTACGTATTTGTTACCAATTCAATAGCTGGGAACGAGAGACTGAACAGTCGCTTGGACTGTGTAATTTGTAAGACAACAAAAAAGGGGGTGGCTCTTGGACCTGTTACTTTTAGGGCATCGTCAGAAACCCACGGCTGATTACGCTTCGTTCCCCTCTCTCCGTCACCCGGTGATGGAGAGAGGAACGAAGCGTAATCAGCCGTGGGTTTCCGACGATGCTTTTAGGGTAGAACACCCGTACTGAGAGCGACTGAACGAGTGTTCGATCTTCGTTTAATTATTTTATTTGCTTAATCACAGTGACAATATCTACGAATAAGCAAGTTCTCAAGATTTCAGAAACATTTTAAACTTTGAATTGGTAGATACGAGGAGTCAGTCTTTGAGAAATGTCTGTCCAGTAGTGGCGTGTTCGATTCCCTGACGGATCCTATGGGGAACTCGGTGGACGTGAGTAACCTAGAGGGCTTGGTGTTCGCTGTTACATCAATTCTCCAAAGCGGGACTATTTGCACGTAAGTCAGTAAAAAAAATTGTTGTGGTGCATATGATTATATTTTTCTTTGAGGGGAGGGGGAATGTTTAATCATCGATTTGTCTTTTCTTCCACTCTATTCGAAATCAAATCTTTCATCTCGTTCTTCTTTGAGATGAAAGTACATGTATATGTGCCAATTAAATTACATTTTTTTTTCTAAATTTAAAGATACAAGAATGCATATGTATCTTGCATTAATACGGATCTGCCCTCCTCCTCGTACGCTGTGGATGCCAGACTAAAAAATGTCATCAACGTCACCAAACTTGAAATGGAGATAAACAGCGTATGCAGCGCAGACATTACAAGTATTATATTTTTATGCCCCCGGATCGAAAGATCCCGGGGGTATATTGTTTTTGTCCTGTCTGTCTGTTTGTCTGTTGTCAACTTTAACCTTGCCCATAACTTTTGATTGGTTGGAGCTATGACTTTCATATTTCACATGTGTATTCCTTGTGACAAGACCTTTCTTTGGGTACCATCATATTTGACCTTGATCTTGGAGTTTGACCCACTTTTGCAAAATTTTATGAGACTTTAACCTTGGCCATAACTTCTGAACAGTTGGTGCTTGGGGTTTCAAACTTCACATGTGTATTCTTTGTGACAAGGCCTTCCTTTGGATACCAACAACTTTGATCTTTTGACCTTGACCTAGGAGTTTGACCTACTTTTGAAAAACTTTAACCTTGGCCATAACTTTTGAATAATTGGTGCTTAGGGTTTCAAACTTCACATGTGTATTCCTTGTGACAAGACCTTCCTCTGGATATCAACCATTTTAACCCTTTGACCTTGACCTAGGAGTTTGACCTACTTTTGAAAAACTTTAACCTTGGCCATAACTTTTGAATGGTTGGAGCTAGGGCTTTCATACTTAACATATGTAATCCTTGCGACAAGACCTTCCTTTGGATACCAACCACCACTTTGACCTTTTCACCTTGACCTAGGAGTTTGACCTACTTTTGAAAAACTTTAACCTTGGCCATCACTTTTGAATGGTTGATGCTAGGGCTTTCATACTTCACATATGTAATCCTTGTGACAAGACCTTCTTTGGATGCCAACCCCTTTGACCTTGACCTAGGAGTTTGACCTACTTTTGAAAAACTTTAACCTTGGCCATAACTTTTGAATGGTTGGTGCTAGGGCTTTCATACTTCACATATGTAATCCTTGTGACAAGATCTTCCTTTGGATACCAACCACTTTGACCTTGACCTTGACGTTTGACTTTTATTTTAAAAAACTTTAACCTTGGCCATAACTTTTGAACAGTTGTATCTAGGTCTTTCAAATTTCACAGGTGTATTCCTCTAGACAAGACCTTTCTTTGGGTATCAACATTTTTTATCTTTTGGCCTGGATTTTGACTTGCATTTGAAGAAACTTTAACCTTCGCTATAAGCTGCCATACGGGGGCATCGGTGTTTCACAAACACATCTTGTTTTAAATTTATCTTTTACTTCAAATTGCATCTTCGCTAGCCAAGTGTTCGATTCGTATCCCCTCTTGAAGAAATACGAATTGGACACTTTACTAGCGAAGATATGTTCAAATTGATACTTTTCATTTTTACGTGAGATTACAAAAATTAAAACAATTAATCATATCCTCTACATCGTTGTTACATATCACAGGTACTAGTACTTGTGGACAGGACCCCCCCCCCCCCCCAATGTACCCCACAGGTCAAAAAATATTTTTATGTATTTTTTTCATATATTATTCTTATAGTACACATTTACAATGATTTCCATAAGAAAAATCCAAAAAATAACGCAGAATTAACGTTTTACTAAAAAGTCATACCCGCGGTATTTTTGACCTGTGGGGTATATCCACATCACTCACCTGAGTTACTTTGGCATTGCTGTTCTTCATTTTATGCAAAACTTTGATCTCCTGTTGTTGCCCCCCCCCCCCAACCCCCCACAGTGGTCATGATTTGAACAAACTTGAATCTACATTATCTGAGGATGCTCCCATATAAATATGACTATTCAGAAATCCTGTCTTTGCTGTTCTTGAGAAGATTTTTTTCTATACCTATGTAAAATTTTATTCACCTATTATGACCCCACCCTACCCCTGGGGTCATAATATGAACAAATTTAAATAATTTTTTTTAATTCTTAATTATCTCCCCTTGAAAGAGGGTGTGGACCATCATTTGAGCAAACTTAAATTCCCTTTTCCCAAGGAATGCTTTGTGGCAAATTTAATTGAAATTGGCCCATTGGTTATTGAGAAGTAAAAAATGTGAAAAGTATACACACAGACAGACGCTGGACAAAATGTGATCAGAAAAGCTTACTTGAGTTTTCAACTCAGGGGAGCTAAACACTGTTAGTGCTTGCGAAGAAAAATACATGATGAATTGATCTTGAAATGAGCAACCAATAAAAATCTCTTTTGTTCTATCTATAGGTCTGATCTCTGCTGTTCAGAGTTGTGAGCAACACATTACTACAATCAGAACCTCCTGTATAAATGTTGATTATACTTCTGATGCCAACTTCTGTGCGTAAGTAGCATCTATATGTATGTTACAACTTAAAAGAAAGTTAAAGGTGCTTGGACACAGATTTGAAGTTAATATTTTCTCAAATTTTCTGTATAATATCACGACTTATATATTGCAAAAGCATTTCACACGAAAATGTAATTAAAAATCTGGAAATTATTTGAACTACGAATTCCTGGACGCGTTTGATTAACACATCCTTGCACTTTCACAAATTTTATCTTTATCATTAATATTTAAGAAAAGAAGCGATTTTGTTGTGTATTAATGAAAAACATTACATCTATAATCCAGAAAGTTCAGAGTAGAAATGTGTGAAAGCAAACCCCCTCACTAATATCGTCAGCCCGTGCTCAGAGTTGAGTACAGAGTTTAACAAATTGAATACACCCGTGAAACGTAAACTGTTTTTGTAAACAGGGCACGAGCTCTGTTTTTGTTAATGTTTTCAATTCACCGGGTGTGTTCAATTGTGAAAGTCTGCACACACCACTGAGCACGGACTGACAATACTTTGAGTGGGTTTTGCTTTCGAACATTTCTGTTTCTGAATTTTCTGGATTATAGTTTTAATATTTTTCATTAATACACAACAAAATTGCAACTTTTCTTAAGTATTAAGAACAAAATTAAAATTTGTGAAAGTGCAAGGATGTGTCAATCAAACGCGGCCAGAAATTTGAAGTTTCAATAACTTCGAGATGAAATAAGATTTTTATTTTATTTTAGTATGAAATGCTATAGCAACATATAAGTCATGAAATTATACAGTAAATTTGAGAAAATATTAACTTCAAATCTGTGTCCAAGCACCTTTAAATTTGACCAGTCATTGATTTGGGAAGCATGTATCAAATTGTAAATTTTCTAATTAGCTGGCATGAGAAAATTACAACAAGCAAGAATTTTATATTGCAGAAATACAATACCTTCCCTTTTGGAGTGTCTAACAACTTATTGTGGAACAACTTTATCTGGATTTGTTCGCCAAGAAGTCATCAATATTTTTTCTCAGTCATGTTTGGATGAATTCATTACAACAACCACTGTTTCCACCACAATGGGATCAACTACAACTGCTATTCAACCAACTACCATACAAACTACCACAACAGAATTTACCACTATCACTACACAACAGACAACCACACAACCTACAACTGAATACACTACCATCACTTCTCAAATGACTGACACACAACCCACAACCAACACTACTGTACAACCGACCAGTACTCAAATGACCAGCACACAATCCACAACAGAAGCCACCACCACTACTCCTCAAATTACCACTCAGACCACCACAATGGAATACACCACCACCACTCCTCAAATCACCACACAGATCACAACAAAATCCACCACCACTACTCCTCAAATTACCACTCAGACCACCACAACAGAATCCATCACTGCTACTCCTGAAATTACCACTCAGACCACTGGAACAGAATCCACCACCATCACTCCTCAAATTACCACTCAGACAACTACAATGGAATTTACTGCCATCACTCCTCAAATTACCACTCAGACCACCACAATGGAATCTACCACCATCACTCCTCAAATTACCACAACAGAATCCAACACCACTACTCAACAAACTACAACACAACACACCACAATCACTACTCAACAGACCAACACTCAACCCATAACAGAATCAACTGTTACTACAACTCAGGAAACTACTATACAACCCTCCACAGCAGAATCTACCACTATACAATCAAGTACCACACAATCAACATCCACAGATTTAGAGACCACAGCTGGTACTCTGAGCAATGCCACAGCAACTCAACCATATCCAAACATGGACAGTGGATGTGCCAAAGTTACAATGAAAACAATATACTTGGTTTTATTCCTAATCTTTGCTAAATTTTAGTGAACCATTCCAATAAAATCTCAAATTGCTAATGGAACAATAATTTAACATTTCGATAGTGTTCAATGTATAAAAGCTTTCCTTATGTTGATTTTTTTTTTCAAATGTGGTCATCTTTCAAGTAAAAGTATATATCCAGTGATTATGCCTTGCCCTGTTTTCCCATTGTTTGAATTTCAAGTTATACAGTATGAAGACTATCTTAAATTTCAAAATATTACATTTGCTTACTTTCCTAATCTTGAATTGATCAAAAAACAAAGGTGCAAAAAATTCAAGAATACCTTTGAAAGAATAAATAATAAATCTAAACATAGATCGTACAATGTTATGAGGCATGCTCATATACACTGTACTATTCATGGCAAATACACGTCAGTTTTGCTTGTTTATGTTTATTTAAATCCCTTCCAATTCCTTTTCTAAGTTTACATGTACATAGATGTATTAATGAATTCACCTCTATTTCTGTTTCAGTATACATGTACTTATAGGCAAAATCTAAATCATTTTCATGTTCTAAACAAAATTCTCTCTCTGTAGAACTTCAAAAACACAAAGAAACTTACCTCCCCTCCCCCCCCCTCTCAAAAAGAACTCTTGAAAAATAAAAAGGATTATACAACAAATTCCTTGGTTAAAAGAGGTCAAATGACCTTGACCTTCTTTAAACAACCATAACTAAGAATCAAGGCAGACATGGGCCCTACCTCACAAATACATGTAGTTTTTTTGTGGCAAGTATGATCTACATCTGATGAATCCACACAACTTGGGAATGCTTGCAAATTAATTATTCTATTGTGGTTACTTCTTGATAAGATCTTTATATATTGCAATATAAAATTCTATCCCTTTTCATGGGATCCAACCCCAAGGGCCATGATTTAAAAATAGTTCAGATTCTACACTATGTCAGGAAAGGTAACTTTAGCTTATTATAGCTCAGGTGAGCTAAGAGGGGGTTGGGGGAGGTTGGTTGTTATCAAGATAAAACTATACATTTACATTGAAATGGATTAGGGAAAAGGTGGGGGTGGGGGGAATGCACTGGCAGTAAATTAGAGCACCGGGATAGCCTATTAACATTTATATGTCTTAAACCCCTGAAACCTTAAAATTAATGCATGTCCTTTAGTCTATTTCAGTGGTCATTTATCACACATTTCATCACAAAATTAAGACACTGGTCTATAAATTTGTCTTTTCTCTCAACTATACATGAAAATATTTCATTTCAAAATTAATCTCAGGTACCAAGTCTTTGAGATACATGTACACCACTTTATGGTTCATAAGCAGAATGTATATTTTCATGGAACATGCTAAAAAGAACAGCACTGAAAAACATCTTTATTTTATATCTCAATAGTAAATGTTCACATCTGGTCAATAGTAAGAAAAATAAACAATTTGTATTTTAATCAGAGTAAACCTCTTATCACAGTTAAATGAATATGAATAAAAAAAAAGAATTGATAAAACTGAGATATATGTGATTTCAGAAAAATATAAAGCCCTTCCTCATGTGAGCTAAAAATCATGAATCAAATGATAAATTATTAGGTCATATTGAACATATCAAAAAATGTCTTGTTCAAACACCTTTCATCAGATAGAATTTTAAAAGAAAGATATCAATATTCAAAATGAGAGCCATATGAAATTTTAACTGAAAAATATAATTTGACACAGAGAAAACATACATGCATGCAAAGGAAATGATGCGACAGTAAAGCAAAAAAATTTCAAATGATCCCTGCTATTAATGTGCTGTCAGGGCACTGTATACTTTAATTCTTAAAGTGCTAATACTTTGAGAATGATTGATATACCATGGCAAAACAACCTTGTAATATTGACCATTTTCCCCATAAAGTATTATATTTTCCATCATGATCCTACGATCTGAAAACTAGCCATGTCTTTTCACAGTTTCCATTTGTGTAATTGGACCTTTGGAAGTCTCCTCAATTCAAAGGTTGATTTCCTGCGTTTCAAGGTAGAGGTAGTTCGATTAAATCCATGCTTTGTTCGTTGATGTGCTTTCCTCCAGCTTTTTTTTATTTTCAATATTATGTACAAGTATCTTAAGAATCTTTATTGATTGCTATTTAGGCATTTGATGCCAAGATGTTTCTTTTAATGTAAGCAAACTTATTACAATGGTGGGAAACAAGAGGCCCATTAGCCACAATGCTCACCTGAGTCACACTGGTCCTGCTTTTCTTGAGAAGATTCTTGAATTTTTTCACTTCTACATTTCTGAGATTGCTTTCAAATTCATGTGAATGATCATGCCCTCACTAGTTCTTGAGAAAAAAAAATTTCTATTTATTCCTAGGAAAAATATTTGTACCCCTCCCTCCTTGGGAGACTTGATTCAGATCTCTTGATCTGCATTTCCTAAGGAATATCCCCTGGATTCACAATTGGAACAAAGTTTAATCTGCACCACCTGAGGATATTTGCATATCAATAATCACTTATCATTGTCCTGATGTTCTTGAAAAGATTTTAAAAAAATCTTTCCCTTATATTCCTATGTAAAAATTTGATCGCTTACTTTGGCCCTACCCTACCCTCAGGGGCCACAATTTGGACAAAACTGAATGTACACTATGTCAGGATACTTTCATGTAAGTTTCTTGTTTTCTGGTCCAGTGGTTCATGAGAAGAAGATTTTTAAAAGATGCGATCAAAATTTTCACGAATTCTTGATCATCTCCTCTTACAACAGGGAGTAGCCCTTCAGTTGAACAAACTTGAATCCCCTTTACCTGGGAATGCTTTGTGGCAAGATTCGTTGAAATTGGCCTGGTAATTCTGGAGAAGTTGAAAATGTGAAAAATGCACAGAAAAGACACACGGCAGACAGACACTCTTCGATCAGTAAAGCTCCCTGGAGCCTTTGGCTCAGGTGAGCTAAAAAATGGAGTAGAGTAATATGTAATGGGCAGGAAAATGCTATTTTTACCCCATCCACCCCAAAGCAAACTATGAGATCTCCAATTTATATATATATATATACACAATAATTTAATATCCACAAACTATCAAGACTACTTGCTACCAATACCAAATCATCAAGAAAAGCACTCTGAGATGTAATCATTTAGTCCCATAATCTTTAAATGAGTATTAACAAATTGTTCAAAATACTTAAATTTGCACATTTCTAAACCTCTACAAAACTTTAAATCCTTTGTTCTATCAGCACCATTGTATATTATTTTCAAATAATAATGTATCTTTGATTCTTCTTCTTTACTGTACAATTCAAGGGCTAAAGAGGATGCATAAGGTGTCCACTTCCCATCAAATATGCCCAACAGCATTAAAAATGGAGTCATTGTTATGTCATGTCCTGAGAATAACACAAAATTTGTTCGGGAGCTCCGCTTGGTGACATTTTTCATTCTTAAATACATCTCCACTAGGAGAGGGTGAAACCTTAGATGGTGTGTTTTTAAAAGATTTTCGTTATAAAAATAATTATGTTGCATATCTGTGCTAAGTAAGCTCCATAATGTGTCCAACATTTTCTTGTCTACACATGAATTTCTCTGTTTATTACAAGGAAAAGGAAGGCTGTGACAAGCACGCACCATCAACGTATCAAAAACATGAGATAATGACTTAATCTCTGTGACATCCATGTGGAATATACTGGCTACTTTCTTTTTGAAGTTCATAATTGCCAGTATTGAAGATTTACTCATCTTCCTCATATTCTTTAGAGGTGCTGCATACTTTTCTAAGCCTGAACAATAACAGCGCAGCCCAGAATCCTTCTCTGAACACAGATCAGTTCTAGCTTTTTGAATTTTAACTCTGGCATTGAAATCAGATAAAAAGCCAAACATAAAAGCATTTGCACTCTGGTATGTTCTAGGGTATACAGTACTCTTCACAATAATTTTTCTCTCACTGAAATCTTGTCCAAATAAATCCAACTGATCAATGTACTTGTATTTTGCTTTAAGACCATTTAGCAATGTCTGCACAGCTCCTTGTGGAGTTAAATATGACTGACGACAATATGGTTGATTTGGATAGGGGTGCAAAAATTCAAAATTTTCATTAGCGTCCTCACTTTGCATTCTGGAGATAAACTTGCCCACAATCCAGTGTACATGTTTCTCTTTCTTTGAAAATTTACAGCTGATTCTTGGGTTAGGTCTGTCAGCTAGAGTGTGAAGTGGTGTCCTATCTCCATGTCTGATGATCATCTGCACCAGTTGTAGCTTGTAACCATGTGTCCCTAGCTCTCTATGGTAATGACCTATTGAAAAAAATTACAATCTTAAAAATAAAGGCTTAAAAAAATGCTGTATTAAGATTCAGACACATCTCTCAATTAAAGGTGTCAGAATTTCTCTAAGTGACTATCATTCAAACTGAACAAAATCAGAAAGTTCTTGCAAACATGAACGACTAAAAAAAAAAATCAGAAATATTAATTCAATATACATGTATTACCAGGGCTCTCACACCACTTTTTGGGAATGGGACCGGGGCCGTAAAGAATGGGAAAATACTGTGTGGAGGGAAATTTTTGCTCCTGTTTTATTTTTGCACCTTTCGTCCTACTCACAGTTGGGCGAATTTAAAACAGGGTGAATTTAAAAAACACAGTATAATTTCTTAAACAGAATTGTGACTGGGCAAATTCAAAGGCGGGCAAAATTGTTTGCAAGTGTGAAAGGGCGAAAATAGCATGGGGTGAAAATAACCCTGTTTACAGTAGCAACCTTTTGGTAAATTTCAGGATAACCATTATACTTTAGAATCATGATATATTGGGTTTCTGCTCTTTGTTATCAACTACATTTTTGTTTTGCAATACAGAGGAATATGAATAGCAAGTTTAGTTATTATTTATCCAACTATATTTTCTTTAATCTTTGGGAGAAATGACTAAATGGAAAATTAACACATTCAATTGGAAAAAAGGTACCTTTATTGAATTGGGAATGGGGCCCTTGTTTGGCCCCAATTACAGACAATCAAGAGCCCTGATTACATGAAAGTAAAAACTCGAGTACTATGTTCGATAGAAACTGTAAATGACAGCTTTACCATTCTATAGCAAATTGCAAAATAAAACTTAACCTACCATTACCCTCTTTTAGTGAATTAGGATTGGGAAAATTACAGTATTCCAAAGCTCCAGATGGAGATGTTGCAGATGATTTATTATGGAAATGAAATTTCTCAGTCTGTTCTTGAAACAATAATTGTTCTGATATTCTTTCCAGATGATGTTTGGACGGCGATTGGCTCGTCAATTCACTTCCATATTCTGAAAATGTAAGAATTCTATTTGTTGATCTCTGCTAGCCCAAAAAAAAAAACAACAACAAAATAATTATAACACACGCACACACACAAATACAGCAAATTTTATTTTTCTTCGAAGTTTCTAAATAATGTCCTGCAAAGTGATAAAAATTTGTATAGATTTTTAAGAAAGGAAAGAAATATGAACATCATAGAAAGTCTACATTTTTTAATATACTCGTATATATATATATGCATCATACCCATCCATGCATAAAATTTTTTTGTTTCAAATTAATTGTCATATTTGTCCTTTAGAATGCGGTAGTGGGTCAAGGTTACATATAAAGGCAAACAATCAGAAGGGTTCCTTTTAATATTTTAGCTTCTTTAAAGCTATATATGGCGTATCTGCATGAGCTAAAAAATAAAAATACGAGATCGAGTGTAGATGAGCATGATATTTGTTATTTACGTTCAAATTAAATTTTTCACCAATTTTGAACTTGAATAACCACTTTTCTATAGTTAAATTGACTTTAAACTGAGTCTGATATTTAAATGTGGAGTTGGTAAATAAATCAGCTATTGTTTTAAATTTCTAATATCTGTGAAACTTGATTGATTTTAATTGTGTGATTTACAGGAAAGTCCTATCTTTATATAAAGTAATAAAACAAATAGAAAGATCTTTTTAATTTTACATGTAGTTAGTCTGAACTTATCAAAAATACGCCATATATGACTAAGCAATGTTGGTGAACTCAAAAGTTGGATTCTGGTCACCACTACCCCATAAAGTCATTCCTCTGTTTATGGTATGGGAGGGATTTTTGTTGGCATGTATCACAAAATTATTTACTTAAGCTTTGAATCCATGGCTTAGCTGACAAAGTGAAAGCTTTTACCTTCCCCACTACGAAGTACAACTATATATATATATATACAGAGGAATGATTTATTTCAGATCTAAGTTGGAATGTCAGACACCTCGGCCCAGCAACACCTCGGCCCATTGACATTTCGGCCCAGTGACATCTTGGCTCAGACGGGTCGGCCCAATAATTAAGACAGGTCGGCCCATACATAAGACACCTCAGCCCAAGCAAAATTTTACTATGAAATTATATCCTGATATATATTTCCAATTTTGGGAGTTGAATTAAATATTTGATTGAAAAAAGTACATGAATAGACTATCAAGATTTAAAAAAAAAAAAAAGACCTTCCACGAGCACATTGACAATATTCAAGGATTGAGAAGACAATGCTATTAATTAAACAATCAGAATGCCGCGGCGCATCCTTTGGAGGGTCAAGTGCATGTTATATTAGTGACAACAGGAGGATAATTACAAGCAGGCTTAATTGGGAGACAGTAATTAAATACATTTCTAAAGATCCAATTAATGAATATATGTTCTCATTTATTTCTTAAGAAAAACACTTCCATTCATAAATTTATTATCGTTGCTTATATGATCATCATGATATTGCAGAAAAAAATTACACTTTCTACAAGAAATAGATGTAAATGAAAGCCTGATCTAATTAAGTTAAAAAAATAAAACGATTATCTATCAAAGACCCCCCCCCCCCATTTTTGTTTTAAAAAATTGTTCAATAGTCAGAAAGAATAATTACACCAATAATAATATCCATTCAAACGCTGGGTAAATCTGTTAATTTTTCCTCCATCATAAAATATTGCTTGGGCCGAGATGTCTTTTATATGAGCCGACGTGTCAACAATCTTGGGCCGATCTAGGGCCGAGGTGTCATAGGCCCGAGATGTCTGTCTACCCTAAGTTGTACTGTGTTTTTATGAATACTTTCTTTCAAGCAGGTTCATTCTTAGCTTTCAATTATAACTAAAAATCGAAACTTACCCTTCTGTAAATAGAAATAAAGTAAAAATACAACTATAAGCAATATAATTATAATCTTTAAGCGACATCTCTTAAGTCTTGTGGCAGCCATGGACTTTGTATACTAGAAAATGCATCGACTGCTTCAGGGCTGCTGAATCTTGATCCCGATTAATTTTGAAATCTGTTGAATTGTACTCTAAATAGTACTGTTTGATAATTTACTTTTTTCATTTAAATTTTTAATTTAAATTCTAAAAACAGAAGACATCTGCATTCACCACTTTAAATATCAACTCTCTAACGTTTGAAGATAAAAAAGCTCAACTGTGCACCGGCGTGTAGTCTGTAGTCACTCCGTACGGTGACGGGATCAGAATATTCTTACCCATTTGATGTTTTTTTTTCTTTAATTCATAGAAGAAAAATATCTTAGTTAACTGAACGATGCCAACGATATCGGTTAATAAGGAGGAATTGTTTAAAGCTCTTGGAAGACGTTACAGTAAGTGAATTTCTCATAAATTTGGCCGTTCTCAGTTTACGTTTGCTTGCATCATCACTGAAATGTAGGAGCATACGTAGATCCATTCATCAGATGAATAAATATGATATACCTTGTAAGATTTGATGTTATTTTTTACGTGATAACGAGCATCATTGAATATTGTCATGTCGCGACATATGCACATGCTATTATTATTTTGAAAGTTCAGCAGCTGTTCAGAGAAACTTTAATTTGCTGATATCTGGATATATAGTAATAATTAAGATGTTAAAATGTTAATTCAGTGCAGATTGTTAAAAAACTTTTTAAATTTAATTACACATTTTGCTATAGTTATGTGCTTGTTTTTTTGTGTGTTTTTTTTATATTTTAAATTTATTTTTTTGAGGATGTTTTGATTTTGAGAAGTACTCTAGGCCTATATGTAACGTTTGTTTACTTATTAAGACACCAGGAAGAGATATTAAGTAGGACATACATATGTAATCTCACACCATTCAACCCAAACACTCAATATGGAATTAGTATATTTTAAGTGCATTTTTCTAAAACATTGAAACACCTCTAAATGTTAAAAAGTAAACTTGTGAATATTCAGTATAGATGTAATCTGAAATGTGCAAGAAAGGGCTGATATAGGGCTATGTAGTAAATGCACCATTTTGTATTCAAAATACTTAATATTTATTTTTCCAATGTATCTTAAAGAAAGAGAAAAATAACCATAAAGCCTTAAGTTACATTGAATTTTCGTATGTGTATCAATACCATAGAACGTTTAGTACAAATTTTATAGGAAATTTGTGTCAGAATAGGACACTAGACATGGTTTCAGACTGGCAGTTTTTAAACACTTTTCGTTCATTATTAATTAATTGCTTCCATCAATATGTTATTTTCTCAATGCTGTACACATGTGTACCTGTCATTTAATATAGTAACCTAATATTGAAAATGTGCTTACGACCGTGATTTTTTTTTTCTAAATGGCTTTAAGCAACTCATTCAATTTAAAAATTGATCATTTAAAAAAGTCTGTTACTGAATAATATAAACAATGCCAACTGCACAGGTAAACACACATGCAAGTCTTGTGCAAAAGAATTCTATCCTTTTTTTATTGTGGATTAAATTAACATTCTCCTTTCATTGGTAATGATAAGAAGTTTAACTATTATCTATGTGCACAAAGTGTAAAAATTGTCAAAATAAAAAAAAGGTTATTAAAGTCTAATTACATTTAACTTCATTGGTTGTGTCACAATGGAAAGACAGCAATGGAACATTGGTCAAAATGGACAATATTTTGATCAATACCCCCCCCCCCCCTAAAAAAAGTGGATGGGGGATGTTTCAGAAATTGTCTAGTATTAGCAGTGTGCCCAATACAAAGATGACATGTTGACTATTGGGGCAGTGTGGTTCTATTCATTTTACTACCTACAGGGTTGTTAAAGTAAATCTTGCATCCCAGCAATTTTATCTGATTTCGATAAATACCTGAGGTTAAAGCCAGTATCAAGTTGATACAGAAAAATACCAACTGAAAATGTTCTTAGGAAATTTTGTTTAAAAAATAAATTTTAAAAAGGAATAAATTTCCACTGATTTTTTTTTTTTTAACTTTTTTCCCTTTTAATTGTTTTAATATTAAAATTTAAATTGATAATGCTTTTAGTTATGGGATATTTTGTGTAGATGTATTATTTCCCAATTCCCAATTCATTGACACATATGGGTGCAAATCCATATTCACAGTGTTTATTTTGAATTGTTTTCCAGCTTTTGAAGAATTTGATGAACTTTGTTTTGAGTTTGGAGTAGAACCAGAGGAAGCTGTATGTATATTTCAGCATGTATTCTACTATTCTACCTGCCAGTTTCGTTCACAAGAGTTTGTGCACTTTTTAAAATTTTTATCTTGATTACAGGATGAAAAGGACATAGCAGAAAACCCAGATGCTGCATTAGAGTGGAAAATAGAAATTGGTGCCAATAGGTGAGAAAATGCCATATATATGTTGAAATCATGTTTTGAAAAACGATATATTGAAATATATTGTCTTCAGATTCCATACTAAATGTGCTGAAGATATAAGGTAAAAAATGTAATTCATGAGAATATTACAAATGTTTAGGTATGACTTGCTGTGCATTGAAGGACTGGTCAGAGGGCTCCTGGTGTTTTTAGAAAAGTAAGTGAAAGTTAATGAATGATTCTGTATTTTATCTGGGGTAATTCAAATAAGAATTATTTTAATAGTATTTGAAAAATAATGTACTTCTAATTCTTATCCTAATTATTTTTTTCTTAGAATTACACCCCCAAGATACCAACCTATCCCACCATGGACTGGCAACACAAAGAAACTCATTGTTTTACCAAGAGTAGGTATTTATTAATAAAGAAGTGTATGATTATTTCATTTTCTCTCATTTCAAAATTGACTGTTTTTGTATTGATAGACTGCTGAAGTGAGACCATTTGCAGTAGCAGCAGTTTTAAGAAACATCACTTTTACTCCTGTAAGTATATGAGAAATTCAATTATAAAAGATATCAACTGATGATTATTTGAGAGGCAAATAAGTCATGGCATTATGCATTACAGGAAAGATATAAGAGTTTTATTGACCTTCAAGACAAACTTCACCAAAATGTCTGCAGGTAGGAAACAAGTGCTTGAGTTTATTAAGTGTTCTACTCAATTTATTACAGTGTAATTAGTTTTCTTTCATATCATTCAAAATTAATGTGCATGTGTAGGTGATTTTCATTTTATGTTTTTGTCAATGCCTTTTTTCTTTATTACTATTAATGTTTTTGGTGGATATTAATTTTTCTATAAGTTAGTGTAGACCTGATTGTAATAGGGCTTTTTTGAATACTACAAAGAAGTTGGGATTTGTTAAAGCATGTATTTTGTACATTTTTCATATGAATATAAGCACATGTATTTGTGAGGAGCATTTTCAAAGAAGAGCACGTATATACATATGTTTGGAATCTTTCTTAAAGTTATCGGCAGAAATTCCTCTGTACAGTGATAATATACTTAGATCTACAATGTCTTTATTAAAAATGTATGCTATTTGGTGAATTTGTAACAGGAAGAGAACCTTAGTGGCCATAGGAACACATGACCTGGACACAATTAAAGGACCATTCTACTACGATGCTAAGCCCCCTTCAGAAATTAAATTTAAAGCTCTGAATCAAACAGAAGAAAAGACAGCCCCAGAGCTTATGGAACTCTATTCTGTGAGTAAAGTTGAAGTTCGTTATCTTAAACATCAACATCTCAAATACCATGGATATGTCAAAGTCAGTTGAAAGTCCCAACCACTTTTTCTTTATGTAATTGAACCTCAGCATTTTGAATCCTTGGATATGATATCAAAGATTTGATATTGAGATAACAGAGTTTTACTATATGACTGTAAAGGAGTTGAATTTTGCCATTAAATAACTTAGATTCGTGTAAAATGAAAAGTGATTTTATCAAATACATGAACCAGTGTAATATAATTTTTTTAATTTTCAGAATGAGAGCCACTTGAAGCAGTACCTTCACATAATCCAGGACAAACCTGTGTACCCTGTTATCTATGACAGTAGAGGGGTTGTGTTATCCATGCCACCTATAATAAATGGTAAGGTTAGGTGGCTGATACTGTTAAATTTGACATAAACTTAAAAAGTTCTTCTTCATGCCCCCATAATTTAAGATTTGGAGGCATATAGTTATTGTCTGTACATCTGTCTGTCTGTTTATATGTTTTGAATGGTTGGTGCTAGGGCTTTCATATTTCACAGTTGTATTCCTTGTAACAAATTCTTTCTTTGGGTATTTCATCATCACAAACACATCTTGTTGTGAACAAAGTAAAAGGCTGAATAACACCTCATATCTGAAAAATCTCAGTTAACATCATGACAATCCCAGGCTAGAAAGAGCAATTTTACACATCTTATATAGCTTGGAATAATTTAAAAGGTATATGTACATGTATGCATCATGTACCAGTAATACCTTTACTAACACCCTAAAATAGTTTATGAGGATATAATGTATATAATGTTAATGTGTAGATATTTCTCTTTCATATTAAGGAGACCACAGTAAAATAACATTGAAAACAAAGAATGTTTTCATTGAGTGCACAGCCACAGACCTCAACAAAGCTAAGATCACGCTGGACACGATTGTTACGATGTTTGGTCAGTACTGTTCCCCACCAAATGAGTAAGTGGAATCTTTTATTCCAAATGATTATAATTACAGGTAGAGTACCTGCTCCCTCTTTTTGTGGTTTCTCAGTATAACTACTCTGTCATGCCTACTCTTTTAGAAATGCTAAGTTTTAAGTCTTATTTTGTATTCTTAACTTGTATTTTCCTTCATTTCGTAGATTTCAGTATGCATTTGATAATGATTTTGTAATAAATAAAGTTATGGAAAACTTTATACATCGAATTTTACATTGCAATCTTTTAAAAATAGTATTATTAGATGATAAAAATACTGCCATATTTATATGTGAAGTGCTCACATGGGAATAATTCACTTGATGGTTTCTATGTGATACTAGGGTTTGAAATATACTTTGATATACATGTATTTATTTGTTTAAATATTTGACATATTTTTACAGAGGAACAGAGTCGGTAGAAGTTGTGAAGCCCTGTGGAACCAGTGTTATGTATCCTGTAAGTTGATCTGTACACATGTAGTGTATAAGATTCATAATATTCAGACTGTCATTTATTTGGGTGAAAAAGTACATTTTATGCTTACCATCAAGACTTAAGTTTTCCCACCAGATTAAGACATCTTTCTAGAAATCAAATCACAAAAGCATATTGATAATGAACTCTTTCCTAATAGGAATTCTAGTATCGTGTATGTAATTTAAAGATGATGCATCATTTTTGCCCTAAAAGCTGTTCTTACAAAAAAAGTCCAAAAAAAATTTTGATAGAAAATTCATTCCATGAGTGGTCATAAATTTAATAACAGGCTGCATTAAAAAAAGTCTAAATATTGCCATTAATGACTTGTATTTTCAAGGAACTTCACTATAGGCTGGAAGAAATAGATGTATCAGAAACAAATAGAAAAATAGGAATATGGTAAGATTTAATTTTACATCTGGTATGAAATCTAGTAGTGTGCATATTTGGATGTTAATTCCTTGAAACTGAAATTTCGACCAATATTTTTGAGTCGGTTTACACATGTACGTGTATAAAACTAATTGATAAAAGCAAAGGAGGCTAATTTAGTTGTGTGAATTAAATTAAAGTGTGTTGACAAATAAACAAAATATGAGCACAGCACATAGTAATATTTATACAAGGGACTGAATATGGTTGTTGATGATGATGATAACCTGTTTTCTATTTTCGTAGCATCCCTCCTGGTGAGATGGCGAGACTATTGACCCGAATGTGTTTGGAATCCACTCCTTTTGACAGTGGCAATAAAATAATGGTGGAGGTCCCACCCACAAGGCATGATATCCTTTATAAATCAAAAAGTTTTCTGTATCTAGTAATGATGCCTCTTATATGTCAATGAATATACTTTGTATTTATATAATGACTACTCATAATCTCACCCTGATTGCTAAATGCTCTGGGCTAACAAAATAACTTGTCTTAAAAAAAATTAAGGTACAAACCTCATACAACATCTGTATATGTGTATCAAATTAAGTTGTGTTTAGGGAGGGACCTTATTGTTTCAGAAACTGCTAAAGGGACATGAATGTCTTGTATACACTGTGGGTAGAGTTAATTACTCCAAATTCATGCAAAATATCTCCTGTAAAAAGAAAAAAATAATATCATATGATTTCTTTTATTCTTTAACTATGATACATGTCATTCATGCATGCGATATTGTGGAAGATGTGGCTATTGCTTATGGGTACAACAACATAGAAAAGACTATTCCTCAAACCAACTGTATTGGAAACCAGGTAGAATCTTCAGTACCTTATGTCTTCACTTACTGTTAATCCATTCTGATAACAATAAGTCATCATTTTTTTTTTTAATATTTTTATATTGAGGGAACACAATCAATGCTTTCCTGAAAGATTAAAGAAAAAAGAAGACTTTTTTTCATGTACATGTATATCGTATATATAAATTTTTATTAATATGTACATGTACTTGTTTTGCAGTACCCTGTCAACAAATTATCAGATTTACTGCGGCAAGAGATCGCTGCAGCTGGTTTCACAGAGGTCTTGACATTTGCTCTGGTAAATATTTTGGACAACAACAGTCCACTTTCATTTGAAGTAATAGGAAAACAGAAAGTACACATTAAATATTGTACTATAAAAAAATAGTTTTTTTAGATAGGGGTTGGATCCACCTATCATAAATTATTTGATCTTTCTATTAGTAAGGATTAAAAAAAAATCTGCATATTACATGTATTTACATCGCAGTTCACCTTTCACATAAGCTAGAAAATCGTGTCTATTTAATGTTAAAAGGGTTTATTTTCTGATTTACTAAAATTATTTTAAGAGAGAGAGGGAGAGAGATTGCATTTTATGCTCTTTTTATGATATACTTTTCTCTCGTCAGTGTTCCCGTGAAGATTTAGCAGACAAGTTAGGAAAAAATATCAAAGACATTAAGGCAGTTCATATTGCCAATCCCAAAACACTGGACTTTCAGGTAGAAAACATATCTGTGTTGTGTTCAGAAAATCTTAAAAATTCAGTATCGATTTTCATTGCATTTATGCATGATGTTTCAAGGGAGATAAATTTGAATTTTACAGGTTGCTAGGACAACACTGCTTCCGGGGATACTGAAAACCATCAGTAAAAACCAGGGGATGCCATTACCCCTAAAGTTGTTTGAAATCTCAGACATTGTTCTGACTGACTCTAAAAAAGGTATTATGAATATGATGATTTTTTTAGCTCTCTTTTATACCCCCATGCAGTCTTGGGGGTTTGCTCAAATCACCATGTGTTGGAATTATTTTGATATTGCGTTGGAATTATTTTGATATTGCGTTGGAATTATTTTGATATTATCTAAAAATTATTAGAAATTAATTTTCAAACTTTGTAGAAATAATATATACCATTTGAACATATGTAAAGACTTCATTTTCCATAACTTCTGTGAAAGGAATTGGAAGAGTCAACTTCTTGTGTAGACATAAATCTGAAACCAAGAAACTTACAAGGCTCATACTTGACAAAAGGTACATGTGCTGTAGCTTTCATCAGAGGATTTTGACCATATACCAACCTCATTTGGAAGAGGTTAAGGTCACAGTGTACCAAGAGTTAAATTACTTTTTCAGCCACAATTTTGAAATGGAGAATACTTATTACCGGTACCCAAGGGTATGTCTTGATCCTAATTAAGGAATTTGTACAAGGCCAAGGTCACAAGTTTCAGAAGTGCAAAATTCTTAGCCTTGCCATAACTTTCAATTGGCAGAATTGTTAACAGATTATACTAGGCACAAAGGTTGTTTGTGACCAGAACATTTGCAACAACCCTGTACCATTGTGATTTGGATATGGTTCAGGTCAGAGGTTTCAGAAATTTTTAATTCTTGCTTTGGTCATAACTTCAAAGCAGAGAATTATTTGAAGATTATACAAGGCACAAAGGTTGCTTGTGACCAGAAGGTGTGTAACAATCCTACACCATGATCATACAAGTCACTGGGTTTGAAATGTAGAATTCTTGTTTATACCATAATTTTGTAGAATGACTTAAGATCATATTTGGCTTAAGGGTTTATGATTATGAAGTAGGTTATAACTGTTGGGGAAGGTCAAAGTCACAGAATTTAGAAGTGTCAAATTCTGAAGGTATCAGATATGTATAGGGACATCAGTAGGTCCTAATTTGCACAGACTGCTTGTGACCAATAGGCCTATCATTATTATATTCCATGGTTGTTTGGATAAGTTAAGGTCACATGGTTAAAATGATACGTGTTACCACAGTTAAAATGATCTTTGAACCAAGACTTCTTAATGCTTGGTTGCTTACAATCAGAGATGTTATAACCTTGAATCATTGCATTTCAACAACATTCAAATCATGGAAATTGCAATATAAATTTAAGCAAGTTACAGAGTTCTTTTTTAAAGCTCTTTTTAAAGTAACTGCATCTTTCTTTTAAAAGTTGACCCACTTAGGATATTAATCATATTAAGACAGTTGCAGTTTTAGAATTTATTCCAAGTTTAAACAATTGTCATTAATAAACCTTGTCAATAATATATTACAGATGTTGGAGCCCGTAATGAGAGATGGATATGTGCAATGAACTACAATAAATCCTCAGGGTTTGAGATTGTTAAGGGACTGCTGGACAGAATCATGCAGTTAATGGAGATTCCATTTGAGAAAGGAGACAAAGGATACTACATTAAAGCCACTGATGGTTGGTCTCATCTCAGTATCAGTTTGTATAATGTCAGTAGAGTGCACATATAGTGAAATGTGCTAATTTACATTTTCTACAGCAGGTCCTGGTCTTTCACAATGCATAATATGTTTGGTTGGTTTATAAAATGGGAACAATTTTATGTTAACATTTTGTCAAAAATTTTTTAAATAATTTTTTCCATGTTTATTTAGATCCAACATATTTCCAAGGACGTTGCGCGACAGTCATATTGAGAGGGAAGCCGATTGGGAAGATAGGAGTGCTGCATCCTGATGTAGTGACAAAGTTTGAAATAAGCAACCCCTGTTCTGCCTTTGAGATATCATTGGAGCCATTATTACAGAGATCCTGATCCTGAGCTCGTGATCTGTGTCATTAACTTTATCCATCCATTAACACTGTATTATGTTCAATACCTCTAACTCTCGAGTATTTATTGTACATCAGGAAAATATTACATCACACATAGTCTGAGAATGTAAATGGACATGAAGTGCTACAACAAATAAAATAGTATCAAGGGTAATAGACTGTTGTAGTCTTGTGTTTTGTGATGACTAGGTTATGAAATTACATTGTAGGATCCTTGTCAACTTTTTTCACCAGCTTTGGTGATGGCTACCATGCAAATAATGAGTAAATCTGTCCAACTACCGGTAATAAGGGAAGTGGGGTATGGGAGCTTGCTCACTTTTTCTTTCGTTATGTATCTGGCTCCGCTTAGAGTAAAAAAAAAAACAAAATGTTCTCACAGTTTCAATCACTTTATCCACAAAAGTTTGAACATTAAACACTTGAACGTAAAAGTAAATCTTTTTCTCATTAAACATCTTTTATAGAAAACTTTTTGTTTAGAAGTTCAAATTGTATCACAGAATTGCTAGAGAGGGTGAACTTGGAATATTCATTCAGAAACAACAAATGCTCGTAACATGACTTTGACTTGTTCCGTCACATCTCCTTTTAGAGTTAACATCACACTGGTCTCCACAGGGGTGTTAGGCTGAAAGTAGAAACGTGGTAGAACAGGGTATACCAGTAGATTTGTACTGATGTTAAATACAGTACTTGTATATTATGAATTGTACATAATCTGAACATTTTTTACACTTTCAGTAAAACATATATTTGTGGTTCGTAGAGAATCTGCACAATTGAAATGTATTCTACATTTTTTACTGCATTTTTTTTCTATTAGTGATTTAATACATGGAATACTGATACTATATTTTCTATGTATATTGTGTATTTTACTTACATCATGGCCAGCAGGTGGAGTCCATGTAAATGTGACAGGTTTTAGACCACCAGCCTCGACCATACCCTGTTTGTAATAAAAAAAAATTCTAGTAATACATATTTAAAATTGCTTTGTGTGGAAATTCAGTCAGTTTTCTGTGTCTTTAAATACAGTACATGTACGAACATGTATGTTATGGTACCATTATTTGTGAGTTAAAAAAAGAAACATTACTTTGTATGAAGTTTAATCTGAATAGACTTACTTTCTGTGGTTCAATATTGAAACCTTTTTGAGTAATAAGCTGCACATTTTCGAACTGGAATTCACCATTCTGTTTCAAAAGATAGGTTTTTTTGGTTAAAACAGAACATAATTTTTAAATATTTCATATATCATTAAATAATACAGTATTATAGTGCAGAGTATCAAAAAATATCATTCTTCAAAATGGTGAGAAGATTCATTATTACAAGGGGTACAACTCATGAGGAAAATTTACATATATGTGTGTATTGCAAAACAAAAATAATTGTTTTTAAGTATTGCATTACAAACACATATAAAAAAGAATGCCAATGTCCAAAAAAAATCTTTAAAAAAATAAAAATAAAATAACCGATTTCAAATTCTGAAAAAATTCTTCACATCTATAGTTTTGAATTCACTCACACACAAATAAAAGTAAAAATATAAACAAAAAATAGTAAATAATATAAAACAAAAATGCGATGTCAAAACAACAGATACAAAATTTAAAACAATTCTGTTACTTACGCCATGTTTAGAAGCACCTTTTCCGTCCTATATCAAACACAGCAAACAACCCACACCAGGTTAGCAATGGGGAAACAAAGCAAAAACATTGTGAGGGTAAGGTATAAAGTGCTTTAATAGTAAACAAGGGAAATGTCTCAAGATGATGTTGATGAAGTAAAACACTCATGGTGAATATAAATTCTGTGCTCTGTTACAATTCAATTAATACAAAAATGTGGATTGAATTAAAAATGGGGGAAAAAAAATGGATTGTCATGTATTATAAGAAATATAAATTTTGTTAAAGTTGTTAAAATTATACATTATACACAGGATCAAACATAAGTGTTTAAATAAAACAATTTTTTAGTAATATTTCAACAAATTTTAATCAAACTCTGTTTAGAATATCTGGGGATCACAGCAAGCAGCGAGTGTAGAATAGGACAATAAAACGACACACTGACCTTCTTCTGACTGACGGCCATTGTCCTCACACACCCCACAATCAGGTCACGGGACGCAGGGATAAAGTCGTTCTCTTTAGCTATACTTCTAAGTGTGAACAAAACAGGAGTAGGCAAAAGTTTTCCATCTGAAAATAAAGAACGAATGCAGTTGAGGGAATTTGTATGGCAAGTCAGTGTTACTTGAGTGTGTAAGCTAAGTGAAAAAAAACCCCAAAGGTATGCATGATGCCTTTTTCTGAAGAAAATTCACTGAAAGACAAACATATTTGTGATTATAATCATTGATGTACAACAGACCTTCGTCCTCCGTGGGTACTGGGGTCTCCTCTGCCAGGGATTCTATCTCGGGGGTTCTTTCATCCGTGCCATCCACAAACATAATCCTAGGTTTGGCCATTCCTTTGATCATGAAATTATGTGTTTCCTCCTGGAATTAATGATGAAAAGTCAAGTAGGAGTGAAACCAGAAAAAAATTTCATTTCTTTTATGTATAGTCCTCTATTGAAAAATTCACATCGTTCGTTAATTCAAACAAATCATTATCTCACAGCGCTGAAAATTCTCTTGCATATCTAATTCATGTACTGGCACTAAATATAACTGTAAATTTGAAATGTAGCAATCAAACGATTCACAAACATTTGCTAGCATTTCTAATTAAGTAATTTCAAATACCATTTGAACTTTGGTATCCCAACCTCTCATATCTTAATTACCATGGATATGTCAAAGTGAGTTGGAGGTCCCAATCACTTTTTCTCTATGTATTTTAACCTTGGTATCTCAAATCCTAAAATACTAGTATCTCGGAGTTTTTCTCTGCCCCATTGAATTTAAAATAATGAGGTTTGACTGTATTTATTATTAATCTAGTTAAAATTGAAATAAAAACAAGTTTGTGTCACAGGAATACATGAATTTTAATGTATTCACTTTTACAAATACTTAGTATTCAATAAATCTTTTTGAGAAAATTAAAAATTAACATCTTGGAAAATTATTTCATTACACTTGGAATATTTTACTTGGTCATTCCTGTGAAAGAAAAACTGCCTTGCAATCTACATATCACTACTCACTTTCTGTTCTCCAAGATAAACAACATTTGGCTAGAATTAAATCAGCATTTCAATTAAATGTACATATGTTTTTCCTGATAAATATTGATTAATTTTAAAAATAAGATAATTTAATCTGTCCTTAGGTGGCACATCTCAAAAACAGGGTGACATTTTTATTCTATTCTAATGTTGCATATTTTTGGAAACCTACCTTTCCGAAAAGTTCAATGCGGACTCCATCCGAGTAATGGTCACTAGGGTGATCAGGGGCAAAGGTCACAGTGAGGTCAATGCTACTACCAGGAGGCACCGTCCCCTCCGCGGGAACCAAATCAAATACATTCTGACCATTGTTGTTCTGTGAACCTATCAACCAGAAAATTTATACAGTAAAAAATGGCTATAGCAAACACGTGTAAAGCAAATACATGCTTGAATAAAGAAGTAAGACACCATTATCAAGAAGTTTAAATCAATGAAATATCCAGTGATGATAATGAATTATAGATATTAAAAAGTGAATTTGGCTGCTCAAATTGCTTCACTCTATCTGTGTTTTACTGTATGTTAAGAATTCAATACAAGAATCAAGAAGTAAACTTGAGCAAATTAATTTTATATAATTTCAATATTGGAGAAGTTATCAAGGGAGAGTACTCAATCAACACTTACCCACACTGAGAGGATTAGTTTTGTTTCTCTGTATAAATGCTGGAATGACTTGAGCTTCATTGTGCCGCTGTAGAGACAGACTATCTAACTTGATAGAGTAATCTATAGACAGGGAAGAGGAGTTCATCAGCTGAAACAATCAAATGATAAAGAATATTACTTTGGACTTTAAGGTCAAACCTGTACATAACAATTTAAAAAAAATATTAATTAAAAAGAAATTAAGGGAGAGTAAGAGAAGAAAGACACTTTGAAAAATCTATCCATAAAAACACAATGAACTTCCCATTCAGGTGATCCCAATCTCCCACTCATCAGAATTTAACCTCAGTCAGTTTTAAAATTGATTCACTAATTTAATGATCTTACTTTAAAGGTTCTTTCTAAGTATTCCCCTGCTAACACAGCTCCCATATCTAGAACCCCATTCTGCATGGGCATGTTGATCTCAATCATAGGACTGACTCCTTTTCCTGTCAGTGTGATGTGTAAAGCTGTGTGTCCTGTCTGTATCTCCAAAACCTCATGGAACTGGAATATATTAAGACAATAATTTGGAATTTGTTGATATCCATCTTTAAAAAATATTATATTAACGGGAAGTAACTCTTGCAATTTATTCAATATGGTAAATTTTACCACTTCTCCCTTTTCTGGAGTGTAGGAGATCAGTATGGTATGAGTGCCATCTGGTGGCAGAACTCTTAGAGCATTCAGCATCAGGAAAGGTCCACCAGTATTCAATATGGAGGATGTAAGCTAACAGAAGAAATAAATTATTACAATCATATTTTTTTCTCCAGACTTAAATATTTAGTTATAGTATTACAGAAGTTTACTTGATTCCATATTCTATTATTTTTCAGTATTTGTCATTCAGTGAACTACATTTGATGCCTTGTAAGGAAAGAAAAACGAAATGATCATTTTTACTTTTAATTAACTATAACCATAACCTCCCCCCCCCCCCATTTTAAAATCATCTAAGATTTGAAAAAAAATCAAGTACCTCTACAGTTTTGTTGGATATGTTCTGTATGGTGACAGACTTGATGATATTTTGACCAAGAGACACTTCTCCAAAGTCTAGTATTGATTTACCATTGTCAGAAATCACAACTAGTGTGGGCTTCACAACTGGGCAATGGACCTCAAGATACAGTGTGTTGTGGACACTGACAACAAAATGTAAAATGTTAACCGAAAATTCATTTATAAATCAGAACACATTCTACACTTGTGGAGACATACTTTGAAATAAAAGTGTATAATCATGTACCTGTAGGGAAGTTCTCCTGGGTTTCCACATTTGCCGCTGGCAACATAACAAGGAATGGTGACAGTCCTGAAGCTTCCTCTGTACTGTCGCAGAAGGCTGGCTTTTGCAGAAGCATACGCAGGGGAGCTGTAAAAAGAAAATCAGTCAGATTATATAATGAATGGTTTTTCTTTCCAGTAAATGGCCCTCATTTCATAACCTATCAATTTTTTATAAACAACAATAGAACAGTCTTGTATATAAAATATTTTATGCATCTATGATGTTTAGAATACAGGTATATCGTATTCTATGTACACTGTAGACTTATTACAATTAAAATTCATTATTTCACCAACAGAGTTTTCAAAATAGTTTTAAACATGTATAGGAACTAAATCTTACTCTTTGGAAATAGTGTCCACAGTTGGGGGAGTTATTGGCCTTGGTCCAGACACAGTTAGAGATGGCGCTGGAGAAGTTTTACCTTTGCCTTTTGTAGGAGATTTAGCATCTTTTCCTTTTCCTCCTTTGCCTATAGCTTTTTGCTGATTAAAAAAAAGATCATAACATCAGAAACGGGGAAAAATCAACAACTCTAAACAATGATACTGAAAGATGGCAAGAAAAAAAAATATTTGAACTTGATACATAGGAGACAAAATGTGCAGAGAAATATTCCTTTAAGCAAAACAGACAGATTAAATGAACACAGATGACAATGCATATTTGTGACCTTCTGGATAAGCTTACAGATGAGGACAAAGGTACACATGTACTTATCAGTACCTTATTACCATAAAGCAAAGTTAGCTCCTAGATGTCCGTAATTTACACTTTCAAATTTCACTACCAGTGCCAACAAAAATTAACAATCTTGTAATTAATCTAAATTAGTTTTTTTTCCTTCTAATATCACACAACTCTATGGATACATATTTTTGTAATTTTTTAGTTTTATAATGAAGCTATTCCTATCCAGAGATTATTAAAGCACTGTATTGCATCCAGTTTTCCAGTTACCATATGAACATGTATCTGCATATTTCACACAAACAAATGACCCACATTTATTTCAGACAATAAACATACCTCTTCCTAGTTCAGAAAATAAAAAATAAATTGTTGGTATAATACTGTCTTGTTAAAGTCCTTTATTAGATAATTGTTGCTTTATTACTGTCTTGATAAGTACTTGATTAGTTGCTTTTATTTGTAAGTACTTCACATATTCTACGAGAAAATCATGTAAAGTAGGGCTTTATTTTAAAGACTAGATATGTCCATGGACCCTGTTGTATACATATTTTGCAAATTCCCTTTCACCAAAATGTTAATCAAATTATATACTTTCCAGAATGAGAGTTGCTCTGGACTTGATACTTAAAAGTTATTATTTTCAATTAGTTTTCTTTTTATAATATAACACAAACTCTAATATAATACATGTATAACAATATGTTTGCCCTAAGATTTAGTTTTACAATGAAGCAGGCTCTGGATTCTCAGTATATTAGAATTTCTTTTTATTTCTGTTATCTATTTACCATAGACATTAATCTGTATATTACACACACACTTGATACCCACATTTACTGCAGACATACAACATACCTCTTCCTATAGTTCAGAAAGTAAAAAATAAAATGGTTGGTGTGTTACTGTCTTCATAAATAAAATATACTTTCAACTGAAATATCCATATCCTAGTGACTGAAAGCTATGAAATTCTATGATAAAATCATGTATGTGTGATAACAGAGTTATTCTAAAAATTTACTAGAAAACTAAGAAAAACTCAAATGTATATAAATTTTGACCATTCTTTATTCTTAAAAAGTTTTTCTTTATCCCGCCCCCCTCTCTCTTACCAGAGCCTGGTCAGCCTCCTCCCTCTCTCTCTTCTGTCTCTCCTCAAATTCCTTCTCGGCCTGGGCCTCTAAAGCCTTAGTGGCCATTCTGACTGCCTCCTTCCTAATGTCTAGATCATTTAGTTCTGGTGCAAATCTCACCCACACTGGGCATTTCTGGTTTAAGAATAATAAAACTTAGTGACTACTTTTATGCATATTATCTGTTAACAGTCTTGGAGATGCCCAGATGGAAGCATTGAAGTGTATATTCTCTAGAACTTGAGGTTGATATTGTACAGTATGTAAGCATTTATTACGTGATTTCAATATCCCAAACTTACTGCAATGACTTAAATTTGTTGTATAAAATAAAGGAACAGAACATTCATATTTTTATCTGAATCACTTATTGTGTCTTACAGTAATCTAATGTGTTTTACAGTAATCTAATGTATTTACAGTAATCTAATGTGTTTTACAGTAATCTAATGTATTTACAGTAATCTTATGTATTTACAGTAATCTTATGTGTTTTACAGTAATCTTATGTGTTTTACAGTAATCTATACTGTTAGAAGTCTTATTGTACCTTTCCAGGTTCAATAGTGCCAACAGATGGCGATATAGTCACTGGAACACCCTCTGGAACTACAAACTCAAAGGAAGTGGGGCCAACTGGAGCTATCTCACCTGCAAGAAAACAGAATCCCCTTCTTGTCAATGAAACCTGGATAATGTTGCATACTGATTCAATATCCCTTGATATAAAACAACATTCGGTAATATATTGTTCTTCACCAGTATATACATACAAAGTATTTCCACTTACCTTTTCCAATTCGGGGGACAGGGTGAGTGAATTCGTTTGTACTTGTGTGGGAGTTTATGACATGGAAGGAGGCAGTGGACACATCATACAGGGGGGTGGCAGAGAAGTGCACCACCTGATGAGACATTTCCAAAGGAGGGTGGACTCCTATTCCCTTACACTGGATCTTAAACTCCCTGGGAATACAAAATGATAAAACATCAATCAAAGTTACTAACTGGTAAAAATACTAACAAGTTTTCATTGCATGATTAAAGATCAAAAAACTCTATTTTTAAAAGCTGTATATTTGCTATAAACAGTACTTTGAATTTTAAAGTTAAATGTTTTTTAATGAAGATGTGTTTTCCACTGACCTCGGTGTTAAAATTTCTCATGAAAACTCACCTGTTTATCAAAGATTTACAGTTCAGTTCGAATTTGTAATCCTTGGCTTTCTTGGGACTAAATATAACTTCCAGGTCAATTGTTTCCAATGGCAGCAAGGTTCCAAACCCATCATTGGGTTGCACCTCAACAAACTAGAAATGTTCAGGTACCGTACAGTGTAAATTAAATAGATCAAAGCTTAATCCTATCATAAACACTAATCACAATCCAGAATTTAATTTAAATTGATGGCAATAAGAGAGGGATTACAGTATGCAGATGTGACAAGGTACCTCAGGGTGGCCGACAAAACCAAATTCCTGGGGAAGTATGGATTTGTTTGTGAGCTTTATTTTGGCTTTTGTTGACTCGTATATGGTACAGCAGCCAAAGTCTATATCAGTGGTGTCAAACTCCATGTCCGATGTGGTCAAAACAGCTTGGACAGTGAAAGGAACTGGTTGGGTCTATAAATAGAAATGCTACAGAGTTACCATTTTACCTTCCAAAATTTTGTATTGGGTGTGATAACATGTTTTTAAGAGTGGATAAAAATCTACCTGATCAGCTACTCTGATTATCATAGGAGCCTCCAGCACACCTGTTTCTTTGTCAAAATACTTTCCAGCTTCTTCAAACAAACTTTTCCTGAAAGGAAATATGTTACCTTGATCAGAAAATGATGCTTACAAAAATATAAGTAAAACATGCCTACAGTGAAGTGCCTGGGAAGAACATTTTTAGTTCATTATAAAGGTAATTCATTATATCCGATACATTCTTAATAAATTTTAAAACTACAGAGAATAAAAATTACTTTGTTGCAGCATGAATTCATTATAAGCCTGTTCATTGTAGCCATGTTTAACTGTATCTAAGACCACATTTGGCTGTCTTGCTTATGAGAGAATTACCTGGGTAGAAACTTCATCTGTGCAGAAAAGTTAGACTGTGCCTGGATGTATCCTGTTTTTGGCAGCAGTTCCAGGTGATTCTTCAGTTCTTTACAGACTTCAAATTTAAGTCTTAAGGCAGTTGTTGCTCTGCAAAAAATATAAATAAACTTAATTGAAATACTTACAACACTGGTCCACTATTAAATACAAGTACTTTACATTAATTTATGTCATTTCAATATTCAACATTTTTGTTTCTAATCTAATCAGTCAGATCATGTCTAACCTATTGTTGACAATAATGGTGTCCTGATATAGACGGTCAAACATACAGATCTTCAGGTCTACCGTCTGTCTCTCCACCCAAACAGGTACATCTATAGCATTGGCTACAGCTTGGATTGAGATCTAGAGTAAAAAATAAAAGGCAAAATAAATCCTTTCAGTTTCATCACTTCCCTTTTGAATATTAGACTTATTTTTGGCAGTAGAATAAAACCTCTGTAGACTCACACTATCAGACAGGGGGTCAGTGAAAGTGATCAAGAACTCAGTGTCCACTCGGCCTGGAATGTGGGGTTGCCAAATTATCTCCAGTTTGGTGGAGGCAAAGGGACCTAACTCTCCAGATGCCACCAGTCCCACCTTCATCCCATCCAGTGTCCCATAATCCTCCATCTCACTGACGGCCAAATCAGGGGACTCCTGTAGAGCTGTGTGGGGAGACAGAAAAAAGACACAAAATAAGTATCCCCCCGAAAAAAAAAATCAACTTTTGTTTTCATAATTTCAGAGTTAAACATCAACCATGATAAAAAAATACCACTCAATATTTTGTCCTACTTTGCAATAGGCACACTTTAACAATGCTGAATTTGACTTACGTTGCTCCTCTTCTCCTTGTTCTCCCTCACCCACCACACTGAGTCCCTCCCCAGCAGCCTGGGTACTATTCTGCTCATCTGAGGTCCCCATACCTCCCATACTAGCCTTGTCTGCCTCTATAATTCATTTCAGAAGTCATTCAACACAAGTTAACTTTACACAAAAGACATTTTTGTACTTCCAAAAAATTGATTCCCAAAAGTAAGTAATATTTAAATACCATCAGCAGCCTTTTTCTCCTCTGCCACATTTTTCTCCAGGGAAGCAGTCACATCCTTTTTTGCCACCACTGATGTTGAATCTGGGCTGAATGCTCTAATGGTGTCTGCTGTTGTCTGAAAAATTGATACCAGTTATATCATATAAAAACACACACTCAATATTTCAATACATGTGCATTGAATAGCTGCTATATATAATAAGATTTTTCATTCTTACTGATTAATTTATGCAGTGCTCAAAACATCAACATTTACTGAATGTTCCTCTTCCTCTAATTACTATCTTGACCATTGTTTATTCTTTTTTATTAACTTACAAGGCCTCCTAGAGAAGTGGCAGCTGTGGTCACTGTCCTTTCTTTCTGACCTGTGACCTTGAAGAATTCGAACTTTGTCCCCAGGGCTCCCTTGTTAGTAAGGGTAAATGTTCTCTTCAGGGTCTCTCCTATCACTGTTGTCCCAAAATCAATGCGACAAGTGTCCGTGGACAACTATAAAGGAATGAAGAAAGAGAACCTGTGTTACTCATACTGATGTTAGATCAAACCCCATTGTTATAGAGAAATAAAAAGCATTTTATGAAATCGTATTTGCTTAATATCTCCAAATTCTGATTTAGTTATTTCATTGATATTTTCAAGAATGAAATTACTGATATCTCAGGACAATTTTTTGAAAATATAAAATAAACTTACATCACATTTCTTTGTGGTACACTTGAGAGGAATTGCAAATGGCCCTGTCTGAGACAGGAAGTTAACTACTCCAGATAGATCCTCGTTAATCTGAAAAGAGTAAGGAATTTATATGAAATATTATAAAACTGGAATTAACATATTCAATATATGCACACTTATACAGAATATGTTGTTCTCTGAGCTTTTATTAAAGAAAGTTCATTAGAAACTTGTAAATAAATTCTTTAAAAATGCAGACAAGAAAGATAATTTACCATTGGTTTAAATGTGACCATCATTTCACACGTCAATCCAGCTGACATTTGTCCTGGTGGGTCAAACCTAAATAAAACACAAAATAAATGAATTTTATGTAAAATGGTTGCTGCATTACATCCCCTATTATGCAGGTAGATTGCATTTTTATCACATATAAAATTTATAGTCCAGAGAAACCACTCACTGAATGTCAATAAAGTCCTTCAGCATCTCAGTTATGTTGATGTACTTGCAGTAATTCACAGTGTAGGAAACATTGGTCAAGGTGACTTTTTTCTTGTAAGTTTTCCCAACTTCAAAATCCTGCAGAAGAATACATTAAAGTATGGTGCACTATATTAGTGTTATTTTTAATTAACTAAGATTGAGTTATCGAACTTTCTGAGAATTTCCTTTTTTTTTTACTGACCTTGAAGTGAATGACATCAGGTTTACTGTAGAAAGGACAGCCCTGGAATTCCCGGCCGGCAGCCACCTGCTTGACAACAATCCCCTGGCGGTGTTTATCCAACACTTTCTCAAGTATTTCCTGGAAATCAGTATTAACAGTGATATTTTTTATGACTACATGTACCCTAGCAATCATAAATTGAACTTCTAATAAAGTGAAAGAAAATTGAAGGTATTGAATGGATTTAGGAACCTTCAGCCGAAAAAAAAGCAGATTGACTATAAAATACCCTAAAGTACCTTCTCCATTTTGCTTCCATTGGGCAATTTTACAGTTGATTCTGTGTCTTTTGGGACTCTGTATGGTTTGTGTTGATCCCACAATCCCTCAAACTCTGGTACTGCCAAATCAACCTTTTCTTCTCCTGAAAATCATCAACACAAGAAAACCTTTGAAGAATCATTGCTTTTGCACTTAAAAAAAAAATCTTTAATAAGAATTATAGCTCATCACTGCGAGCTCTAATGACAACGCCTGGGCGAAGAGAAAATTTGGACTACTGCACATTCATTCAATAGAATTTTTTTCCGCAGTAATTCTGGACCCACAATGCATCGCTTGTTTAAGCTACGTTCTCGCGAGAATAACAACAACAGTTTAACTAACAAAAAATAAACTCGCCTTGATTTAATGGATATATTGCAGATAGATAGTAAATAAAACGTTCTTCATTAAAGTCAACAATGTTCAGGCTTCGATTTGGTAATGCAACTTAAATACAACGTCATGTGACGTCAGAGTCTAGACGCACCAAATGTCACGTGCAGTTTGACGAATGAGCCTGATCTAAATTAAACCTGAATAAATATCTGCACTCGCCCTAACGGTCGCACTGTCAACATATTAGTTTACACTTTTAATGTCTTTAAATTTAAGAGAAGAAATAAGTTCATGAGTACTTACCATCTGACTCCGCATCACTGGAGTCACTAGAATCAATAGGGAGGGGTGTGACCTTTTTGTCCTCACCAGCAGTTTCAGCTCTCATGGATTCCTTTCCTTCTTCCCTCTGTGTAGCCTGACAAAAAATATCACAGGTGTATAACAACTACTGTGTAAGTGGTTAGAGAAAATTCTCCTCTGACAATAGTATTCAAAAAGCAGCATTTGAAATTCCCTTTTAATAAACATATAAGAAAGCATTAAGGTACCTGCTCTTCTGGTCCATCAATGATATATGTATTTTCTTTCATAAAATCCTCATCAAAAATGGAAGAATCTGTCAGCTCTCGAAAAATCTTCAATGGTTTCTTTTTCTGTGGCCCAATGATCTGAATAAAAAAAAATAAAGCACATCAAGCACAAAACATCCGATTTCTTGAAATATTTTAAAATCAAATTCTCATACAAGTATTGATCATAAATATAGATCTTTCTTTTTCGGCCTATGATACAAAGGTATCTGACATTTCTAGAATTCTGTTCATTTCTTGTGCTAATTAAATCTTTCCTTTTTACACATTAGAAATCTGACCTTTGACTTGTCTGATTTTACATCTGTCCACAGATGAGGTTGTTGTTTCTTTCTTTTCTTAAGTCTATCTTCCTCAACCAGAATTTTCTCCATTATAGTAGCTTGCTTTATTTTCTTTTCATTTTCAAATTCACTGAAAATTTCAAAAATACAAATGATGTTTTCATTGGAGCTCTAAATATGCAACACAATGTCTACATGATAGCATTTAAAGTGATTCCAGCTATTATTGTTGTAATTACAGAATTTAACTCTTCACGTAATTGAAATTTCAGATTGCAAGGTCCTCTTATTCGTCATAGACCAATCATTCAGATATGTATATCATAAAAATTTAGTAACGGGGCTCTGATTTTATCCAATTATATAGCATTGTAAAGTTTGAGATAATAACAATAATCTTTGACAGGAAATGCTGAACGCTTATTGATGAGAAGAAATTAGCAAATTCTCTATGGTTACATTGCATTAAAGTTTATACATCTGCTAGAAAATAGTGTGAAATTACTTACTTTTTCTGCCGTTCAAATTCCTCAATTCTTTTTCTGATAAGGAGGATCTCGTCTGGATTGCCTCCCTTCTGGAGGATTTGTTGGCGTTCCTCCTCCTCCTTCTGTTTCGCCTCTTTGCTGGCAGCTTTATCTCTGGCATGTAAAGCTTTCAGATTCTCCTGTAAAGAACCAATAAAGGGATGTATTTGAGCTAAGGTATATTTACAAATTCAAATCTATCAATATTTTGTTAAAAGATAGCCAATTCTGGTAGCAGGTAATTTCTTTAATTCATAGGTCTCACTCAAATAAAAATTCTTTTGAACATTTATCTGGTCAGGTGGGATAATAATTTACCCTATTTGAAGTAATGTCTCCTTTCAATTTCAGTAACATTTCCATTTTTTTCTTCATGTTCTCTTTGTACCTAGCATTTTCCTCTTCCTGCCTTTTCTGCAACCTAAAACAAAGACAGTAATAATTGAAAGAGGATTTTTGAGGTCCCTGCTGATCTACTAAGTTTACTGCACGCAACATTGTTTAATACATGTAGATCAGATGTAATCAAATTCAGAGAGCACTACCAAATTTGTGGAACATAAGTCCAATAGCTTTGACACAGCAGTCAATAAGAGGTGTTCAGAAAAAAAATTGCTTACTTTTCCATGGTTTGATTAAGGAACTTGCTGTGTTTAGCATGACTTCTCTCTGCATCTTCTAGCGCCATTTGTTGTCTTCTTTTCTGTTCTTCCATAGCTGTCTGATAATCTCTGTAATTCAATATCAACAGGATATAAATATATGCACATTCAAAACTACAACATAAGTCTTTTTACATGTATATACAATATTTATTCAGCATTTTCTTTTGTTAAAATGTATAAGTTGTGATGTTTCTCTGTTTCCAACATTAATTTATAGACATAATTACAAAAAAAGTTTATTTTGATGCACAGGAATGATAATACACTGTATATAAGTTGTGATGTTCTCTGTTTCTAACATTAATTTTTAAGACAGAATTAAAAAATACTCTAGAAGTACTATTTTCAGCACGGGATTAATTTATGCTATGTACACAGTCACAAAGTTTCCACGGAAATTTGTCACATTGTATTTAAAGTGTATTTTGGAAAAACAATGGCAATCCAAGAAATCTGTGTAATTTTCTACCTTCAGATTGATCAGAAATTGTGATTCCGCAGAATTATGACCCTTGGAAAAAAAGTTTGTTTTCCAATAGTTCATATTGAAGCACAAGAAAGGTTATACACTATATACCTTTGTCTTCTGGCATGTTGTTTAACAGCCCTTTTTGCCTTCATTTCTTCCTTACGGAGACGCTGGAGAGCCATGTCAGTTTTTTCTTTGGCCAGCTGCTGCTCTTGTTTAATTAGGTCATCTTCAGCCAATAAAAACTTCCCTCTCTCTACCTCAACCTTTGCAAGCTCATATCTAAACAGAATATATGAATATGTAATACAAAAAAAAAAATAACAAAAATAACTTCTGGTTGTTTAAAATTAACTCAGGACATATAAGAGTCTTACAAAAATAAAATACTTTGGACATGACTAAAAAGGCAAAATTCTTTTTTAAACTTATGTAAAAATTTTGTGTATATATTTTGGTGAGATTGTTGACATGTGAACCTACTCTTCTTGCTCCAATCTCTCTGCAATCATTTTTTCGAGTTCATGTTCATTTTCCAACTCCTGACAAATCCTCTCATGTCTTGATCTAAGTCTGTATAAAGCTGACCTGAAAAAGGAAAGAAAAACACTTATAGTTATAGATACCAAGTATCAGTATACACACATATAATAAATAAATATAAATATAAATTATATCTTTATAGCGAGCGCGAAGCGCCGCTCGCGAAGCGAGCTCAATAGACTAACGTATAAGAACAGAGAAAATTCGGAATGAAATCTGTACATACGTCAGGCAAATTTTCTGGGGCAACATTCCCAGAATTCCTTCGCTACCAGGGTTCCATGCGAAATTCTTACAAAACATTCAGAAGACCAAGGATAATTATTCATTACCGAGAGATACGTTTACTTTTCTTTCTTTGCAGAGGGCTTAAAAGAAATAAAAAATAATTACATCCACTCTACAACGTATTTCATTTATTACTGCACAAGATCTTTAGTCTCGTTCAACCAGACGCTCGGCTGTCTCCGTAAATTCCGACGTCATGTGACGTCACAGTCTTGACTGTGTCTCGTGCGGTTTGACGTTTGAAGAGGCGGATCCATCAACGTTAGAAGTGTAAACTGTGTATAGGTTTTTGATGGTACAACTGCGCTCGCCCCAACGGTCACACCGTAAAACATATTAAACATTCAACATATACCAGTTTGATATATAAAATAATATTTCGTTGTATACTTCAGAAAATCACATTTATCCTTCTTAAAGGAATCTCAAAGAACAAAAGTTTTTTATGAGTTTATCTCCAGTGTTTTTATATTCATGCTATATTTTATTTGGGTTAAAATTTATTGCAAAGACTGGTTCAAAAGCATGATATACAATAATACATGTATCTACAGGGAGGAAATAATGAAATCACACATCAGTTATTCCATAAAGTACCATGGTAAAACATGACTGAAATTCTTCTCTCATAGATATCATCCTACTTGAATTGAATTTTCCAACATTAACTTCAATTTTGTAACAGTCTGCATTTGCAATAAATAAAATGACAAATAATTTGTCTTACGTATTTTTATCTGATTCGGCTCCTTGTATTTCCTTGAAGACTTGGTCTCTCTCTGTTTCTAGTTGAGACATACGATTTCTACATTGCTTTTGTTCTTCTCTAAACGAAGAAAGATTTAAAACAAATATAAAGTGTTCACTCAAAATATAAATATGTTTATTTACATAGCCATAAATATTATAACTGAACATAAAGTACATAGATATCTTCTAGCTCCACATGATAAATAGCAATGAGTCTGTAATTGCTCCTAGTACTTATCAAAAAATCAGTAAACTTATATATTTTTTACTGACCTTGTTTTCTCTGTAAGATACTGATGGTGCTTGACTTTTTCTGTTAACTGATTCAGATGACTCCTCAGATGAATCATTCGAAGCTGTTCTTGTTTAGATATGGTGGGTTCTGGGGTTCTCTCATCATAATTCCTGTCCCTGCAGGCATCATAAAATATCAGTGTCATTATTTTTTCATTTAAAGTATTGATAAATCTATTGACGAATTATTTAAAATGCAAAAAAGATATAGAATGAGCTAATGTAAAAGATACATTCACATGTTTGTCCGTTTGTCTGTTTGTCTGTCTGTCTGTTGTCAACTTTAACTTTGCCCATAACTTTTGATTGGTTGGAGCTATGACTTTCATATTTCACATGTGTATTCCTTGTGACAAGACCTTTCTTTGGGTACCATAATATTTGACCTTTTGACCTTGACCTTGGAGTTTGACCCACTTTTGCAAAATTTTATGAGACTTTAACCTTGGCCATAACTTCTGAACAGTTGGTGATTGGGGTTTCAAACTTCACATGTGTATTCATTGTGACAAGGCCTTCCTTTGGATACCAACAACTTTGACCTTTTGACCTTGACCTTGGAGTTTGACCCACTTTTGAAAAACTTTAACCTTGGCCATAACTTTTGAACAGTTGGTGCTTAGGATTTCAAACTTCACATGTGTATTCCTTGTGACAAGACCTTCCTCTGGATATCAACCACTTTGACCCTTTGACCTTGACCTAGGAGTTTGACCTACTTTTGAAAAACTTTAACCTTGGCCATAACTTTTGAATGGTTGGAGCTAGGGTTTTCATACTTCACATATGTAATCCTTGCAACAAGACCTTCCTCTGGATACCAACCACCACTTTGACCTTTTGACCTTGACCTAGGAGTTTGACCTACTTTTGAAAAACTTTAACCTTGGCCATAACTTTTGAATGGTCGATGCTAGGGCTTTCATACTTCACATATGTAATCCTTGTGACAAGACCTTCCTTTGGATACCAACCACTTTGACCCTTTGACCTTGACCTAGGAGTTTGACCTACTTTTTGAAAAACATTAACCTTGGCCATAACTTTTGAATGGTTGGTGATAGGGCTTTCATACTTCATATATGTAATCCTTGTGACAAGATCTTCCTTTGGATGCCAACCACTTTGACCTTGACCTTGACGTTTGACTTTTATTTAAAAAACTTTAACCTTCGCCATAACTTTCGAACAGTTGTATCTAGGTCTTTCAAATTTCACAGATGTATTCCTCGAGACAAGACCTTTCTTTGGGTATCAACATTTTTTATCTTTTGGCCTGGATTTTGACTTGCATTTGAAGAAACTTTAACCTTCGCCATAAGCTGCTATACGGGGGCATCAGTGTTTCACAAACACATCTTGTTTATTGTATGCGTGAGTCACATTGTTTACCTTTAGTTATTTACTCTGTTGGATATGTCTGACACTACTTGTCAGCTTGCAAATTTGCCTTTGTTTATGTATTGTGTAACACTGTTTGCGGTGCATTTAAAACAGATCTTAAGAATCAAGGTGTTCAACTCCCATGAATACATTCTTGACTGATAAAATTGTCAGGTGATATGTGTCAAGTCTGAGCTATTCATTGTCTTCACATGCATAATTCTCTATTGTACTAAGACCCATCCATTCTTTTCATCTTTATTTGTGAAAGAAGAAAAGATCACAAACCTGGTCAAATTGCCATTATAGGGTCTAAAAAATCATTGATAATGTGGTATTTCTCATAAGTAAAAACAATCCAAACTATTGACAGCATTCAGAAAGTATTATTTTATTCACTCTTGTTTGAATATCATCAGAATCATCATAGATTTATTATATTTCATCGTATAAAAAGGGATCACTGACCATAGTTATAGCAATTCATCCTTTCTTGAAAACAAATATGACTGATATTTTAGATAAACAATCCAAGATACTAATTACATAATTTTTACCCGACAAAAGACTCAATTTCTTCCTCTTCATCAGATCCAAGGTCAAGGTTATCATCTCCATCATCATAGTCTAAAATGGCCTCATCTTCCAGGCCAATATCCCCCATAAAATCCTCCCCTCCATACATCTGTCCGTAGTCATCATCCATTTTTCATTAAGTTCCTTTCTTGTAATAGTCAATATCTAAATCTAAAAGGAGAAAAATTGGCAGATAAAATGAGTAATTATTTACTGTAATATATAATAGCAACCAAAAATTACTACCATTTAATAAATCTCAATGCATACGTATGTCATCAATGAGATACAGCATACACTTTGAACTTAGCCATTCAGTAAACTTACCCCAAAATGAAGTTTCATTTTTAAAGTTAACAAAAAAGTATTAAATTTTGAGATTCAGCATTATAATAACTAACTATTTATGTTATGTTTTTTTACATAATGAATTTAAGATTTGTTATTTGATGCTCTGGTCATAACATTAAACATAATAGCAAGCGCAGCGAGCGGCGCGAAGTGCCGCTCGTCACTGCGAGCTCTTAAAGCAACGCTTGGGCGAAGAGAAAATTCGGACTTTGCACATTGATCCAAATGAATTTTTTTCCGCAGTAACCTGTGGTCCCATAATGCTTTGCGAATTGCATCTCGCCGCAAACTACATTCTCGCGGTAGCAACAAAAGTTCAACAAAAAAAATTAAATCACATTAATTCTATGGATATTGCAGAAAAAACAGTAGATTAAACATTCTTCATTTAAACCAGCACTGTTCAAGCTTCGATTTGGTAATGCAACTTACATACGTCATGTGACGTCAGAGTCTAGACGTACCAAATGACACATGCGGTTTAAAGAGACGATGTATAGGTATAGATCAGCGCTCGCCCAAACGGTCGCACCGTCAGCATATTACTTCTGGGAAGACATAACCCAAGAACAAATTTTGAATTTTATTCGTATCTCTCAACATAATAATTGTAAAATCTACAGACAAGTGCATGAGGTATCCATTTTTATTTTCTTATTTCAAACATCAAATATTATATAATATAAAGAAAAAGTGCTTGGTGTACAGTTTTATTGTAATCAAATATTTCTATGCAATCAATATTGATGTTAAGTACATATTTTATCAATAAAATGTCTCTGGACGTAGTGAGCTCACTGTAATATACCTTCAGATTTAAAAACTTGTGATGATAGATTAGAACACTTTTTTAACGTTACATGACAATCTGAACAATTAGAGTGTTATAAAACCTAATCAATACAATAACATATAGAACAAATTCGGTCGATTTTTCCTGCACGTTATTACAACTGAAAACTTTAAATATTAGCAAGGTGCGTCCAAAGTAAGTACGCCAATACTTAAGCAATGTGTGCTTAACAATATAAAACATATCAACAACTTACAATTTTTAATTTTCGACAGCATTAAAGCTCAGTTGTTAAGATCACAAACTGTAAATTTTGTGTATACCTCCATGTCTAGCAACGAAATCTCGCGCAACTCTCGCGACAAGCACCTTGAAATGAATCGTACTTGAAAGAATTCGTACTGCTGCAATCGACTGCGACTCGGTTTTTTCCTTTGTTCATGGCTTTTTACCACATCGCATATAGGATATTGTTTTTTTTTCTTTTTAAGATCCAAGGATTTGCGTACTCTTTCTGCTTCTTTTTTCTCTCCAGGTCTTATCCCATGTAAGTTTGTAGATGACGAAATGAAGTCTACACATACTATAAAATCGTTTTTTTATAGTATAAAGGGGTAGACCTATGTAGACTTATCATTTAGTCATCTACAAAGCCTATGTTCCCATCATCAAATTTGTTAATATTTAAATGATTTATTAATTAAGGGGGAAAAAAGCTTGCAAAACATTTTCATATGGAATTCTAGCTGCCTACTGCCAACTGCTCACTGCTTACTTCCAACTGCCTCTGCTACTGCAAACGACTCACTGCTTACTGCCGACTACCATTGCTCATGGATGATATTGCCTGTTTTTTATCTTTAATATTGCTGGAATAAACCCTATGATGGAAGGAATATTGCATTAATAACAAAAAATTGGCGGATTCAGGAATTTTTAAACGGTGATGACGAGGAAGAAATAAATAGGAGGAAGGAGTATTTTTCCTCTTAAATACAAAATACTTGATTCTCAGATTTTCTTGCAGGAAAATAGTTCGGTATCTTTTTTGACGGGGGTGAGATTAAAGGTTTATATATAGTCAGAAGAAATGGGAGGGGGATAAACTTTCAATAGGATCTTGGGTAACATTTGTTGGTATATGCATTTATACCAGAAATCCTAATGAAAAATCATAATACAAGGTATTTTACATTTTTTTACATGTAAAAACAGTTGATCTTAGGCAAGAAAGCAATATCAGTGCTGCGGGGGGGGGGGGGGGGCAAACCATGCAACAGAAATATCTTGACAAGTAATAAAAAAGGTCACATATGTCATGATTGAGGGGGCACAACTGTATATTTGTATAACTGTATATTATTTGGGACACCCCACCACCACCACCACTGTTTTTTTTTTTTTTTTTTTTTTTTCAGATCTAACATAATCCATTTAAACGATTTAAATAAGACACACATATAAAATTAGCAAATACAGGTACTTTTCATAGGATAAAAAGAAACATTAAAAGATATTGATAGATATGTTACCGTAGGCAAAAGTTATGTTATTATAATTTTCAGTAATATTTCTAGTGTAAATACATATACAGTACCAATATGTTACTCAATGCCATACTAAAAGTTTGTTATTTTTGTAGTATGTGACCCCCCCCCCCCCACACACACACACTTAAGACACACACCCGCCAAAAAAGCTTAAAATTCCTCAATCCGCCAATTTTTATTATCATTGTAAGAACTACGCATGGTAACTCTCGATTCCCGCCTACATTTTACATCCATTTAATTCAAACCATTAAAACTTGTTTGAATGCAAAGAAAAGTTTAATAAATTAATAATTTGACAAACCAGTGTCAGAAAGTTAATTACTCTTATTTACAACTCCTTTCATAAGGGGGTAGAAAATTTTATCAATTGAAATCAGGCTTCAAAACATCACCATATTTTCAAATACTCATGAAAATGATGAATCACTCTTAAATCTCTCCGTCTGAACTTACGTTAAATTCGACATATCAGATTGATAAAGTACATTTATTTTATTTGTTATCTCATTTGAAATTGTTAATTAAATAACTATACCCCCCCCCCTCCGTGAAACAACAAAACCTTTGGTATGAATTCGTGAAATAACAATTCATAACATCTGTAAAAAAAGGAATCATTGTTTCTTGGGGGGGGGGGGGGGTTGAAGTTTTACCAAGTTAAAGGCTTATCTCTCTTTGTTTTCCCAAATAGATTATGTTTTATGAAAATTAACATTAATATCCATGTAAATATGAAAAATTATTCAAATAAGTTTCTTTTGAAAATTGACCTGGAGGTAGTTGGCAGAACAAAACTATCGTTCGCCGTTCATTTTTTGCCATCATAGGATTTATTCAGACATGCGTATTAAAGATATTAAGATAAAATAGGCAATATCATCTATAAGCAGTGGAAGTTGTGAGTAAGCAGTGAGTAGTTGGCAGTCATGGTCATTGTACACTAAATTTCAAGTTGTTTAACATAACTCAGAAACTTGTAGTAAAACTGCAATTTTTTTCATATACCAGGTCAGTTGCACCAGGTACTCTCAGTATCCAAGAAGATGTTAGACATTCTTCTTGCAATATTTGATTAAATAAGATGTGTGTCTGAAGGAGTAATTTCATTTCACAAGGGAAAAGGCACAGAAGATTAAAATGTAATATTTAAAAAGTTTGAGTAGATTGCGAATTGTTGCTTATTGATCGAAAGTGTGACACAAAAATATATAAATCTGTTATGATATTCCTCTTTCATGTTCATTTCATATTTGTCTAACATACAATTAGTTTTCAAACTTTACGATGACTATAAATCTGAAAAAGGAAAATTCGTTAAATGTACGAGTAACTATAGGAGATAACTTTCTGGTACATCGTCAGAAGTCTTAATTCATATATAATGTTACACGTGACCCTGTTAAATACCTGGTTAATATCATCCTAAACTACATAAATTCTTCGGATCTCATAATTTCTTAAGCCTTGCAAATCTCCATTCCTTTAATGTACCGATCAAGAAGTAATGATTTACTACAAGGAAACTAGCCTACACGAATTGTTAGATGATTATAAATACATGTATATAAATACATTTATGGAAAGTTTGCAGTATGCTACTTCGGCAAACTGCAAGCAGAACCCATTTCTCTGAATTAAAGAACGCAATTCATAATGATTACATACTATTTAAAAACAGGCTTAATTTTAGATTATATATATATATATATATATATATAGAGAGAGAGAGAGAGAGAGAGCATATTTTTTAGTATATAATCATTATGAATTGCGTTCTTTACGAAAAGGAAGTAAGGAAATAAGGAACGGGGAGGGAGGGGGGGGGGTAGGTGGGGAGAGAAAAGTAAATTCTATGCAACAAATTGATGCTTCAAACGGGATTGTACTTCCAATAAAATTATTAGGTTTATTTTACTTTCGATCGCAAAATACAGCAGGTGCTTTATATCAAACATCCTATCAGTTGCTAGAATTGTATAGAAGTATGTACCCTTCATATTAACATTTTTCGAAGGAATTGCCAAAGACACTTCCGTCAAATTTTCATTGATCTGGTATTTCAAGGATTATCCTTATTTTTCATACGACAATGACCCAAATTGCGCACAAAGATTACTGAAGCGACAGAAAAGCTTTGGATTCTGTGTTTATCTCTAACCTTCTAAAGTTCGGTTCAAACAAGAAAACACCCCGAATACACGCGATGGGATTTGTTCGAATTATTCCCCACAGTGGCCAACGAGAGCTTTATGAAATTCTGATCGTCCGCAGTACAGTTAAGGCTACACATGAAGATAATATGGTAATGAGGTCATAATGAGGTTTGACGTCATGACAGTTGCTCCGCCTTGATAGATCCATATAAGGAAATAGAGCTCAAAAAAGCTATTTAATGATGATTGCGAGAATTTGTAATGAATGTCTGTATTTTCAGGTTTAAATAAATAAACATTAGTGATTTTCTCTTATATAGTAACAACACGTCTTCGAAATAATTCTCTTTTTATTGTGTCGTTTGGCTGCATTCGGCTTCAGCCAAGCGCTTGCACTCGGTGACACGGAATGATGTTTACATCTAAAAACGTGGCGACAGCAGCTTAGATATGCAGTGGATTAATGCAACAATCAGGCAATCTTTAAAGAGAATAGGGATAAAATAAGAGACCTGGGCCTTGTTTATCTTTTTGATGAGAAGATGATGACGTTATTTCGGGAAATCATGGATAACTGAGACGATCCGCACTACCTCCGTAGGTCACTCTGTGTTCATTAAGGTGTGTATGTGCATAGGTATTAACATGTAGACATACTATTCTTTACATCGATGTCAAATAACCATGAACATGTACAATAAGATGTATTATTACAGTCCGTCACAAACTGCAATGCAGTGCCTTGTGTGTATGCCCCCCCCTCCCCCCACACACACATACACAAAAACACACACATTATGAAAGTTGCACACTTTCAAACATGCAATGATGTTGTCCTTTGGCATACATGTACAAAATGTAACATAATATAAGCACAGCACGTCATGATATCAAATAGTATAATTAAGATGCAGTCACACTTACAATGTATTTGTGAAGTCAAACTGCACAGTGTACACAATGTATGTGCACTGTACATTCAGGTTTTACCAGTGCTTCATATTTTAAATTCATCGTAGAACTTTTACTATCTGTATCACTAGGCAGTAAATTTGTAGAATTTCTACATTAATGAAGATAAAATGTTTGAATTTTCATTTGTCTGCTACATGTACATTAAGTCGATCTTATATGTATTTATGTACTTTTTATATGTATAATTCTTTTGCCATTGTAGCTGTCACAGAACTGGTTAAAACTGGCATTTACATGTACATCAGCTAGAACTATCAAAATAGATGCATCAATTTCTCCACTGGGTATGATCATACTAAAGCATTTTACATTAATTTTATAGTATGCCAGTGTTAAATTTTTTTTTTTTAATGTTGTATAGGTGAAAGAATTAAATGTTATCTCTAGTATATTGATTTTTTTTTACTTAAATTAAGTATAGCTACCAATTCTACTTTTGCAAATGTCATAGGTTTCAATTTCCCAGAAAAGTTTTGTATAAAAGTTTGTTTCGATTTATTGTATGAATTTCAGAAAATATAGTATAGCATGGTTTGTTTTGTACAATGCAATGTCATTTCATTCTACAACAGTAATCATTATGTTATTCACTCATTACATATATATTGTGTTGTAGCTACTCCCAAACAATTTGAACAATTCACTCAGGCAGCAAGTGTCTCCACC